CAGTGTGTGTACTTTATGAAGAATTTGAGTGTGTAAACCATTAAAAGATTATTTTTTCGTTAATCTAAGTATCTTAATGGTTTTCTTGGGCACTTCTTCATGTGCCTCAGGACACAAAAAAAAAAAAAAACTTTTTTCCAGGTTCTGTGTTTTTACCTTCTTGTGAGGACTCAAGATGTGTGTTATACGAACCGACTTATGAGGACCATTAAAAAGTCCTCACTATGATGGTCTTTTCTCTTATTACAACGTATTTATGAGGACTTTTTTGTGGGGACTTGAAAATGTCCCCACAATTTGAACAGACCCCACTTTGCTGGTGTGTATACATATGAATGTCCCCATAGGTGTGCAAAGGTGCACACACACACACACACACACACACACACACACAATTTTGTATACCTCTGGTTCATCTAGAAATGGTTGACCCAGTCTTATGGGTCCCTTGTATCTGTCCATAATCTATAAAAAAAACAAACAAACAAACAAAATGAACTGTTGAGATCTTTACTTGAACTATAATGGCCCGTCTTAGTAGGAGCGGTTAGCTCTTTAGGCAGCTACAAACCCTAACTAACTAGTATAATAGCCTTTCCCTGGGCTCCCGCTCACAAGAGAGGTGAGTCACAGAGCGGTAGAACAACACTCGGAATTTTGTACAGATTTGCAGAGAGATCGCCGCAGTTTTATCAGAAGTTGATCAAGATGATGTTGATACGAGGGAAGAGTAAGTTTTTTGCGGATGCAATTTTCGCCGATCGCGGCGGATTTGATCACCGTGATCTTCAGGTGTACCGCCGGCCTTAGTCGAGCACAGTCAACATACACGCAGAATAAAATTTTTCAAATATCTTACCAACCCTTGGTCTCCTCTGTGTACATCTACTGACAACAACTTTGCTGATTGAAGGACAAGCGTAGGTTTTTATAATCTTTCGTTAGAGAAAATTCCTCTTTCTGTTGAATACCGGATCTCAAACTTGACCAACCAGCCGTGAAAGAGACATCTACCTATCGAACAAAAGGGGTTTTATTGTATACTCAAGCTATCGGTCAACCCTTATATTACTACCAGTTTATGATTGGTTCTCATCACAATTAAATTCTTGGAATGCAGAAGCAACGATATTGGAATACTTTCTTATTCATCGTGGATCGTGTGATTTCGCGCGATATGATTCAAACTTCTTGCAGCGGTTATAATAAGTGCTAGAATTTTAACAGATGAAGAAAGGGTAAAGAGATGAAGGAAGGCCTTAAGCTGGATTGGGGTAGGAAGTTATCACGTGACATTCCATATTAACTTCCTATACTTTTGTGATTTACCATAATTTACCGGAAATGCGTCACACAATGATCGGCTGCCCCTTTCTTGCTGCAGTTTCATTTCTTTATTTATATTCGTTCATTCAGTTATTTATTTATTTTGAGGGGGACTAGCTCACACTACATTTAACTTCCACACATAAGTTCTTAGATCATTTAAATGGTAATGTTGCAGCAAGAAGAGTATCTAGGCGAGTGGATTATCATTTGAAGAAGAGCGGATATTTTTTTCGCGCTTTATTGGTTAAGTTCCGCACTCGAGGAATGAGGAATCTGCATGTGAAAAGTGACAGGACATAAATTCTTTACTTTCTTGGAACAATTCACACACAGGTAATCGAAATAACATCCGCTCCGGCATGAAACTACACCAAGTATAAAGACAAAGGCAAACTTGACATAGCAACTACGATTTTTTATCGGCTTTAAGAGTTATTGCCTGTCTCCACTTGACGTAATCTACCGAGCTCCAAAGTCTGATTAAGTTCTGAGACAGTTTTTGTGGCAGTATCTAGTAAGTAGGTGTAGCATAATTTTGAAGAGGAGGGGATGTTTTTTTCGATGGTCGATTGGTTATGTGCGGGTTGTGCACTTGAGGAATAGAGAGGGGAAAGAGAACCAAATTGATGCAGATCAAGTAAGGAATTTTTTAAAGTAATTGATTAAGATGATGTCACTATGTTTGTAGATCAATTATAGACGGCAACGAACTAACCGAATCAGTGGAAGCCAGGTAACTCGCGAGTTGTTTAAGTTGTGTTTGTGATTGGCCATGACGTTGTGGCTATGTTTTTAGGCTCGTTACTAAAAGATGTAGATGAAAACGATTGCAGTCTCACATTACTTGGGACCCTGAGGTCTCTCTTTCTAATGATACTCTGAAACATTTGTCAAAGATCGAAACAGTAGCGAGGTGACTGGGAACCAAAGAGCTGTTGACTGAACCGACAGTTCGTCGGTTCTACTTGAGGGTTTTAATAAATTAAAATTTAAATACAATGAAGGCAGAGTGCGGAATATTTGACATTTCTCTTATCTTCCGTTTTATTCGTATTATAGAAATCTTGCTCAGGCATAGCCGGTTTTTGAGAGAAATCTAGAGGGCAATTCTTAACCTGACAGCTAAAGAACCACATTTACATTATTTCTAGAGTGGAAAACGTGCAGTTCTCTCTCTTTTGGTTATTCGGTGGTTTTACGAAGTAGCAGCTGAACAAATATTGCTCAAAACTGTTTGTTCATTGATGCGTACATAAGAGGATTCATTAATGAATTTAGGAATATAAACCACAAAAAGATAGAACAGTGTGTTTTCGATGTCAGTCGGAAATTACGGTATATCTCTAAATCATTAACCAAAATTGAGTGATACATCGTTCACATTTTGTGCATTAATTCCATGCAGGAGACAGATTTTAAACATTTCATTAAGGGGTTGAAGGATAACACCGACTGTCAAATCGGTTACTGCTTAGCAAGCCAGCAAGATGTTCGATTACGTTTGAAGACGGCGAACGGTTTATACCGCCACTATTCAGAAGACATTGAATAAAACTGTAAGAGGCAATGAAATCAGCAAAACGACTGTTGTGAAAAGGAGAACAGCCTAGAGTTCGGTGGGAAGGTTCTCACCTAATGACCAAATTGGTCATGTTGGCCAAAATGCTCTAAGATACTAGTTTCGGAATTACCATCGATATCAGAGGGCGATGTAGTTTGATTCATAAAACCGACCTCAGAACATGAGGTATGTAACAGATAATTATATTCATAGACCTCTTTCTTGACCCAAATAAGACTTTCTGGCCTCGACAATTATCATTCAGAAGTTAAGCCAAGAAGGTTAATTTACATGCTCATGATTTGCATACTTTCGTTTATTGCGCGAGAAAGTGGTTGTGTCTTACGCTTTCCTTTTAAATTTTGCGCGGGAATTGGCGTGCGGCCAAAATAATTGACCGCATGCATGCAATGCCCGCTATTATTAAAGGGGACTATAGAATCATTTCCTTTACATTAACATTCGATTCAATTCATCAGCCCCCAGCCTTTATTTCTAGTCCCTTTCAGGACCTTAAGACAGATTGCACATCTAAATTTATAATTAAAATAATATTTTGGGTGATTCCCCTCAAGGCATTTACAATTACTTTTACACAAATAACTGATAATACATGGCTGAATGAAATGTATAATACCGTAAACTGCCGCCTATATACCCTGGGCTTATAAAACTATACGTAATGGGTTTTTAGAGGGCTCATAAATAGAGGGCCGGGGATTATATCAGGAGTGGCTTCTAATTGGAATAGAAAGCGCTTCAAAACGAACTATAGCAGTAATGAAAAATATTGGATTTGCGATAAATTTATCGTTTCTAAGGCCTTGAAAAAGTGTTTTAATGGTGTTTTACAGTAAGGTTTTAATTATATAAACTTATTTTTCTGCGATAAATTTCAAATTTTCTATTAGGAGTGGTACAGAGTTCATATCTCTCAAAACAGGAAAAGCCGAAGGGGGGGCTTATTTCCAGCGAGGGTGAGGAGGAGGGCCGAGGGGCTTATTATCGGACTCATTTATTTTTTTTACAGGTAGGTGGGCTTATCACGGGGGGAAGGGCCTCTAAGTGCCGCTTGGAAGTGGCAGTTTACGTTATGAAGTAGGTTCCTTATGCACGGATTATGCATAATTTTCTTTTCTCCTAACCTTTTTCAGTGCACTTAATCCTCTCACTCGTCTAAAGGAAATTTCTCACATCTTTAGGGAAATGAAAGTGCTCTACGTGGCATTAATCGAGTTCATATTTACAGACCTAATGTACATAACAACCGGTTTCGCTAGATTAATTCTCCCATTTTGACAAACCAAGAAAAATCGTAAAAGTTATTAAGTTGGAAGTAAAAGCTAAAAAAAATATAATCATAAGTATTAAACCAGCAAATCAAATATAGCTGTCGGGGCTGTCAAAATTGTTGTTATTCCTGTTTCTTTCCGCGTTAATTAAGGCGAGAATTTTGAGGTTAACTCCTTCCAGCATCACTTTGTAGTAGCTTCGTAACGAAAACACAAAAAAACCTATTTAGATTTTTTTTCCTTTTGTTTGTTTTTTTTTTTATATTTCTTGTTTTTTTTCGTCAACCAGTGAAGTTGCTTCAGTTGAAACAGGTGATGAACAACTTTCATCCAAAAAATGAATTTATGTACTCGCCAAGTTTAGCGAGAAAATAAGTCAAGTTTGTTTCGGTGCGGCCAGTTAAAAGTTAGTCCTACACCTCCGTACATTTTTCGTTTATTGTCTGACTTTTGATATACAATTGCAAGATGTTGAATTAGCTAGAACTTCACTTTTTCACGATCTTTCAGTTGCACCCTTTATACATACTGAATTCGCCTTGTAAGAAAAACTAAACCTCTATGAAATACAGAGAAATAACTGATAACCTTACTGGCAATATAAGTAAGAGCGCCATGTTTTACAAGGTATAATTAATTTTCTAAAACCCAATTAAATTTTGGGGATGAATAATCGTATTCGTATTTAGGTTAAGAGTAAAGCCTTAAGCGGAAATTCGTGAAAAAATTTGATGGCTGAAATGATGATTACCGCTCAGATCGTAGTTCTGATCACCTAATTATAGACAGACGGATCAATAAAGGGCGAGTTTAATTAATCACGTTGTTATGGTAACTCTGACGTTTCGCCTTCTTGTGGCCTGACTGTCGTGCTTCTGCAACAAATTACTTGTATTTCCATTTGATCTGTTTGTTGAATTTGTTGTCGTAACAGATGGTGGACAAATGCCAGTCGAACTCGCTTGTTCCTCGCTGCGTAGATCAAAGGATTCACCAAAGAATTGAGTAAAGTTAATGTCATAGCTAAAAAGAAAAGTATGTAGGCAGTGTTGAATTCAGTCACAGCGTTTAGGAAAAAATTAACTGATATCGAAACGCAGTTACAAAAGAAAACAGTTAAAACAATTATTGTCGTTGTCTTTAAGGATTTTCTATCCTTCTCGAATTTTTCCCTTGCTTTCCGTGAAATTTTCTGAGAAGCGATTTGTTTCTGATGGCGTCTAGCCTCGAAATAAATGGTAACATGGCATACGATAATTACTAGAATACTACATACTGAAAGAACATCAACAAATACAACAGAAACAAAATCATTTTTAGAGTCTATTAAATCCTTGAGTGCTGGAATAACGGCTAGTATCCACACTATCACAGAAGAGATTATCGAAATCTTATTAGAGGAGTAATTCTCGTAGAAAAAGGGATGTTTGATCGCCAAAAATCTTTCTAAGCTTATTAATACAATATGAAACAGAGATATGCTGCAAAACATGGTAAAAAAGATGCCCGATACTTTCTCCAGCACGCAAAACTCAGCAACACTTCTTCCTTGAATGAAATACACTTCCATCGCAATAAAACACGGCTGAATAGTCAAAGCTAACAAGAGATCTGTCGTCGCTAAACACGCCAGCAGAATGTTTGACGTGGTTCGAAGCTCATGCGTAGAGTTTACCGCTACAATCACAAGAATATTGAGTAAGATTGTAAAGGGCAGAAACACCAGTAGCATAACTGTTGTGAAAAGCAGCACAGAATGGACATCGGTGGACAACGCATCTGGCTTCAAGGCGGTCAAAAAGGCCGTATCGCAGATATAGAGCGGTTCATTGTTGTTCAGCACCGATGTCAAATTCTTATCTTCGTCTTGAAGAACCATCTTATCTCGCAAGGCTCAGAGCTACCATTTAATTATGTGTTGTTCCTTGCACAGATGTTTTCATCTTTTCTTTTTTTTTATTGTATCCCTCATCGCCAAGAGCGACAAAAAGCAATTATTTGACATCAATTATTGACAATGTAGATTAAACTGACAATGTCTTGTGGGGATCGATGATAAACTTCATTCATATGCAATTATAGTTCTCTGGCCCAACAGTTACAGGTCTCTCTACATCACCAAATCGAGATTAGATTACACCTTTAACGACAACATTTGCGAAAAATACAATTGTCTTGAAAAAAATTCCCTCATGGAAATGCAAAATTCTATGGAATTTCTCACTGTCTTTTTCACTTTAAACATGCATATGGGTTAAATCGAGGGATCATATCAGGGGCTTCATTAAAAGTCGTATATATGCGGTCTTCCACCGCCTGTGAGACCTCTCACCGCTGTCTCAGTTTAGCCTGTAGGCACGCTCTCGTGTTTGGTTTCGCCTTACAGAACGTACAGCCACCTTCGGAAACCGCTTATGGAAAAAGTGATCTAAATTCTTGGCAAAAGATCGCAAGTTTCGCTAGTGCGCCGCGTAGAACTCTGGGAGTGGAAAGCAGAGTCGGATTTTTTTTTTGTACACGCGCAACGTACCGAAAAGGAGGGAATCCTCGAAGTCAGAAGCCCATTATTGTCGTAGTCTATGATTCTGCCCGCTGTTCGTGTTCTATGTATTTACAGAGTCCAAGCTCGGGCATGTCTACGAAGGCTAAAAATGAAAGTAAAACAAAATTCACATAAAACACTCAAATGGCCTTAAAAGTTCCGAAATCTCGCCCATAACCCCCCCTGCAGTTTTCTATATCCTCATTCCAGTTTCCATATCTCCATCATGCACATTTCGCGCGCTATCCTGGGAGTTATTTTGAGTCAATTTTTGAGCCTGCAATAAAACAGTGTTTGGCATGGTGAACCTCAATATGGCGGATGAGATTGCAGTTGTGGCGCGCTGGGCTATATCTTCGAGATTTCTGTTGCTCTTTTCTCAGGTAGGAGCAAAAAAAAAAAAAATGTAGCGATCGTTTGTGAATTTTACTTTACATTTGCGCATTTTTTTTGTTCAGATTTTTGTCAATGAATTCATCAACGATTACGACTCTTCGAGTATTATCAACGAAAACGGAGATTCAACTCCACCAACTTCGTGGTGTGATTTGATATTTCAAAGAATGTTTGAAGGTTTCAGCAAATGGGATGCTGCTTATTTTATGAAAATAGCCGAAGACGATTATAAATACGAACAATACCTGGCTTTCTTCCCATTGTTCCCTTGGATATTAAGGATCTTGGTACGATTACTCCATCCACCTTTTCAGTATTTTTTGAACGAGCGCAGTTTATATCTAGCGATTGGATGGATATTGAATTCAACTCTGTTCACATTAGCAGCTATTTCACTTTACAAATTGACTTTCAAACTGTTTGGTTCAAGGACTACCGCCATGTTGTCATCACTACTCTTTTGCTTCAACCCTGCGAGTGTATTTATGTCAAGTCTGTACACGGAGAGTTTATTCTGTTGTCTACAGTTTACGGCTATGTGTTTTCTTGAACAAAATTGTACAGCACTGCCACTGTTGCTTTTTGGTCTTGGCTGCGCTACTCGTTCAAATGGTGTTTTATCATGTGGATTTCTTGCACACAGAATGATTAAAAACTATGTTTCTTCAGAATTACCTTCACTGATTACAGACCCTGGTTCTCTCACTTTTTGGCATGTACAAAGAGGAGCAATACTACTCCTTAGACTTATAGTTTTAAATGGAATTGTGCTTGTTCCATTTATTATTTTCCAGTTGAATGGATATTATTTATACTGTATGCCACCAAGGAGTCTCCTGAGAGATTTGACTCATAGTCCATGGTGTGATAAATTGGTACCATTTTCTTATTCATACATTCAAGACAATTATTGGAATGTTGGATTTTTACGTTACTTTGAAGTCAAGCAAGTACCAAACTTTGCTCTTGCTGCTCCAGTTATTATTTTGAGTCTCAATGCTGTACTGATCTACTGTTTGAGCAATAGAAATATTGAAACAGTTAAGACACTTGGCTTGCTCCAAAGTAAGGAAAAGTCTGAAAAAATGACAAGGTATGTGTTTATTAAGTAAAGGGGGTAATTTTCTCATGAAACTGTGGTGCAGCCATTTTTCAGTGGCAGGTATTACAAGATAATTTGATCATATAAACTGTGTTGATAATGTAAACTGGCTGCAATAAAGATTTTCCAAAGCTGACATTTTAAGTTTTAGCTCTTTGTCAGAGTTTGGCCAATTTACATTTCCAGCTAAGTTGATGAAACCAAATTATCATGTCACACTTCTCAGCCTATGTGGCATTACAGTTTCTCTAGAAACTTCCTCTATTTTAAAATGTAATTATTCGGGGTCTGAAAATATCAAAACAGGTGCCAAGTGGCAATTAAAGATCCTTGTTTTAATCAGTAGAGAAAAAGTTTGATAGCCTGCAAATTTCTGATTCATGATTTTTTGATTTGCACTTCGATATGAAAAATACAATATTATGTGGAGTATTTACTTAACAAAGTCTGATTTCAAGAGAATTTGCATGTAATGCTGGTGTAATTGTCATGACTTGTATTAAAGCCTTGACTGAAGTGAAAATGAAAGTGAAAGATGATGTTTTTAGTGAACTAACTGGAATGCTCTCAGAAAGAAAAAAATCTTTCTTTATATGAAAGTGTTCCATTGGATGAAGGGTCCTACAATCTGTCAGAAAGTTCTTACTGAGAGAATATTGTTTTCTGTTTTATAAAGGAAGCCAATTCATCAAAATGTTGGAATAACTGGCAAACAAGACTTTGATTTTTACCACCACCCTGATGTCTTTGTTTATGTTGTCCATGTCTTTTTCATGTCTTTGTTTGGTTTGACATCCATGCATGTACAGGTTGGTAAAAGCTTTTTTCTCTCTCATTTCTAAAATTAATTAGTTACCATTACTATTTCTTTAGGGAACTTAAAAAAAATATTGCATGGTATTTATTTTGCTAGCTCTACACAAGTACAATGTATGGTTCTCCCTTTGCCAGAGAACTTTCACTGAAGTTTTTCAATTTATTTCCTCTTTCAAGTTGTGCTTTCATTAAATGACGATGGTATTGTGGTGTTTCAGATTTTTTTTCTCAATTTCTGGCTTAACAAGTTTTAGTAACATCAACCTTTTTTTCAGTTTATTATAACATGCTTTTATGAGGTGGCTCATTTACTGGGTTTTTAGCAGTCCCTCTTTTTCTAGTTTAATCGAGCATGAATGAAACTAAATGAGGTAAGCCTAAATTATGGCTTCTGTCATTTTTCACAATGCTGTATGAATCTCTCTTGGTGTTGGCCCTTCTTTTCGCTCTCGCTCACTGATAAAACCATGAACCTGTCAGGGCTAAAACTAGGAGTTTCTTTTTGGAGTTCAGTCAACTACATGTATTAACTACATAGCTGCTGCTTTATAATTATGTTGTAACTTCTTGATTTTTTCCTTTTTATCAGGTCACTACACGATTTATAGCCTCTGCCTCCCCTGTGATTTACTGGTATTCTGCACATGTCATCATGAAAGAAACTTCTTGCCAAGAATACAGACTTGACAAAAGAAAGTGGAAAGCTCAGTTGATCATTGGTTTTTTTTTGTCATACTTCTTCATTGGAACCGCTTTACATTGCAATTTTTATCCCTGGACCTAAAGCTTTTTTATTGCATTTGAAAGCCCAGATTAAATATGTTAGTCCAAAAGTCATAAGTGCTTGTAATGTGTTTTAATGGTAATGATTGTATTTATTATTTATTTAAGCAATAGACAGCACTTTCTATTGGTTTACAGGTGTGTTCTCCTAATATCCTGAATGGGTCATTAGACCTGGAAACCATTAGGAAGTGCACTATTCCTTTTAGAAAAATTCTCAATACAAAACAATTTGTGATGGACTTACCAGAGCAATAAATGATGTTCAGGGCACTGGAAGTATTTCAGATATTTCATGAATATTGCTTTTTTTCATATGCTGATCAATAGCCCTTTGCAAGAATAAAATGAATAATAAAGAAATAAACTTGCTTTCTTATGCATATATAAAAATACTAGTAACAAATCACTGGAAACTTGAGAAGAAAGATGAATGAAATTATAAATAAATAGAAATAGCAAAAATTCATTAAAATTCTAACTCGAACAAAAATATCTTAAGTTAATTCTAAAGACACCAAGTTTCACGACAACATACTGGTCAACTGGCATGCTGTTCCTCAGATTTGATACAGGAAAAGTAACAGACATGTTACTAAATGTTGTCTCCCTTTCGTGCAAGTGAACTAATCCTCTTAGGAATTAACCAATTGAACTTTCATGGACCCATGCTAAGAACTTGTTGGGGAGCTAGTTTATATGCAAGTAATTCCAATGATGTATGACCAAACAATTTCAAGAAAAAAATAGAATCAAATGGAAATAATTTTTCCAAAATTTACATGACCGCTGGGTAAGTTAAAATGAGTAGTGTTTAGGCTCATTTAGAATATTTGATTGATTGTTTTATCTTTTCTATGTTTTGGATGAATTGAATGGTGGGATCTTGTGGTTTAAATTCCAAATTGCTCGGATGATGACTTCCGCTTATAAGGCTGTCCAAAAGTCAGAAAAGTCAGTCATCATAATAACTCGGACGTTCACTATTCAATATCTATGACGTTTTTTCTGAATTAACTCTACTTTTCCTCCATTGCACGGTAAGTAATCCGAAAAAATAGTTAACACTTGTGCTAAATCTCTTTTGTTAAGATCATTTTTAGAAACAAAGGAGAAATAATGAAATAAAAACCGCTTAAACGGACGTGATAAGTGCTTGGTTTCCTAATCACCTCGCGCGTCATGAATATTCTCAAGAGGATTTTGCATGAATAAAACAAAGAATTTTAAATTACAAGCCCACAATTGGGACAATACCATACTTTTGACATCAAAACCTGGACCGATATCAAAGAAGCAAGAGTAAGGCTACAATTAGGGGAGAGTGGAAACAGAATATTTTTCTGTTGGAAGAAACGGGATAATTTGCCGCGAGAAACGTTACCATAGAAACTCGTAGGGAGGCCTGGAGGCGGGAAGGACGTTTTTAGCTTGTTTGTACTCGTCATTTGTCGGCAATGGAGATTAGGTTTGTGACAGTAATTGAGCCATTTTGACCTGCCTCAGGCTTGTATCAAGAAAATGGGTTGTGGAACTAGCACCCCCAAGGATAAAGAGGACAAGGAAGGATCCAAGTTTGATTTTAGTCGGCGCAACACCATAGTCGAAAAGCCAAACGTTGTGGTCGAGATTGGCAAAGGTGTGAAGAAGATCGACCCAGAGCGACGAATTGTGTTCATATTCGGTTGGTGATATTTCTTCTTCTTTGCCCTAATAATACTCCATTGAAATTTATTGTCCTTTTACTCTGCTATGAAACTATGTATTCTTTTGTATATGACCTGGCACAGCCGCTAAATGCTAATCACAGAAATATTTTTGATATTCAGCGGGCTCTCCCTGTTGGAAGTAAACATCTGTTCGAAGTAAATTGAACGCAGAAGAGCCGACTCTTGACTACTGAATTTTCATTTGGTTCATTTAAGAAAATATATGGCGGATATATTGAAAATTTGTTTACAATACCCGCCGAAAATCAGGGACAATTTGGATTAAAGCTGGCATTTTGTCTATGCCAGAAGAAAGAAAAGATACCATCGCAGCGGCTACATCACATTAAAGTTGTTTCAAGATGGCTATTTTTTTGCATTCAGCCGAGCCATGAATTATTCACTCCTACATTTAAAGACTAATTTTTACGCTGATGTCAGCCATTGTTTTAATTATTCTATTGAACTAGAAAAAGAACCATCAGTTCCCTATGAATGGAGAAACCGATTTCGCTTGCTTCTTTTGTGTCAATAGATATTGGCGTGCATCAGCAGATATATTGATTTTAAATCTTCGCCACTTGCTTCTAAGATTTTGGTTAAAGCGTGATGTTCTCTTCTGGTTGCAGAATAAGATCTGTAGTTAAATTGTATCAAAAATTAATGAAGGAGGAATTTCCCCTTCCATACATAAGTAAAGTCACGCTTTGGTTTAAAACTTTGTTTTCGTAAAGCGTTCTTAGCTTTCTTTCGCTGTGTACACAATGAGCTATAATTAAGCAGAGTAATTTCATATTTACGATGAGACCTCGATGAAGTATCTTTCCTCTTGCTCTAGCACTTAAACCGCTAAGAGCATGCGGTATTAAGTGCGCGGATTGAACCTTTTATTTGTACTGCGCACTTTCCAACAGAGTGATCAATATGATTTAACTGAAATTATGTTCTCTAGGAGTCCGCAACGTTTTTTATTTGTTCATGGAAGGATGGTTAGCTATGTTAACAATAAATTTAAAAATTCATCTTTTCATCTGGGCATAGTGATATATGAGTTGCAAAATGGAAAAAAAATCCTTTACCTTCCTCTCATCATGGTTTTCTATCCACAAGACGTGGCTGAAAGTGCCCCGCAAATTAGTTTGAGACAAAGGATTTGGAGTCCATACAAAGGGAGAACTTCCAAACGTCCTCCTTTTTGCTTAGTAATTTAATTTGAGCAACCTTCAGCCTTTGTACCAATAAAGTAAATCCTAAGTTCACAAATACAAGACTTAGAAATATGTTCTATATTTTAGTTATATGATAAGCTGAGTTATACATGCATTTGGATTAGTTGGTTCTTATGTATGATCTACTGGAGGACATAGTTTCAGAGGATGTCAAAATCTATGTTTAATCTATTAATGAACAGATATACAGCAACACAGCATCTTGTTCTTAAATTGATCATCTTTGTTATGTTAAAGATTCGGTTTAGCAAAGCTGTTTTGATTTTTAGAATTATTAGTTTGACTGAAAATCCTTTTTTTTTACATGGTGTGTAGGAGGTCCTGGATCAGCTAAAGGATGTATTGTGAATGACCTCAAAGCCATGTTTGGGTTTGCTTTCATATCAGCAGAAGATTTAATCTTGCAGAAACTGCCAAAAAGAGCTGCAGAAGATGGGAAGGACCCTGTTTCTGGTACACATGGACTGGCTGAGCTTTTGAAAGATAATCCAGAATATCTTACCTTGGATTGGGTGTTGGAAATACTTCTGGAAGAGATTGAAAAGTTCCCAAATCAGCCAATACTGGTGGATCTTATTCCCAACCTCAAGTTTATGATGAGGGTGGATAAATTCATCAAGAAATGTGATATTGAAATGAAAGAGTTTGAACAGAAGGTATTCTATAACTTGTATTTAATAACATATTTAAGTTTAATTTGTGGATATTTTTTTGGCTGAAGATGTCAATACATTAGTCATGTAAAGGGTCATAAATCTGTAACTTGGATGGATTCATTTCCTTTATTGTCCTGACCTTGATTCTGTGGAAATATTGTAAGGAGAAATTAGATGCCAGACACTCCAAGGTTTTTAAAGGGTTTTAACTTAAAAGTGGTGAGAGTGCTTACATATCTATCTCTGTTGTTACCTGCTCTTTGTGGCATTTTTACAATGACTAGGCTTGCTGTAACATGTATGGCATGTTTGTTTTTGGTTTTCATGTCTGCTTCACAGTTGTTCATTACAGTTTTCTGTTTTTCCTCCATTCAGATAAAGTAGTGCTTCAAAAATCCATTTTGACATGGACAGAAAGGATGTGCCCATATTGCACCAAACATGTATTATCTTAATGACATTAACAGTGTATTCATTTCACCTTGACAAGTTAAATATGTTTGTTTACTCCTCAGTGTCCTTGTGCTTTTGCCTTAAACTTGACACTGTCCAAGGAGAATCTTCTGAAGAACATTAGAAACAGCCATTCCCCTGCATGTGCCCAGCCTCCAAGCAAAGATCCCAGGGATGCATCTTCAGATCAAGGGGATGAAATGGACACCAGCAGGACTAAGCGTCGCTTTGCACTCTATCAAAAATCAGTGCAAGATTTCTTGAACTATTTTAATCTGGAAGACAGAATTGTGAAGGTTGACACATCTGCAGCACAAGTACAACATATCTGGGATGCTATGATGGACTTTTTTGCAGCTGAAATGGATTTCAGTGCAAGCAAAGTGATCAACACTGTTGTGCTCTTCTCATTTGGTGAGTTCTCAGATTGAGTGAATTACATTATGTAACTCATATTTACTACAGCTTGAGTTGTGCTCTCCTTAGCTGCCCTGGGACTAGCAGAAATATTCAATATTCAGTATCACTGTAATTATTTAAACTAGCACCCAACTTCAAATAAGCACCCGATGTACAAGTTGGTAGGAAAAGTTAATAAGTGCCTAACCTTGAAGTGAAGTGAACAAGAGGAGTATTTACCACTACCTCTTTACTGCCTTACAATCTCTTAATTCTATGTTTGTGTTACATCTCCATGTTTTGATATTAGTTTGTTTTGGTGATGGAAAATAAACGTACTTCTTGCTGAAAATGGCGAAAATTTAATAACCACCTAAGGCACTTTGTCAAATAAATACTGTTTTTATATGTAGTTACCAGCAAACCTTGCTGGCCTAAAGTGCATGGGATTGTAAGTAACCTGCTGCTTGGCATACCCCTATGAAGAATTGTGTTAATTATGGTGCTAAGGCATATAGACATATAGCTATATATTTTTTTGGTTTTGATAGATCAGAAGACTTATCAATCCATAGACAAAAACAGATACCCCATGAAATCAGTTCTACTTCATGAACTCATCAAAGAACCTCAGGCCTCTGCAGTAAGTACTGTCCATTCCCCAGCTGCAAGCATATATTTATTACAGCACGTATTCATTAAAAGGAAAGAAGGCTGGATAAAAGAATTTTTAAATCATTTCATCAAACGTTTATGGTAGCCAATCAAAACACAGAGTTTACTTCACCCCACCAGCCATGTGTTAATATAAAGTATTACATATTCAAAAAGAGTCATTGTTTACAGTCATGGACAATCGCTGATTTTATTTCAAATTCAGTCAAAGAGGAAAGTTTCATCGGTATGACCATTACTTTGGAAGTCGAAAAGAGCACATTTCGATTGAATGTTGGAAAACTAAAACCAAAAACATAACGACAGCCAATTATAGCGAAGGAAGATATCACATTGAGTGCGGGAAAACGCGAGTGACCAAGTCGCGATTGGTGTAAGTTTTGAATCTGATTGGTTGATTAAGTGGCATGACTTTTCTGAACCAATCTTATGGCGATGTTGAGCATAACCAAAGCTATCCCAGAATATTCTCGACACTCAATTGAGAATTGCTGTTATAGGGCCGTTTATATGGGATGGTTATTTAACTGTCGTGAAGTGTTAAATCATCTTTTATTGCATCGTAGGAAGATGTCCTTTCAGCACTCGCAAAACATTTGGATGATAGTGCACTGCAGTCGCGTTCATTCTTGGTTGATGTATCAGGGACGTCCATTGATGAGGAACATATCTCTGAACAGGTACAATTTCAACTTAGAAGTCTCAAGTTCAGCGGCAAAGTTCTGCTTTCTGTTGATCAAGCGTTTAATATTGACGTGATTGGGAGATTCTGGATCTGAATCAACCCTGTTTATACCATGAATGTTGGGTTCATCGCTAAGAACGGATTGAAAAATGACTTAAGATTTCTTGTTTGAACACAAGGTCAGAACATCTTTTTGAGGAATAGACGTAGTTACTCACCATGCTATATCAGGTGTATTGTATGGTTGACAATTCGAAGTTCTGGAATAAGTGCTCCAGGTTTAATCCCTGGACGACATCACTGTTTTAAGTATCGTCAACACTCCGGGCTATGGCTTCTGCGAACCTTGTAGTGAAATGAAGTCTAGGTAACGGAGATTAGCGACAGAAGGGACGTTGTATCCTCTCCTGTCTGATTCCCAAAGCACTCTTATCTCACTTTGTCTTATACGAAGTTTTTCCTCTTGTAACTCAGCAGCTCAAATGGGCTGATGACCGACGGTCAAGAATCAAAGAACATTTGATTCCTTGTCACCAATGGTTTTGCTAAAGGAACTAAAAGAAAAAAAACATAAAACAAAAAAAATGTAAAGGTGTAATTTGCGAAGACTTGCCTTTGATGCAAATGTTTTTTGTACTTTTTACTTTCAGTTTACGAAACCACAGATTCTGTTTGTAGACGTTGACGTAGGTCAGTTGGATTACTTCTTGCACGGACTCAAGCGCAAAACAGACAGGAAGAAGTCCATTTTCAGGAAGAAAGCACAGTTATACAAATCAGTCAGCTCAACGGAGAATGAAACTTTACTGTTCCCTGAACACATCGATACTGAATTGTGCAGAAGAATCGCTATCTGTTTGGCGGAACAACGAGCTAGTTGAGAAATGTTTATCCTTAATTTTTTCTCGTGTTCATGGTAGTACATATCTTAATACTAGTGATCAAATCACTTTTTACAGTTGATACAAACAAAATTTTATCTTTCTTCCCATTCGACATGGAGTCCTGTATATACTTGGTTCAGTGTGACTTAAAGAAACCACAGTTGAAGATTTTATTTTTACAAAAAAAGAAAATAATTATTTATTAGAGATGATTGTGCGACACTCATATTTAATTCTTTGTTACAAACTCTGACGTTCTGTGTCGTTCAAGATCCGGAGTTTGAACACAGATAAAGCTGTTAAGTTGTCTTGGGAGAAAAAATTTCTCTGGCTTGTATATACGTACAGAAAGAAACGTTACTTGTATAAATATATTTTCTTCTATCTTAAGTGAAAGGATATAGAAATAATTGGAAAGTAAATAAAACGAAAGACAATCTTTCTTAACAGTTTGAGCACCAATAGGACAGTGTACGCGTCATGCTTTCAATTAGACAGTGTATATATTAGGACAGTTAAAGGGACAGTTAACACGTCATGCCTATGTAAATGGACAGAACGCGTCATGAGCGCGCGCTGCTGTCTCGCATTACGCCGAGTTAAATGTTGATATTTTTATGAAAATGTATACCCGACGTTTAGTTTCTTTCTCAACTTCTGTCATGGTTTTGATTAATTGGTAACAGGACTTCGTGTTGTCCAATTCTGTCTGTAATCATACTCGTGATTAATAAACCGGATTTTGTTAATTACTCGTATGATTGGAATTGGACTCCACTCGGTCCTATTACCATTATTAATCGTTGAGTCAAAGAAGAACGTTCTGTTTTTCTCGCGTGCTGCTCGAGGGGAAAATGTTATAAAAAAGTATAGTTGTCAGGAGTGGGATTCGAACCCACGCCTCCATTCGGAGACCAGAACACTCATCCCAGCGAGTTCTGAGAAGGGAATTCCCCTTGAGTCTGGCGCCTTTGACCGCTCGGCCATCCTGACTACTTTCCAAAGAAAGCGCAACAAGTGCATAAAAGAAAACGGGCTTTGTTTTGTGAACAGCAGCACGGGCTCATGTCGATGAAAGCTGGCTTAACGTACCAGAGGGATGTAAGTGAACAAAAACCCATCTTAACAGAAATATGATGCAAAAGCTACTGGCTAAGAGAAACCATATGAGTCTCATTTTACCTCCACGAAAAGGAAAAGTTAAAATCGATTTAAAAAAACGCAACAGCATAAAGAACGAAAAAAAAAGGAAAAAAATTTACAGAAGCAGAAACATAATGGGAAATAAACAACGACAACTAACACACTCTCAAAAACAAAAATACACGGGGCTGAACCTTTTACCACGTCTGGAACCAGCTATTACCGAAATTTCCCTCTTGATCCTTGGAAGACGGAGGTTGGAGACGTGCTAGTTATGCATACTTCGAATAAACTGTGCGATGATTGGCTGATGAGTGGAAACGCGCCACAGTGAGAAATGAAGAAGAAACAACACGTTGTTATGAATAACCTGTCTTTTTAACATCGCGTACATTGTGGTAAACAGTGCAATAAGTTTGGTTTCTGCCGTTTTCAAATTTTACTTCCAACTTATTTTTACCGTTGGTCAGCGCAAAATAGTTGAAATTGACGCTGTTGTTTTAATTTTTTCTTGCTAGCTTGCAGCCCGATTTCTTGAATATCAGCTGAGCAGAGTTTAAATTTAGTAATGGCTTCAAGGTTCAAAAAGGTAGCACTTAATTCTTTAGACCAAGCTGTATGTCCAAGTGCTATAGCGTCTTTCAATTTTTAAGTACTCTGCATCTGAGCGTTGAAATGTTGATTTTTAGGGTGCAAATCAAGTCAAACTCTTGAATAAGATCACCACAGGATTCTCCAAGAATGAAGGTGATAGTTCAGAAGAAACAGCAGATAAACAGGAGAAAACCAACATGACCGGTTCCCTCAAAAGTGTAAGTTTAAAACCCTTAACATATAAACAGACTCATCAGTTACCCCTTATAGACATTGTATAATACCATCAACCAAATTTTTGTGCTTATCCCAGGAATTATTATTTGAGTTTCAAAAAATGACGGTCAATTTTTTGAAAGAAAATCTTAAGCAATGGGTAATTTTGAGTTATCTTAAGCCTGGCTGAAAGGTTTTTAAGGGCCATTACAGTGTAGATATATAGTGAACTTTATGGAAAGAGTTAGTAGTCCGCATATATCAAAATAGAAATAGCCTTTTCGACATAATATCTTCTGGGAAAAATTTGTACCTTGTCTATGAAATTGTGATGAGATGAATAATATTTTATGAAAAATAAGTAGATGAATGAATTTATAAACAGATAATCTAGCAGTGGCACAACAACGGCTGGTTCATCATGTGTGTGTAGACAACAAATTCCTGTTCGTTTTCATGGAAAAGAGGGGGGTGGGGTTGGAGAATGCTTAACAAAGTATCCTTTGCCTTATGCTGGGTTTAGGAAGCAAACCTGACTTGCAGAAGTTATGTGTCAGTACTCTTTAAATACCTCTGAACATTGTGCCATTGGTGTCCCCTCCCCAGAAAGTCGTTATTTAATGAGCATGATCTAGGAAGTGGTGAAGATGGTGGTGCAGCATCTTTTGTATAATTGCATGTTGAATTACATAGGTTGCTTGGACATGGTAAGGCCCTTACTTATATTTTCATGCCATTCTGCTAGCAATTTTTATCCTTGTGGTTATTCTTTAAGACTGTTGACAGGGTGATGCTCCGCCTGAAGGTTACCTCTATGGAAGAAGAGAAAAGGTTAAGCCCTATTTTGTGCTCTGCCTGATCAACTGAAAGTCTGTCAGTATTACTTTGATCCAAAGTATGAATACACCCTACTTTAAATTATAGAACTTATTAACCCTTGATACCTTAACAGCAGTAGACAAGTTCTCCACACTATATTCTATACACATTTAACAATCAAAAGCTTCTTGACTTCCCAATCATTTCCTTTATCCTCATGGTGTTTAGGTTTGATTCGGGAGTGATACTGTTTTGACAAATTAGATGCTTATCACTATTAGGGTTTAATAGTTAGGAGTTTTTTCTAGGTTTTACTAAATAGAAATTACCAATTATTGTAAGGTGTTTGCATATATGTGTACTGTCTTGCATTTTTTCTTTTAAGAGGGTAAAAGTTCCACACTAGTCATGCTGCTGAATATTGAATTGCCTCCTTTAATTGCCTGTTTTATGCTACTTTCAGTAGATGTTTTTAAAATACAATGCCACTGAATGACATAAATCCTGGCAAATAGGTGCTTTTTGTTAACTGATGGACTTGTCCCTTTTCACATATAGAGATAACTTAAAATCTTTTAAGACCTGGTGACTGTTATCATGTAATGTCAATCCTGTTCAATTTCTTTGATTTCAATGCAGTGAGAAAGAATTCCATGCAGTTTTCCATACAGTACAGAATGAGGTAATGTTGAAATAAAAACAATTAACAATTAAAAATACATGGTAACAAAAGTACCTTTTGGGAAGTGTCAACAGGATTTTCAAGGCTTTCACCGAACAAAAATTGAAACACCAGACAGTGCTCTTTAGTTTTACAGTCCTTTTTGAGTTTGATGGAGAGAGATTTTGTTTTATTACACATGTTTGGATCTGGAATTTGAGCCTTTGTCTTATTTTCATACTTCTGAAAATATATGTCAGGGTTTGTACAGGTCCTGAGAAACCTGGAAAGTCCTGGAATTTTATATTGACATTGGAAAGTCGTAGACTACAGACTACAGGCCCTGGTAATTCCTGTAAATCTGCTTAACTCAAGCAATAAAAGAATTCAGAATTTATGTTATGAGGAAATTATTGCAGACCATAATGAGAATTGATTTAGAAATCTTTGTAATGAAAGAGTTTAAGGTGAAAATTTGGAGTCTTAGAAAAGTACTGGAAAAGTCCTCGAAAGTTATTTTCTGAAAAAGGGTACTAACCCTGATACATGCATTGACACTCCACTAACACTTCTTATAGGTGGGTCCAATAAATATAGGCTCATTGCCCCTTGACACACAGCCATAGTTTAGCCTGTGAGAGCAGGCTATTATAGGTGCTACAGCAAACTACGCCATCAGAGTTAGGCTGCAGAGATGGTAAGTTACCTACCACAACCCTCATTGGCAACCAGTATTAAATTAAACTTGTCTCTGAAAGCTTTGCTCCTCATGTCCTCACACTTTAATTGATGAAGTCTTCCTGAGGGATGCAGTAATTGCCAAAGATATAACTGAACTAGTGGTGCTCCAGCCACAGAGTTATATTTTTTGTCTTGTGCTACAATATGCAACAAAATTTTTGCCCAAGTAAGTCTACATCTTCTGATTAGTATGTTTATTTCACCTCTTAGAAAGAAGAACTTCTGATGTCAAAAGAGAATGAGGAGGAAAACATGTGGGATATTGTGGATTTGGATGATGAGGCAATTGAGGAATATGCTTCTAATGAGCTATTGGGGCAGTTTTTGTCCAACACAGTGTTCAGAACTGGAATTCTCTGTGTCATTTTATTTAACAGTATACTGATTGCTGTTGAGACAGACCAGGAACTTGTGAGTATAACACAACCCTTAAGCACACAATCCTGAGCTACTTAGGAGACCTTCTCTCTGTGTACTGTCAGTATTTTCATAAAGAATTGTAGTATAAAAGAATGATGTACGATAAGGTAAGGATGAAGTCTGCACTTGAGCTAAGTGACCCGTCCAGCTAGAGCTATGTTATAAAAAAACCCCTGTTTCTGTTGCATGAATCAACTAGGAGTATTACTGCTACCCCCTGGATACTAGTCCAATGTTAACCCCACCCCACCACCACCCTTAGAATTTCATTTTCCCACAGTTCTCTTTGGTACCTATTTATACTCCTGGGTAGTAGGCACTGTGATAGGAAAGTGCTTGGCCCAAGAACACATCAAAAAATCCAGGTCAGCACCCAAACCTGAACCTCTCCACCAGTCCAGCCCACTACCTGAATGCCACCAGTCTCTCACAGGGAATGATGTAAAGAAACAGGAAAATAATCTGCTAATAGTTTAATGTTCAAATTTTTTCCAATTTCCTGATACTTCAACAGGAGGAGAAGTACAGTCATTTGTTCTCAGTGTTAGATCAATGCCTGATGACAATCTTTGTGTGTGAGATTCTTGTCAAATGGTATCATGGATTTTTTATGTTCTGGAAGAGGGGATGGAATGTTCTTGATTTCTTCATTGTGGTGGCTCTCCTTCTTGGACCTTGTGAGTTTATTGTTGATATGAAGTTTTTAATATTCACTTGCAATTTATTGTTTTTCCGCCTTCTGGTATTTTTATTAGTTCAAATTAAATACGCGTAGTTGAGTAAATGGAGGGGGAAGGGGACAGGATCTCACCACAAAACATGTTAAAAATGACTGTGTCAGGTGTAATTTTTTAGTTCAGACAATACCAGAGGTTCATTTGTACAAAGTAGGTTGTCCAGTTGAAAATACCTCCTTCTAAAAAAACAAATTCTCCAAATTTCCAATGCAATCTTTGAAACAGTGGACAAAAAGCCACCCATAAAAGTGCCACCTCTAATATCCATCCAGTATCTTTTCAAGCTATAATGAGGTTAATTTATACATGCAAGGGACATTTATCAACCTCTTCACACCTCATATGAGCGCTTCTTATGCCTTGAACTCACTTGTGATCAAGTCTTTTTCCATCCCTGATAACCTGACCAGAAGAGGAACTTAGCTAGTTTCTTGTAGGTTGCAGTACATAACTGTCTTCATCACTGAGGCATTTTTATGGTATTGTTAGTGCTTAGCACAGGATCAGGAAGTAGAGGTGTATTGAGAATTCTCCGAGTGTTGAGAGCTTTCCGCAGTCTTAGAAGGTAGAAAACTGATTATAATGAAAAACCAGTCTAACAACAGTAGAGAACTCTCAGGTGGTGTTGTATTATCTTTTCCTCGTCGTATTGAGCTGACAAAATTAAACCTACGTGTTTACCAGTTAGTGATAGGTCATGTTTTTTTTTTTCTATTTTTAAATTAGAGGCGTAGTAAGTCAAGGTAGTCAGTGGTTCATGGTTCCAACTGTCTTTCTAAGGAAAGGGTAGGGACTGTGGTGAGGGCCTGGCAAGCCATTTAGTATGATAAGCAAAGTTCCCTTCACACTTGGCAAACTGTTATGTATGATGGAAATAATGCCAAGGCCGCACAAACGGGCTACCTTACTTCTCAAAAGCAGTAGATAGTTGGGTGTGTTTATGACTTAAGTTGACTAAATTTGTCTTGTTTTAATTTGATTATAGCATCACTTCCTTGCCTGGGTTACAGATTGTTGTACAGACAATATTACAGTCAGTTCCCGGTGAGATCATTTTTTCCTTTTATTTTCCTAGCGCTTATGCCTTGTGTTACCGTGACAAGCTGGACCTATACAGAGTCAGAGTATTTACTATAGGCGGGTTAGGCTGTATGCATGACAACTAGTAACATTTGAATTTTATAAGTGAGCCCGGTGTATAGGATAAACAAACAGTTCAGTGTGGAAAGAAACCGGCGTTTCGTCGTTATCTTTATTACGCCTACCTGGACACTGGAGCCACCCTCTCGACTAATCAAACTGCGTGCAACAGTATGATGAATCGGTTACTCGCGTTTTTCTGCTGTTCCAGCACTTTACTTCTCGTTCACTCGGTCTTTACGTTTTTCATGTATTGCTTGTGATGTTTTCCTTCGCAATGATTCGCCATTGTAACTGCTTTTGTCTCAGATTAGCGGCACTCGATCGAAATGTGATCCAAGCTACCTAGCTAGCTAGTAGTGTTACAACCCTATGCTGTAATTTTGGGAAAGCAATGTGGGAAAATTATCAGAGACCCCGAGATCGTGTGCTAAGCATAAAAAGTGCGACACGGCCGCTTGTTTATCGGTCGCCATACACAATACTGTCATAGTTAATCTGGAGAACTTTGTAGATAACACATACACTGTAGCCCAATAGCATGATCTCTTCTCTTCACAGACATGGCGAATATAGTATTGTTGCTCGTGATTATCATGCTGGTGTTTTCAGTGATTGGCGTCACGTTGTTCAGAGACATTGTTCCCATGTATTTTGGAAATCTCTCGAGCTGTATCCTTTCATTATTCTTTTTATTAAGTGATCTTTAAAAGAAACGATATGCCACCAGGGAAATCAAGGGAAATGACATTTTCAAATCTAATTAAAAAAACAGGCATCTGTACGATTAGTCTGCTTAATAACTATGCTATACTCCGGTCATATGAGTGTCTGTGAGTAGAAAGCATGGGTCTCCGCTTGCGCGCTTTGCGCGCAGGAGCTCAGTTATGATTTTAAACTTCAGAGCGTCATTTCTCCGATCATATGAGTCGCGTTTACTTAACTTCTTTCAGCAATGTTTTATCTCTTTGTTTGTCTGACTCAAGATGGCTGGATGGAGATTTTCAAAGCGTTTCAGGTAATTAGACGATAACCTTATTGATGATGCACAACATATTGAACTGCTTAAATGCTACGCAGCTCAAATGAAAGGCAGTACTGTGGTATATGTGTTATTATCCAGGGCTACTTTTTTTACATGTTTATTTCTGGAAGGGGGAGGAACTTGTCAGAGAGGAAGGTCTTGTTACAGTTTTTACTATATTGTGTCTTGCAGGATGTTGGAGAGACGTACTACATTGGTGGAGGACTCTTTCTCCTTGTATTCATAGCGATTGGTGCGTTCGTTTTCGCCAACCTTGTTGTGGCTGTCGTGGTAACAAATCTGGTTAGTGATGAACTCTGACGGTAAAATACTTAAACGAAAGATTTGGTGTAAACAGCTGTATTCCGCAACGAATCTCACTCCTTAAACCAATCCTTTAAAACCCTAACGAGATAGTTTGTTGTTATCAATTGAGTTCATGATGTAACTTGGCCACTGAAAAGAGTTTATACTGAAAGCTGCCGTTTCGAGCGTTATCCCTTCGTCATCGCTCTGACGCAGGGCTGCCGCTCGAAACGTTAGCTCTAGAAAGTCTTTACGGGGGCTAATTTACATTACCAACGCAATTAACAAAACCTCTACCGACTGTGTTTCAAGCATTGCGATGCCATATGTGAGTTGTGTGTTCACTGTCACCTTCACTTACTCACTCAAAAAGGAATTTGCTATGGTGGATGTGAAGACTGAAGGAAAAGATCGCGGAGAAAAAGATGACCTCAAAGCCAAACTTGACGGAGATGGTAAGTTGTGTCCAGGCGCGCAAAAAAGCTTTTTAATCATTAAGTTCCCGATCTGACTTATTGCAGCCTTGTAAAATGTTTAAGAAAACTTGAAATGAAAATAAACAATTTTAAGCGGCAGATGGATGAGGATGAAAGAACTAACTGCGGGGCACTATATTGATTACTTGAGACTAAATCGGATTCTCGAGGCTCTGGAGAAATGACTGTACAGTGCGGAAATCATCGCTCTGGTAGCTCAAGAATTTCCAGTGTCTTATCATTTTGTTCTTACATCAGCCTCATACTGGACGCTGAGAGAACTGTAAAGACTTATGACATCGGTCGAATTTGTGTAGCCTGCGTAGCTTGCGGTTTTGGGGCGCTCGATCGCTTGAAATAGGCCGCGGATGGAGCCGAGAAAATGGGGAGTGGAGCATCAAAAAGAAACTAGTGTATCCCGTCTTAAACCATTCGCGGCTTCGCCTTTCCTTCTCTCGGTTTCCCTCACAAAACCGGCAGGTCTAAGGTTAGTATTTGCAATTTTCAGACACCACTCTGAAGACTGTGGGAGTTGAAGAAGTTCCAAGTTTTGTGTACTTGAAACAAATGCCGTTTCAGTTACCGGTAAGATTTGACTTATTGAAAGGAAAGTTTTTTTGCGTGTAAAAGGTATTACACTAGATAGACAAATAATTTAGTTTACTGAAAAGTTCGTGAACGGCACATTATATCTTTGATTTGGCTAACCTTTGCTTTAACCTTTAAGAAAGATCCAACAGAAAATTAAATAGTCTGAGTAATGTCTCCCTTTCAAATCAAATGCAAATGTTTCTCATTGATGCAAGATTTGCCACGTGGCGAAAGCAAGTTATTCCAACTTAACTAGTGAATTATTTTGCTGTGAAGAGAGGTGTTACAACAATTAACTGTTAACATTGAACTCCTTCTGAACAACATGAGTGGTTACTTTTTTATTAGTACTTAAAAAACTTGCAAGAAACCAAGTTTTGTCGTTGTTATCCTGGCACGCTTTTGTTAATCTCTGCATGTGGCCTCGATTGCCGCTGCTCTCAGAATGGACTTAATTTCTTAACTGGGGCAGCAGCGTTGTCGAGCCGAGAGTGCATTATACCAGGCCCGACTTGAGCCTCTCTCTCGGGTCTTGCTTTCGTTTGAATGCATGGACGAGCGGCGATGCCTTATCTGGACACCGGCTGGTGTTGGGAAATTTCAATTATATTTATATTTATAATTTCTTTTTTTTTCTGTCCCGAGGTTAAATGTTTGGTCGCTTTCTTTAAGTAGACTTCTATCTCACTCGTGTCTTGCTTTCGTTTAAATGCATGGGTGAGCGACGACGCCATTTCTGGAGAGCGGCTGGTGTTGGGAAATTTCAGTCATATCTAGATTTATAGCTTCTTTCTTTTTGTCCTGAGGTTAAATATTTGGTCGCTTTCTTTAAGTAGATCTTTTATTGCATAGGACTTGACAAAACTTCCTTCCGAGAAACTAGAAAATTATTTCCTCATTCTGAGCGCGATTGAAGAAAATCTGGGAGAATCGAAAAGAATCAAGGCAGAGATCAATGAGGTGAGAAAGCAGGATGATAGTTTCCAATGGAGATGTCATGTCTCGAGTGAAGGTAAATTGATCTGTGGTCGTGAAGTGCAGTGACTGGTACTTGTCATACCAGAGGTAACCAGGCGGATGTTTGTACCTCTTAGTCCTTTCACTACCGAGATCACTCTGAATATCAATGCTTCGCATTGTTTTCCGTACTTTCCCTATGACGTTGGCTCCTGGGGTTCGTAATCAAATCAAACAATATCGCCAACTGAGTTGATATTTTCTGGCATTTCTTTACCTTCCTTCATGAATATCTACATTGCTACAGAATAATTTATTATGCTGCTATGGTAGGAGAATTCTTTTTTAGACACTTACGGTGGGGAAAGGATACATCGTAAGTTCCATGTTGTTATTTGCTATAGAGGGTAATTTGACGGCTGTTTTGTTTGTTTTTACTCAGTGATCATGCTTTCTCTTTTCTCAGATAATTGGTGAAGTGTCGGAGCTACAAGACAAGGCGAAGAAGGAAGGGATTTTGAAGAATGACAACGAACCCGATGATACGAAAACCAGGAGCGACGATAATTTTGAGGTATGGAATTTGCATCTTTGAGTTTTGGATTTTGTAGGAAAACTGTTTAAATATCAGAGGGAAATCATTAGATTACTTTTTAGAGAAAAGAAGAGAATCTTGGCTCTTTTGGTGTTCGTATCCATTATTTAAGATGAGTTTAAATTCCTCCCCGAGCATACTGATATCTGTTCATATTGTTCAAGCTAAGCTGAGACTATTCTTGAAGGTTTTGGAAGAACGCCTTCAGTCTGTTAAATTTAAACAATACTTTGACTATTTTGTGTAATGAAAAATGATCAGTACAACAATATTGTAATTTGACCCTATCACTTCGTGCGATGTTTCCCAGTCTATTTTTGTCACGTGATCTTTTTTTTTTTTTTTTTTTTTTTAACCAAAGATGCGCTTGGGAGAGTATTCTATGCATTATTTTCAAAGTTCTATCATACATGTAGTGTCCAATGTGGTGGCCTGGTGTCTACCATTCTGCACTGAGAGGTGTGAGTTCGAGCTCCTTGTGTTGTGATCTGGGGAGAGAAAATTTACTCTCGTAATACCTCTCTCCATCCAAGAGTATGAATAGGTGCCAGCAAACTGTTATGGAAGCGAAAGGAATACTTGAGGGGGGGGGGATTGACAACCTGCCATGGATTACATGTCATTTGGAAGAAGAAGCAATAATATTAATCTAAATCACTCAACCCTTTACAGTGATTAACACTATTTGCATGTCCTCAGCCCACACAGATAACTGGTGGCGATTTGATGTCGAACCTGATGGAGATGGAGCAAGGTAAACTATTTGACTCGCGCAAGGAGACATTGGGGTCCATGCTGCGAGAGGGCGCTAGACTGGTGAGCACAGTCACACAAAAGAAAAATACAACTGATGAACGGAGAAGGCCTTCCATTCCGGCTACTTTTTTCAATAAAGGGTGAACACTTGAAGTCTTTAAAAACCTTGTCGAAGATTGTATGTTAAAGTAAGACTCGAGTATACGCAGAGCTATGATCTCATTGTCAAGCTTTCATCGTGACCTACTTGACTTCATTTTCATTTTGATCATCTGTTATATCAATTGAAAATGAGAGTCGAACAGTTTTTCTTGGGAATTTTAAGGGTTGTTTCGTCCCGGGATTAATCAAATTTCAATAAACTTACACATTAGCCTTAGAACTGTTACATACCTGATGGCTGATTTACTCAATTTAACCAAACCACATCGTCTGTACGGAATAGATCAGACTGATGCCGACAAGTTAAGTATTAATTAAATCGAAGGCAGATTTACCAGTGATTATCGAACTGTATGGACCCGTCAGGCTCATATTGGTCAAGACACCCGTGGAATCCCTTCACAGGACATGAACTGAACACTTCAGTTTCGTACTTGTCCCAACCGGACTGTTTTCCAGTCGATAACCAGTGTTCGGCGTGTTTATAAACTTCCTGACCGTAGCGATGTCTTACATAAAGCCCTGGATTGTAAGGAGCGTTTAACCAGTTTCCGCTAAAGAGGACCTTCGTCGGGAGGTGCTCATTGACGAGGATCTCTCTTGGGTTCATCCGATGCTGGCCGTACATCTGAATGGACCATCCATCAGCTAGTAGCTCAATCTTACCACCAGCTTCAATTCCTTCTACACAGCACCATGGCTCCTCTGAAAAGGAATATAAAGCTAAAAGCATGGCCCAAGTTATAGAACCTTTTTCAAATTTGGCGGCTGAACACCAAAACCATTCAAATTTTAAACTGCACAGGAAATGTATTCAAGTACCTAATGAGCAGACATTTCTTGGAGTCAGCAGTGCACGTGTCGTTTAGCTAATTGCTTTTCTTCCGAAAAAAGGTTAAATGAAAATTTGTATAACAAAAGAGAGAAATATTCATGGCTGCTTGTGGGTATATGCCTCCGTTCCCTCTTGAAATATGCGGCAGATTAATTTTATTTTATCATACTATCAGTCATTTCTTTGCATGTTATGCTATGCTTTGAGTATTGGGAAATGACAGGGGTTACTAGGTCCTTTTGTCATCGATAGATTCTCGAATCAACTCGCTTTGATTGTGAGTACCCAAAAGAAGATTAACAGGTTTGATATTGAAACTGAACATAAGGTAAATGCTGTCTCCTACATACTTATTTCATGGACCACATATCGCTGACTAGTGAACGCGTCTTTTATCTTGACTATCTTTGGAAAATCTGCAGTGAGAAAAGCAATATCGGCATCTCTTTCCCAAGGCAACACCTTGTTGAGTTTAACAGCTCCTAATAAGGTTCCTTCTTGCAGCTCGCAAGTTATATTATTTCTTTCGCATTGCTCCATCACAAATTTGATTGCATCTGCTAAATTCTCCAAACAGCATGGTGGAACGACAAATCCTGACTTCAAGGGACATTTTTCTTCTTCACGATGCTTTACACCCCTTCTACAACCAAACCATCGAGTTTTGCCATCGGCTTCGACTATCTTTTTAATGCTGTGTTTCTTTGCAAAATTTACGAGATCTTCGTCAAGTACCGGAGAAGGCTGCCGATGGAACATGACATCCGGGCAACTGATGACCGAGGTCCCAGAGTGACCAAGTCCCGGATGTGAGTTGAAATATCGATCTTTTACTCTCAGGAACAGTTCTTGGAAAATACCATTATTCCCACGCAAATGAAATTTAAATTCTTTCAACACGGATGTTTTTGCCATAAATGGGCCAGATATGTAATCGCAAACTAAACATTCACTAAATGAACGATAATAACCGGATTTGTAAGTCAAGGTGTAATTTTTAAGCTGCGTTTGAAGGCAGCCGTTTGACCAGTGACCCGTAAGGTTTCTCCAACTGCCACCCGCAAAGAACGTATTTTTATGAGTCGAGAGAACTCTTAGAAGCCTTTCAAGATTGATATCGTTTGTAAAACGTGTCAAACTGGATGCAATCAAGATATATTGAGTTTTTATTCCAGTTATAATGTGTTGAAGTAATTCTCCTTTGCTAAACGTGTAGTTTCTGAGAGAGTGGATGTAAATTTTGGTGTGCAAATCAAAGATTATTTTGCTCCTTAGCGTTTCGATTTCATGTTGATTCCAACTTTTTCCTAGAATAAAATGAGTTCGGATTCCTTGATGTAAACGGTACACGCTTTCAAGGAACATAATAAACCTGTCAGTACGACTTGTAGGGGTGAAATCCTCTATTTGGTCACCAGTTTCTGTCGTTAAAACAACTTCATCAAAAATTAATGTCACAAGTTCATTTATGTCCCTTTTGACAGAACATTCTTCAGTTTGAAAACCTTTTCTGTAAAACGGATAGCCATAAGTTGATCCTTTATAAACTTCGGGACATACAATTTGCGATTCTTTCACCTGATCATCACCGGACCGTCTTCGCCCATCTTTGGAGTCCACGCTAGCACTCGTAATAAACTCGATTTCTCGAAGAAGCTGTCGTAGGTTGTCGTAATGACCGTCGATTACTTTCGCCATGGCAATGTCGCGATCTACAGACATTCTAACATAAGTCAAATCTTTGGTGAGTCTTCGAAGACGCTGAATTATTTTCTGTTGCGCCATGCATAGCGGTTTGTTTTGAACTTTTCTCAACAAAGCGATCTGCGTTTCGTTTCGCAAAATAGCTCGTGATGTGTGATAAATGTTGATGATCAAGTATATTATAACCAACAGTATAAGGATTGTCTTCAATTTCCGCTGGATTGCCGACATTCCAAATTACTTCTGCACAGCTTGTCTTGCCGCTGCCGCCGAGGTCTGTCTATCCTCTAAAACTCGCCATAATTTGAAGACAGCATTTCACCTACGACCCAAGCATCGGCAAGTGATCGCTGATCGCCGTAATGAGCGATCTAAAACAGACCACTCGCTCTTTCAAGGGGACCGTTTTTATTATGCTTAAGCTCAATTTTTGCTTACCTTACAATAACGATGTGGTTCATACAAAACAAGCATGAAGATTTCAACAAAATTGTGTCGCCGTGCGGATTTCCATAGTCTGTTTAAGCAACCAGTCAGGTTTTTTCATGTACAGTGGAAATTAACGTGGGGGGAGTGGGAGCTAAGGTTGTTATAAAACTGGCATGCGCAGATGTACACAAGTCTCATAAGAATAAAAGACGTCTACAGAATTGATGTTTTTAAAGTTGGAATTTAACTTTGAGAAGCACCTCGTCCGACTGTTTCTTTCTTTCTTTCTTTTTTTTTTTTTGAGGGGCGGGTTGAAATTGGGACTGGGAGTGTTGGTTTTATGTGTGGGAAAAAACAAGAGAACCCGGAGAAAAAACCTCAGAGGCAAGGACAAGAAGAAACTTGAACCGTGATACCACATCCGGTGATCGAACCCGTGCCACAGCAATAGGAGGTGAGCGCCCTCACAACTGCCTGTTACCCATAATCCATGTTCCGTTCGTATGTAGCACTTTTCCGGGGGAGTGAACTGGGTACTACAACTCGAGTCGCTAACACAGACACAAAAATGCACAACAGCTCCAGATAAATATCTTTGCGATTTCTTATATAATAAATTTATGCATAAAGTGATATATAAACTTTACAAAGAAGGAACTATTTTAACTTAGGTAAATATTTTTTTGAGTTATGACATTTCGTTTGTAAAAATTTAGTGTTCTAATAATAATAATAATAATAAAAAAAAACTTCAGAGTCCTTTACGATGTGTAAATCCTCTGCATGGCAGACAGTAAGGAGAATTTCTAATGAGATCTTGGGAGTTAAAGGGTTACGGGTTCCTGACAAAAGTTTGATGGCTGGCGCATCAAAGTGTCCGAGCAAAATGGTAATATCTTATGACTTGTAATTGTGTTGTATCTGGCATACAAAAATTAAAAAATATGACGATCAAAATCTGATAAAAATGCATTTAAATTAAACTAGGTGCATGTAGTATTTCTTTCCTGTGTGACCTGGCAAATAAATAGAGCAGAATAACTGTACCTGTAACATTTGTCTTTAAAAAAAAAACTATCCATAAATTAATTGGCTACATATCAACATCTCATGTACCTGGTAACTGTAACATTAATATCATGAATTGGTCATTATTATAGTCGAAATATTCGGGTTTTTCTCAGCTAAACTTTGCAGCGAAATCAAAAGCATTTTCTATGCACAATTTCTGGTCCCATTTCGTCGTACTCCTGCACAGAAATACACATCTGTGGGAATGTTGAGAGTCCAGCCAACACGGCACTTCCGCTCCATACAGCGTACTTCCGGTCATCAGGGCTGACAACTCTGACCCGGCCAGGGTCACGTGGATTAACAAGAGTTGATATCTCCTTATGAAGGCGATCAGGAAGTCCAGGTAACATTGTACTTCCACCTTTAAAAGAGGATAAGTGACCAAGAAAGATATTAAATGTAATTTAAGAAAACTTGAAGTGCTGACGATTTTTGGCAGGCGACCGCTAATTGGAAAGTTTATCCTGGATGTTTATTGCAAAAGGAAGTTTGGGGGAGGAAGATAGACATTTATGTCGTGGGTATGGACGATAGACGTGTGGAAAGAGGTGCAGGTAGGGGAAGGATAAAAGAATATCCACCTTTGCCCGCTCTGATCCCCTTTCTCCACACTGATAGCACCCACTCAAATTCCATTTTAAGACCCCTGCAAAGCAGGATGCTTCTCATCTCTTCATGTTGAAATTCTCATTTCACAACGGTGTTCACTATATATTTCAGTACACACGAGACATGACATCAAGATAACTGTTTCACGCTGAATTACGAACAAGTCTTAGTGAGTCGTACCTGATAGTAATATGTTTTCAAGTAAGTCCTTTCTGATGTCAATGTCGCATTTCTTGATACAGTTGTAAATGGATTCGTGTATTCCAACCATGTCCATGCCAAGCATGCTGGGATTGAATAATACTTCTGGGCAGCGGAATCGCTCATTTGCCACGCGTATGGACTGACCATCAGGAAGCTGTGGAACAACAAGAGAAAGGATTTCATCTTTACCGTGCGGTGAAGTAAGAGCGGTATTTGATCACAAAAGGAGCTCCACGAACTTAAGTCCATAACATACCATATATAACTCCTCAAATTTGTCACTTGTCTCAGACTCCTGCAGTTCGTGCTCAAAATCAAGGGCCACATAGGCAAGTTTCTCCTTAATGTCGCGTATGATCTCTCTCTCCGCTGTGGTCGTAAACGAGTAACCCCGCTCCGTAAGGATTCTCATCATGTACTTGGTGAGGTCCCTTCCCGCGAGGTTCATTCTCTGGGTGGCGTGAGGGAGCCAGTAGCCCTCATAAACTGGAACAGTATGGCTCACTCCGTCACCGCAGTCAAAAACGGTGCCTGAGTGACAAGGGGGAAAAAGAAGTCCTCAACAGAATAAAGAAGTTGAGGCTTTCCTGAGAGAATAAATATAAAGGGAAAAAGTTATCCCTTTCAACAGATTTTTATACTGGTTGAGGCTATTCTTTGAGAGTAAAATAAATCAGCTTTTCATGACAAAAGGTTCCTTGAATCTAGGATCACGAGAGCGTTCTGTCTTGAGGGGGAGGGAGGGGGGGTGTGGAAAAGCTCTGTCTTGGAGGAAACAGGATTAGTTGTTCACAACTCATCATGTATCTCTCACTACCAGGATAATGTAGAATATATACCTAGATCTAAACTTACCAGTAGTTCGTCCCGTAGAATACAAGGCCATGACAGCCTGCACAGCTATGTACAGACATGGCACCTCAAATGTCTCAAACATGATCTGTAGCATACGCTCTCTGTTGTACTTTGGGTTCAAGGGTGCCTCTGTCAACATGACCGGGTAATCCTGGGACAGCACCCGCAGCTGGTCATAAGTGTAACCCCAAATCTGTGAAGAAGAAGTTCAGATGTTTCGTCACCTCTGAGCTAACTGGGAACACTGCACACGAATATAAGCCTTGTAAGTAGATCTTAAATAGTTAAAAATCTCAACTGCTTCTCGCTCGACAGCAGAATCCTTGCAGCAGTAAAAACCATAGGAATTCTGCTTAAGAATTAAAGTTGGCCCTCTTTCCACGAAATAAGACAGACAGTCACACAGACAAAAAGGCACATTGACACATGAGCCAAAGCCCACAAGACCACTTTAATCAACTTAAAGGAAAACTTAGGCGGGCAGTAAACTAATATCGCAAAGAGAACAACGATAGAAACAAACCGATTCCATGTCATCCCAGTTCATTACAATCCCATGCTCCAACGGGTACTTAAGAGTCAACACACCGCGCATGTTTTGTGCTTCATCACCGACATAGTGATCTCTGTAATCTTGCATCATGGCCTCCTGACAAATTTAAACCAAAGAAGGACTGGTTTTAAAGATTTATCTTTTTAATTTCAACCACATATTAATCTTCAGTTGCCTTCATTCATTAATCAACAACCAAACTATCTCAGTGAAAAAGAGTTCCCACGTGGACGTGTGCAAACGTGTAAAGAACAAATTTAAGTTGTCCTGTACCGGCTTTTGTTGACCATATAATTAGATAATATTTACAAAAACAAGCTTCCGCACGAATTCCTCCTCTTTTTTAATCGACTATGGCTTCCAACTAACCTGATGTCGAGGTTTACCAACGACTGCTGGGAAAACCACGCGTGGCTGCTGTTCATTGGAGAAGCCAGCTTTACAAAAACCGGAGCCATTATCGATTACTGCTACAACTCCTCCACTACGCTCCTGTGAAGCAAAACATTAACTGTTCGTCAAAAGATCACTTTGTTTCAAGTTAACAAATGCCGTAGACTGCATCAAAATAAACTATACCAATACACGCCTTACGGCTCAGATTCACAATTAACTCGAGAGTAAATAATTTAGCATGGCGCGCCTCACAGGCCAACGATCTCATACTACAGTTTAGATATATTCAAAACAATATGCTACGAACGGCGCAACCAGTAATAAAATGCACGGCTGCATTAGTAGTCTGCATTGTTTGCAATCTCGCTATTTTTACTTGGTTTTCCCCTATATCCTCCATTCCCTTTTGCCATTTGCTACCTTAAAAAAACATGATTTCAAATTTTTTTCGTTACAAGTTCATTTAGTCTGATACTCACAAACGCGACGTTGTGTTCACTCGCAACTGCCGCGCTCACGGGCGGTGCGGGGGCACTGGTACGAGCTGACACAGTCCACAACACAGGAACTTTCTCCTCTTCATCAGAGCCCAGTGTCTCTCGGTCATCGGAAGCCTCGGCGACGAAAAGTTTGGGTTGATCTTCCTCATCTCCTGAACTCAGTGTGTCGTCAGAGTCGCTAGAGCCAATAATATCAAGAAGATCGTCTTCTTCATCGGCTTTTCTCGTAGAAACAGGAAAGTTCGGAAATGAGGCGACATGATTTGAACGTTTAACGACTTCTGATTGGTTCTTCATAGCGCCGTCACGTTTTTGCTGATATTCTCCTTTTTTCAACTCTTTAGCAGGTTCTAAATCGAATGCCATTTTTTCGAGTTGCTCGAATTCTTTGTCAGAAGCCGTCTTTGTTAATTCTTCAAGCGACTCATCACCTTCGTTATCACCTTCGCTTCGAGCCTTCTGTTCGTATAACGCTTTCTCGAGCTGCTCAAACTCATCATCAGAAGATTCATTGACCGATTCCTTAGCCAGCCGCATGCTATCTTTCTCAGCTTCAATGCGAGCTTTTTCCTCGTACAATAATCTTTCGATTTCCTCGAACTCTTCGTCTGAAGATTTCTTAGTCATTTCTCTCGTTCCCATTCCCTCATCTCCGCTGTCACTCATCTCGTCCTCAATCTCTCCCAACCTCGCGACAAGTTCCCGGATGTTAGCGGTGCTGTCTGATAACAGAGTGTCTTCCAATTCATCGTCTCCGCCTTGGTCAATGACATCTTCGATTTGCTGTTCACTTGACAGGTGTTCATTTTCTTTTAAATCAACTTTGACATTATCTTTGAAATCCTGCGGCTCTTCCTCGTGAAGGCTGGCATCAAATCTCTCTATCACATCTTCATCACTATCCGACTCGGCCCCATATTTCGGTTCAGCGTTTGTAAAAACAGAAGAATTTAACTCCACAAAATTACTTCCCCTCCCTTCTGAGGGAAACCAACCTAAGTTTGTCGCTGAAGATTCAAGTTGATCGCCTTGGGGTATTTCCAAGGATTCCACATGATCGTCTACGGGTAGGTCCGAAGATATACGTTGATCATCTTCGGATACATCCGAGTATTCCACATGATCGTCTTCGACTACATCCAAAGATACCAGTTGATCATCTTCGGGTACTTCGGAACTGTCTCTCGAATGTTCTGGCGAGGACATATCAATAGATCCAGACTTAAGCAGCTCTATGAGTTCATCTTCTGGCGAAATTTTACTCTCCTCGCTCACAAAATCGCATTGTTCAATGTCAATATCCTCCAGCTGGCTTTCTGTGAGAGACGAATTTCGATCATGATTGGGTGGGTTTGATTCGGTGCGCTCTTCCTCCAAAACAATTTCTTCCTCGTTTGACAGAACCTTCGACTGCTGGGGTAGTTTTTGGTCGAACATCTCAATCTCCTCTGCATCGTTCTCCTTCCCACCATTATCATTTAAATCCTGCTGTGATTCTGCATTTATTGCTTCCTCTGCTCCGCTGACCTCGTCAACTGGTTCGGTGTTCGTTCTAGATCGGAAATATGACAGGCGTTTCTGGCGGATATCCTGGACCTCTCTGTCACTTGACTCACGCTCCTGACAACAACAAAATTAATGTACGAGGGTCAGTTATGGTACCGATGGTTATTGAAAGACGAAAACGTCGAGGCACTGATGAAGGCTCGACTTTGGCTTCAAGCCTTGATCTAGTAATCGTGATCCGTTCCTCAATTTACTCTCATTGACTTGCAGGGAAAACCTGACGAATTTCTAAAGAGGGGGAGAGGGGGGAGTAAACTTTGATGGACAGAAATCCTCTCCAGGGAAAGTAGAAAATTTCTCTGACTTATTTCGGGCTAGAGGAACTAAGAAAAGCTTCAACATGCATGTGAGACATGATATTGCCTGAAATGTTAGTTTCCAATGTGAATCTCACAATCTCACTCTATGAAAGATTCTCTTACCTCGTCCACTGACCAGTCTTTTTCTTCCACCTGAGCCGCTTCTACACTTTTAGCTAGACTCTGACGGCTGCGCTCTAGGTTCTCTTGTTCCGCTATTTTTTGCTGTCTGATCCATTCGTTCTGCCTTTCTTCTTCCTCCCTTAACCGACGCTGTTCTTCCATAAATTTGTTCTGTTCTCTCTTGAGACTATCTTGTAATTCCTTTTGTTCTTCTTCTAGCTTTGCCTTGAGTTTCACGACTTCGTGATCGTCAAAACTTGCCTGTTTGAAAACGGGCTTTTGCCCGTCATCCGTATTAGAGTGAACATCTTTGTTGTTCATGACTTGCACAGGCTGCTTTCCGACTCTTTTGCTTCGTTGCTCAACAATCGTACGACCGACAAGTGCTTCAAGATCTCGTTCCAAGCTTTCATCATCTTCCGGATAGACATGAGAATCAACAGCCTTAATTATGTGCTTACTAGTACCAGGTTCCGGAAGCTTCCTTGCCGCAGAACTGTCGTTTTCAAGGTGCTGCCCACTAAAATCATGAGTTCTAACGCCCACATCCATCGGTTCCCTAACAAGATTGGCTTTTTCCATTGTCTCGGACGTTTTCACTTCGTGTCTTAACCTGGGATCGAAATCCACTCCATTTTGAATCTGATCGCCACCATTTAAAGTCTGGGTTTCTTTATTGGAAGAAGGAGGCTTAACAAAAGTCATTGCTGATGCATTTGTAACGTCTTGGGAATGATAACTATTATTCACTCTTGCTGTATTTTCTGAACCAAAAACGTACAACGGAGGAGCATTTGTCGAAGTATGTAACACAGGATTTGTTGACTGACATCTAAACATTTGTGGTGTATGTGAACCGTTTACTAAGGGAGCTGGAGCGACAGGAGTAAGAGCATGCTGGTGTTGCTGTCGAGATTGAAACTGATGGCCAAACTGATTGAAAGGTAACGACGGATTTACGTAATTATTGGTCTGCAACGCGTGCATATTATGCGGTGAGCGCGCATAATCCGGATTCGAAGACACCATGCCGTTTTTCAACAACCATTGTACTTCTTGATGGGATAAAGACTGAAATAAATCTGCGATGGCTTTTTCCGTTTTACTGAGCTCCTCTTGCGAGTAAAAATATTGCTCCTCCACATCTTGCCGAACAAGAGTATCGAGTTTCTGTGAAAGAATATGTCGCCGACTTCTGATCTGGTTCATCCAGTACATCTCCTGTTTCTTTAACAAGCAAAAGTGTTGAACCTTATCTAGTGATACGCTATGGGCTGCCGGTTGATTTCTCTGTGCGGAGGAAATTTGCGGACTATTTTGAAGTGATGTAAAATTGCTTTGCTGAACGTGGCTGTTTGTAATATCAGGATCGTGCATGCTTGTGCGATAGCCGTTCAGAAGCATCTCTGATGACGATCGTCGAAGTTCACTCCTGTGTAGGACATTCGAACTTTCTGGTGAAAGATAAGCATGTTTCAGTGGCGCTGTGTCATCCTCCTCCTCCTTCAACAACGACACTTCTCTGAGTAACCCTTCCACTTCACGGTCCACTGAATCATCCGACGTCAGTTCCGGTCTAGCAGTTGAGTGCGTGGGACTGGAAGTTAAATCATCTACCATTTTTTGACTTCTTGAACTCGACAATCTTTTGACCTGGTCACTTCTCCTTGGATAAGAACTTGATACTATCTTTTCGCTCGGACAATACTCGTCATGCAATACAGACCCGTTCATATAGTTTGTATTTAACTGTCGTAAATCAAGTGGAGGAACAAGATTTTCGCGCATTTTCTGAAGTTGCTCGAGTTCTTTTTCAAGTCTCGTTTGCTCCTGAATTAAGTGCTCCATCTTACTCGATGTTTGCTGGGACTTTTTAAGTTTTTTCCGCTCTGGTTTTTTCGGCGCAACTTTTTGAGTTGCCACTTGGGAGTCTACGGACGAGTTAGACGTCACATTCTCATTCCTTACAATTTCCCTTTTGGGAGAATGTTTGTACCCCGCCCACCCGTCCAGGCTATCTCTTGGCCCCATTCCACCATTATGTTTCAGGTATCTGCCAGTCACCCCAGGTGGACAGGTTTGGCTTTCTGATCCCTCCGTTGTAACTCTGCGCCCCACATTGTTCATAGAATAGGACTGGTGCGAATCTAGAGTTTTGGATTGTAGCCTCCGCTCTGGACCACCATACTGCTTTCGTTCCGAGTCCCTCATGGTACCGTTCAATGCTGATGAGGGTCGACTCCTGGGAGGGATTGGGAGAACGAGGTTCCCTGGAGATGAGGAACGGTCACTTGGCCTTGGGTAGTGCGACACATCCCTGTTATTCGTGATTCTACCATGGAGGTCTTCGATTCTACTGTAATAAGGTTCATCTAGGACCTGACCAGTGGATCTCCTGAAATTGAAAAGAATACAACTGATGAAGTAAGATTTACATTCGGTCCTATTCGCGTAATACTACAGCCGCATCTACAGTGATAAGTTTTTATGAACAAACGCACTTGCAGGTGACTCCTTTTGTTTGCTGTATACAAAAGCATAGAAAAACTACTGGAAAAGAACTTCCCGTAATTAAGCCCTTCAATACTATTAAGAGTGCTTTTCGAAAAAACAAAAACCCCAGTAGTCACAATGGCCAATCAGAAGAACGGAAAATACCTTGAAGAGCCAAGGAGAACTCAAAGTAAAAACAAGTCAGCTGCCTCAAGAAGATGCAATCTCGGACTACTTTCTATACTCAATTAAAACTTGCTCGTCATGTCAAGTGGCCTTGATAAGTAACCTTTCACCAAAACTGGAATGTGACTTTTTGGACACTTAACATAATTTTCAATCCATTTATTTCTCTCTGTCTCTCCAAACCTTCATTAAAAAATAAACAGTTGCATTTCAAACCAAACCTTGAACTTCGATCGGTAACTTCAGCTTTCCTGTTGTCCCCAGCTCCCCCTCTTCCATTCCCAACCACTAAGTGAGTCTCGCGGGCTCGGATAATTTTTTCCAGTTCTTTACAACGGTGAATCAGCAACTTGGCCTGGTTCCTCTGCTTAGTATCCGGGACCTTTTCCAAGAATGATTCTAACTGCAAAAGTTCCTTAGAGGAGAGGGGTGGGAATTTTGCAAGGAACCTTGACAATCTATCTTCATGCTGTTGTAAGTCGCCATTAGAAGCAGGAGATAACACAGAGCTGCTGGTACTTTTGCTGGAGGTCGAGTTTGACGGCCAAAACTCGGCAGCTTTACTATACCACATATCTGCCTGTTAAAACCGATAAAAAAGTGTTCCATTCTCTTTATCTTATACAATTATTCACTACCTTCAGTAAAAGACGAGAGAACAGTGAGTTCTACTTGCTTGACCTTTAACTCCCAGGAGTGATCAAAAATAAATCTTTCCCTACATCATCAACACATTTCCAGGCAGAAAGACAGTGGGAGAAAGAAAAATTACAACCAAGGAAAATTGTTTAATACAAACTAAATTCTCAGGGCTAAATTTACCGGGAATTGATTGTATTAAACCTCGTTATAGGATGAATTCCAGCAAATTTCTGAGTCAGTGTCTAGTTTTTTAAGCAAACGCGAGGTAAGAGCGAAAGGCGGGTCGTGAGTAGGAGTTGGAACAAGAAAACATTTTCGCGCTACTTGTTTCGTGCGTGGCTCGCCGTTCGCGCTCCCCTTCCTCTCGCATCGCGCTAGCCTCAGTCCGCTCACCTAAAAATAGAAAGAAATAAAAATGTGAATTTAAAGTCTATTTTCTTGTTCAACTCTACCTTCGCTAAAAGGTTGTAAAAATTAACGGAATCTTCCAACCATTTCTTGGTGTTTTCGACTTTACTGCGAAAGCTTGTCAGATCTGACAGTAGAACTTTAGACGCTGTTTGAAGCGGTCTCTTATCTCGCAGATTTCTTGTGCTCATTTCGTTGGCTCTCTCAGCTAACTCTCTACCTTGCGTTAAGACTTCCTGAAAGATAACAAAAACATCTGGTTTGCTAACAACAAGCGCACTTTCTTCGGTTTTGTTTTATATCGTGCGCATAAACCAATATAGCGAACAAGCCTCGCATGTGTTCTCCTTCTGTTCGCTTTATAGATAGGTAACAGACTCCTTATCAAAACTGAAGACGACAAAACTGCGACTAGTTTATTTATTTATTTTCTGTTTATAATCATTTGATTTGTTTTAACATTAATTTCATTACTTGTCTCTGTGTTACTTTTTTCTTAATTCCCCAATAAAAGACTTTTGTCATTTTTCTAGACACCCACGTGAACTACTGAGGCGATGACGGCTGAGAAAAAACAACACAAAACAAAACTATTATTGGCATTAAGAGACGACGAATTATCGAACCTTCGCCAGTGGATGAAACTCGCGGTCAAACTTTGCTTTGTTTTGATTGGCTGTGCGAAGAGAGACACATCCTTGGGAGAATAAGTTCAACTGATCTTCAGCATCACCACGAATCCACTTCACTAACTGCAACCAGAAAACACCACATTTCGAAAAAGCTTCGTCAACGTCTGCATCTTGATAATTTAGCAAATCATTTCCAACATTATTATCAGAAATTAAACAAATGCTTCGCCACAACTATTTCTCCTCTTCAGAAAAACTCGCGGTTAGTGAACGGGGAACTGCTATTACCCACCCGACTAAGGTTCTCTCTCAACTCATGTACGTCATCATATTGGGAACTAGTTACAACCGGTTGTGACGAAATTTTTCCGTTCCAGGCTTCGTCAAGTTGCCGCTTGGCCTGAATGAGTTTGTCCCGGTATGGCTTGATTGTCTCCATCATTGGAGCAAACTGCGGTTTCTTTGACATCACTGAGAACGTCCTGTCATGTTGGGGTCTGAGTGACAGTTCGTTTAAATGATGCACCTCCTCGAGAGCGGAATCAAGAGTAAGATCACTACAAAGAAGGAAAAATACAAATAGAAATAATTTTCTTCTGTTCACATCCTAAAATGTTTCGAGTGACATTAATTTAGTAAAGGAAGAATTTAACGAAACTGGCCACCAAAATTTGGATTTGCTTTCAGTTCAAGTTCTCGCAAACTTATTCTAGCAGTTGTCTCAAGGGTCTCGAACGATTTTTACAGCAGCCGTTTCGAGCTTTCCCTTCCAGCCCTACTTCCAGCTTCAATTTTTCTCTTTCACTGAAACAGTCAGTGTCGGAGGGTGTCTGTAAAGGGGGTCGTGGCTTTGTGGCCAGTATTCACTGTAAAAAAGAGCAAACTGCTAGAAGAGCGGGTACAATCAAGCGACCAAATCGTGATTTATTTCAACTAGTCGTGGGTGTAACTGGTCACCACAGCAACCAATCGGAGCGAAGGTTGAAATCATCTTAAGCCAATTAGAACTCCGACCAAGTAAAAAAAGGCAAATTGCATGAAAGGCGGGAAAACGCGAGTGACCAAATCATGATTGGTTTCGGTTTTGAATCGGATTGGTTGAGAAGATGGCGCGAGTTTTCTGGACTAATCGCAAAGCAAAGTTAAGCAAAGCCAAAGCAATAATGGATTACTTTTGACACTCAATTGAAAACTGGTCTGTAGGCAACCACATTCGACGAAACACCTGAGACAAAACTGCTACTTCTAAAGGGATGGCGAGATTACAGCTAATACAATGTATATGATATATTTTCTGAAACACCCCACCGTTTTATCTGAGCTCTTTTAGTCTCTGTTCTCTGCAGCACCAGATCACCACCAGAAGGTTCTTTCTTCGTGCGCATTCTTTTTAAAGATTTCATCTCATCCACAGCTTTTGGAAGGTGGTTCATGACGTATTCAGAAGTAAAATAGAATTCTTCCAGTTTCTTTAACAGGGAAGTATACAGAACAAAACGTCAGTGGCTATAGACAAAAAATTGAGGATTCTGTGAACGAAAAGGAGATTACTTTTGACCTTCCCCCCCCCTCCCAGTCTGGTCCAGATACTCGGTTTGTGGGGAAAAGCGAAAATACGGGCCGAATGTGTGAAATAATGCAGTCCGGACCCTCTTACTACATGTACTTCACCGCTCGTTTTCACGGTTCCGCCGCTTGACGCTTCAAGGCACACAAAAAAATCATCAACCAGGCAGGCTACTGACCCCTGCAGAATATTACAGAACTGGATGAGATCAAATGTTTGCGAGCCATTTCTGGCTTGGAAGACAACAAGATTAGACCTCTAGAGCTCTCGCATGTATGGAGGTAGCACTGCATGCTAAGTACAGTTCAAACGTCGAATTTTAGATGTGGCGAACCTAACACCCATTTGGGTCAACCCAGATAATTATGTTCGAGAGTTGCGCATCCGCCTCGCCTTATGCTCAATATGCTCTTAATTATAATCTTTCGTGCACTTGCCGTACTTTTTGCAGTCTGATCCATGCTTTATGATCGTACGACAGTGTTCCTCCAAAGGACGGAGGCAATTGGCTGGCATCTATGAAGGTCAAGAGGTTTCCTGTGCCATTCACCTGTTCTGTCTGAAAATAAAATATACACACAGCAGTCAACTTTGCCTACGTAAAGTGATGCAAAAAGTGCAATACTCATCGCTATGGTCAAATATTCCAGAAATGAATTAGTAGGATCAACCAAACCTCTCTTCAAGAATGAACTACAACTCAATTATGAAATGTTATAATGACAATGTTGATAGCATTCTTGGGGTGACAATACCTGAAAATCAAGCTGTCCTCTTTCCTGGCGAGAGTGGATTTCTCTATTCAATTGTTTCTTCACTTGTTTATCTTCTGGGCAAATAATGTACATACTTTGGATGGATCTGCTGTCATTCTGCAATGTGTACATTGTGCACAATAATTAATAGAAATAATAGAACAAGAAGCCGCAGTGGCTTTGACATGGGGTTCCCTCTTTGATGGGAGCGTTACCAAACAGAGAACAAGCGTTTACTTGTAAGTAACTGGTTCCGTGACTCAATCTCACGAAGTGAGACCAACAACACCTCCTGGAATTCACTTAGTTCTCTTAATCGTCCCTCACCTTTAAAATGCCAATTTTCAACGATAAACTTACTTTTAGTGTTCATTCTAAGCATTGTTGAACAAAAAAAATACGTGTTTAGGAGTAAACCCAACACTATTTCGAATCGTTTCGATTACTAATAATATGATGGGAAAAACGAGTCGTGAGAGGTTATCGGCTGATTGATGTAATAGATAACCAGCGCCAACGCAGAAACGCCGGAGGTGCTTTTTGAAAGATAAACGACGACTGCGACCAAATTTAAAACTTAGCCTTTACAACAGGAAGCCCAAGCAATTAAGTTATTATGACAAATATGGTGCTCTCAATTTATAATTGAAAAACAAGTTTTCTATAGAGACAATCTCTGGAGGCAATCTCCACTGATTAAAAGTTTATGGCCTACCTAAGCCCCACCCTGTAATTTAAGATTCTATGGGGATAGACCAAACCTAACTAAATTCTGCAATGAATAAAGGGGGTAGGTTTCTAAAGAAACTGTGGTGCTGCATCAGCAGAGGAGTATAGCAAGATAATTAAGATACTTGGTTTAATCAACTGAGTTGATGATGTAAACTGGCCACCATTAACCCTTTAACTCCCATAAGTGATGAAGACAGAATTTCTCCTAACAGTATCAATACAATATCAAGCAGACAAGTAGTAAGAAAAAAGAAATATATCAATTTGGGGATAATTAGTAGATCCAATGCTAAATTCTCTGAACTAACATCAAAAGAATTGTATGGTTGACAGTAAAGAGAATTACAAATTTGATCTGGGAGTTAAAGGGTTATGAGTTTCTAAGCTGATGTTTTGAGCATTGGGTCTTCATCAGAGTAAAAGGGCCTTTGCTCTGAAGGCTTATCAACACATGATCGGTTGGTAAAGCCAAATTATCTTAAATTCTGTAATGGTTGGACAAACCTGGAACATCTGAATCAATTCTAAAATATGCTTGATATCAGCTGTCCTGGAGTTGCGGAAGTCAAGAAGAAGGGAGAGACCAGCCTCTTTGTACCAAGACCTAGCAAATACAACTTTAATAAATAATGTTCCTAAAAGCACTGCATAAGATATACTTTGTAATTCATATTTCAAGATATTCACTTGCAACTGTGAGCCATTACTTATAGGAAAGAAGTATCACTTTCTAAACTGTGTTTCCCTTTTCAAATGAAATCTGGTGCACTGATTTAACTCTATAAAAGCCTTTCTGGCCCAAGAAGAGCCACAAGTAGCAAATGAACATTGCAAATAGGCGAGCCTGTTGTAGGCATTTTTGAAATAAAACAAAAACTGATAGTAAAGGCCTAAAGGGCAGCTGAGTGTTTTGATTATTTTGTTCCATTTTACTAAATTAATGCGTGAAACAGGCTACGGAGGCTTGTCCATTTATACATCACCAGCTGTTATGAAATGTTAAAAAATGACGCAAGTGGAACTTTTGCATCCCAACAACTTTGAAAGTAAATGTTTACAACAATATAATAATTTTTTTATAAGGTGCCATAAGCCAATCAGAGAAAAGAAAATATCGCATAGGGACAACAAGAGCTTAAAGCAAAACAGTGAAAAAAATTGCTCAGTACATTTAATGATGAGCAAAATAATGCCAAACCTCGAGAGGAAAGCAAGGTATTTCAACAGCCTGATAACATCAGCTTGGTTAAGTTGGACAAGATTGGGGTAACGCTGAGATGGTAGAATAACCAAAGGGTGTCCATGTAAATCACATCCCCCTGTGTAAAAAAAGATCCCATGATATGCACAGGGTTAATACTATTTTGAAGTCAAAGAATTGATCTTCCACAACATTTTCCAAGACCCTTTGTAAAGTTTTCCTTGACCTAAATTTGAAAAGATGCTCTTGAAACAATGTGATGTTCAATGATTATGTACCCAAATAACTAAGGCATTTCCCTCTGTTGTTTGCTAAAATATCCATCTAAGTATTTTCCAAGGTATTCCATAACTCAAAATAGGATCCCACCTCTTACGTGGCCTGGAAAACTATACTATGGGGTTCCATGGGAAAAAAAAGAGAAAAGAAAGGTCTTCACAGAGTGAGAGCATGGTGCAGGCTAATGACCCATAACAACCCTGTATGCAGGTATTTAAAACATCTTCACTTGTAGTGGATATAAATTGTGTGAAATATCATAAAAATCAGCAAACACCATCAACTCAGACCTGAGAGGACAGCAATTTCTGATGAAATAAGGCTATCTTCGGGCATATATAGCCTCTTCTCTGCAACTTTTGACCTTGAACCCATCACCTGCATGAAAAATATTGAAGTTTGCCATTACAAAGAGACTCAATCAATATGGTCCATATGTTCAATTAATTTCCCACAAGTAACAATACTGCAAAAAAATATTTCACCAGAAACTGTTCAATATGAAGTATACTCTTCAGGAACAGATGAAATCATGCCTAATAATTAGAATAATTTGCTACCTTCACATTCAAGCATTCATCAAATTTTACTTGTGACTTGCAAAAAAAATTGTTTGGCAAAGTGTAATTCTATCAGATCAGAAAATAACACACAAGCCAAGAAGAAATTTTTTAAAAAATTGACTTTTGTTTTGTACTCTACTCCTATCTACTGAGCATGTCACAACAGGTGGTAAATTTGAGGTTTGAAAAAATGCCAAGATCTTTGGAAAAAAAAGAAAAATATTGACACTGACTCTTCAGTTAACTTTTATATATGTTGGGTGGGTTTGTAAAAATCCTGTTATTAACAGCAGCTTTACTATGGCTAAGAAGTAAAGTTCTAAGTAAAATTGTTTTCAATCACTCAGTGATACATTTGTTATTTACACATGGAATATTGTTCATATCTCTCTGTTGAATATCGATTTTTATACATCACTATAAATTATATTAATTTTATTCATCAGCTTATTTGTTTGTATATTGAAAATTTATTGCTTCTTTTTATGTTCAAATCGATCACAGGAGACTTAAAGCAAAAATATTTTTAAAAAAATTTAAAAATAGAAATAAAACAACAAAAACATGCACTTTGACATGCTCAAATATTTCCCCCTATATTTTGGCATTCCTGCAGTGATCGGTAGATATAACTTCTTGTTACAATTTTGATACATTAAGAATTTCAAAAAATCATTAAAAATTACAATAATAATCAAATTCTCAGGACTATAATAACCACCTATGAAATAATATTTGTCGTCATCTCATGAGAACTACATGTACCTTTACACGTAAACATTAGAAAGGAAGGGTTGCACCAGCCTCAAGTAAGAAGATAACACCCCTACTGACCACATGAAGTTCAAATTATGTCACATTCCAGTAAAATATTATTTAGCGGTGTAAAATCTTCTTAGACTACACTATCCAGGATTTGTCTGTAGATAAGATAAGCTATTTGCATCACAGTGACAAAAAAGTAAATAACGCGCATGATTAGAAATTTTGTGCGAAAGATCATAGTAGCAGCAAAAAGAAGGCGATAATCTTCCACCACAGATTCTTTAGCCATTTGTCATAGAGGAGTGATTTGTGTAAAATCACTGACCCATTAAACACCTTTTGTCACCAACTTGAAAGTTCCGAACAAATTAACGGCCTACCGCAAAGCCGGACACAATGGTCATCAAGCAAGTTCCTCAACCTCACTTGCTACATGTAGCGATCTGAACATTGGGTATCACTCACCTCATCGAAATGTAAAATAATATGACTCAATCACGCTTTAAGAAATAATTGCCAAGACCGATTAAATAATAGCATGATCATGGATAAATACAAAACCAATAATCGACCTTCTCTTTTGTTTATTTAAAGAATAACATTTAATATTTTACTAACATAGCATGCACTCTACTGGATATATTTTGAAGTAATATTTACTGACATTTAGCTCATTTTCGAGAGAGTACACCCTGTTGATATATGGAGTCATAACAATATCCTTAAGGACATTGCATGATACTCCTTGTGCGTTATTTTTTGCTATATCCTGAATTTCCCTGCCTAGAGGTTGCAAACTTTGAGCTGGATAGGACACAGTGTTTCTGTTTTGGGCAAGGGGAAATATCTGAAATGCCACGCATCAGTTTCAAACACAACCATGACTTACCGCCTAGATCTTTCTCTTTTCCTCTTCAATAACCTTTTCGCTGAAGGGTGTCGAAATAAAACATGATCTTCGCTCTTCAACAACACCGTACCTTAGTTATTAGGCACGCAAAATTCCGATCAACTCCGAACCTCTATTAGCTTCGTCCCAAAATTACTCTGTTCCAAGGCGTCAACCCGTGCCTGATGTTTCACAAAAGACGATTCATGGTAGCTGTCAGAAAGTGACGACTTGAAGTATGTCGGAAACTCTTAAAACAACACTAATTACACAAATCACCCAAGCGATCGTGGTAACAGCTTAGCGGAATGCTGCTTGATCGCTCTGTTGTTGGGAAAAAACATTGCCTATCCGGGGTGGGGTAGCGTTTGTAAGCTTGGTAACCGAGGTCTGATATATAGCGCCTGACGTATTTTGTTATTTCGCAATCCACCTCACGCGATTTCAAAAATAACTTTCCGCTTTCAACTTTTAGATTATGGCGGACAAAGGCGAAAAGAAAATCATTGAACAATCTCTGTTCGGTAGATTATCTCAGTATTTGAATCCTGCAACACCCAAAGGAAAAAGAAATGTGGTGATCCTATGTTATGCATTGGGATTTCTCGGACTGCACGCAATTTGGGCTCATTCGAAACGGAGCCGAAATGTTAAGCTTATTGCCGACGAGGATATTCAGACAAAAAGAGCATGAAAGCTTAACGGCCAGCCCAATACGAAATGCCACGTTACACAGTCAACCATCCAAACTTGCATCCTTTACGAGTCAATTTTGTTTTCGGGTATTGTATGCCGTTTTTGTAAGACTTGACAGCGGCGCATATATTAAAAAACTGTGTAGAAAACTGTGAACTTGCTGATAGATCGGTTTTAAGACGAAATGGTCATTTATATTGAGTGAAACAGAAACTGTATAACAAGAATTGATTTTTCCATGTAGCTACACCATCAAGAGTGAACTGTGGTGATATGAGATAAGTTAAATTATCATACCAGGTGGAAAGCCATTGTTTTTATCATAAAGTTGTTGTCAGTGGTAACTCGCCAATCTTTTGATGTCACCCAAAGAACTGATGTCGCAGACAAAGGAAAAGCGAACAAAATAGATGGCAATCACAGATCACAAGTCAGGGTTGTGACCTTTTGAAGCCTCTGAAATATAAAACCTGTTTGCCTGAGGTGTCTGTCCGATCCAAAAAGATTGACTACTGTGTTATTTGCATATGACCACTGTGCCACCTGAATGGAACGTTTGGCATCCTAGACAGTACAAATGGCCACTATCTACTTCATATGGGTATGGGAATTAGATAACTTGAGTCTTTTCCAAATTTTCTAAGTACTCTGACTTTTAATCTCTGGATAGTTATCTTCCAGTTATGCAAAATTGTCATGCTTGGTTTTAATGGAGATCCAGAACATGGGATGTACCCAAAATAAGAGTCTGTACTTGGTGATGGGCCTGGAAAATAAGAAATTGGCCCATTTTATGGAAGGAAACTGATGATAATGATAAGTACAGTGATAAACTAATAATGATAATAATAATAATTGGTGGTGAAGGAAGTTTCCCCAGAGAGAATTTTGAAAGCTCCTTGCTTGCTTCCCTAACAAAGGATGAAGAAGGGTGATTGAACATGTCATCCTGTTCTTTTAGGATCTGCCAGAAAGAAGTCGTAGAAGACTCACATCAGTTAAGGCTAGTCTCAACACTCATTAACTCAGTAGAACTTGGCTAAATGAAACTTATGGAGAAAAAAAAAAGCAAAAAATGATTCTAGTTAACAGGGTTTCATGTTAGTTGATAGTAAATGATTTAAAAAATAGGATAAGGGGAATCAGTTCTTTTTGAGTCATGGGGGTGTAGGCAGAGTTAACTGTGTTTGAGTTAGCGGGATTCTACTCTTGTTTCAGAAATCCAATCATGCTTTATTTTGTAGTTTTCATTCTCAGACAGGTTTGGACATCTAGCAAAAGTGTTTTATCCCATAAGATCAACCAATTTTACGATTGTTGAAGCAGGCCAGTGTTAATAATGAGAAACCATTTTTGAGCCCACATGTATTTTATTTGGTTATGTTTAACATTCATTTCAGGCTAAGGTTGACCCTCCCTATCCTGGTCTTCATCGTCTTCCAGAAAATCTAGGGTCCACTTAGCACGTGCTACACTCGACTCACCAATCTCCAAAATGTCTGTAAAACTTTCATATGCAGTTTCTGACTTCAGTACATTAGATTATTACTAAATACCACTGATGTCACCAGTGAAACCTCATGAAGTCCATTATTTATCTACACAACCCAACACCCACCTGTCTTTGCACCCTATTCTACCTCTTCCTATGTTTTTATGATTTGTCAAATACTCAAATGCAGTTTGGCAGTTAAAGTTGCAATGCCTTTTTCCTTACAATTGCTGTTAAACTCACAAAACATTTCAGTGTTTTCTTCCTTTCTCCTCCACAGTTTACACTCACTGGTAAAAGTCTACCCTCAGAGATGAATTAAAGGTATGAGGGTCTTGGTATCCAGGCAGATGGCTGTGACTTACAAAAAATCGACAGAACATATACGAAACGTTGGATGTAGATGACGTTACCCCTTGCATATTTGCCCCAAGTTCCAGTTGCCCCCAAGTGAATCTGAAAACCATGTTGAACTTAGATCAAAAGTTGAGGGCGAGGCAACCATACTTCAGAGCTATAGAACTTCACTTGGGATGTAGGGCGACCACACAAAGGGGCGACGTCACCTGCTATAAAACGTCTTACTTCTGGGCCCTCTGCCAGACGCTTGCTCTTACACTACTCTTGCACCACAGTACCTTTCAGCTCACTGCTCTCTTTCACACTTCCCCTTTCACAGTCTCATTCCAATGTAATTACGGTGCTTCCAACATCTGACTCATCTGTTTTAGCTTCTAATCTCTTCTTTTCCTTCTGTGAGCTCTTTGCCAGTCGATGCGTGGACTACGGTACTGTTATTTTAAGAGCATTGCGTGAGATCGGCTTTGGGCCAAAATTTCGTAAAACATGAATTGTGACAGAAATCATCCCTAAAACTTCACAAAAGTGCGAACTCCAATATTGTTTTAAGATTTTGATTGGATACACCGCACATGCCTCTTGTCTTGCAATTGCACAGAACATTTTATGCGCCATACACTGCTCTCTCTCCTCCTTCTGACTCTCGACGGTCAGGATTCATTAATGGAATCCTGTCTCGGCAAATTACCCCCTATAATTTAGACCCTGATTAGACAAGTCACAATTGACTTTTTTCTTCTATGATTCTAAACTTGTGTTGTTGCATTTGTTCGAGGAAGGTCTAATGCGTGAAATGTCAGCTTTATTCAATTTGCTTGCGTGGTTTATTTAACACTGTTATATCTCTCAGTCATTGCCTGTGCTATGACTGGTCAATTTAGCGGGCTGTATTTCTCTGTACGGCCGGCCGCATTCAAAAATTTGTTTGAATTAAAATATTTCCCCTAGATTTGAACCCAGAGATCGATTTAATAGATATCTTATTTACCTCGTATTCTCGGACCTCTTACTCGATCAGTCAGAGGTATTTATCAACCTCTATGTCGAGATAATTTATATGCAACTCAGCGTTTTACTGGTCCGCCGACGCAGCACAAAAGTTTATTATAAACTATTTCAGTCCCAAACCCCATGTAGCGCACTTCGCCGCTCCTTTTAAGGGATACGCTGCATGACACTTCAAAGCGAGCACAAAGCCGCTAGTTTCGCTGGTTGGGAAAAACAATAACTCTACCTTGCAGTAGATAGATCTAGGTTGGCTAAACAATTATATCCATCCATGACAGTGACAAGGTTGCTAAGTCAACTAAAAAGATTCAAAACAAATTGCTGCACAATGAGGTTTTATCAGTTTAAAATCGAACCTCCTTCAAATCTTCAACTCTTTCAAATCAGGAAAATTCGGGGTTTCTTTGGTAACATTCTCGGAAAAGAGCCAGAGAACGAAAAACTGCGTAAACCTGAAATGTAATTTTATTGGTGACCTTGCATTTCCTGCCGAAACTTCTAGTAGTGCTCCCTAAGGCGAGGCAAGCATTTTTCTTTCTTTTCTGAATTACTCCTTTGTTTGTCGCCGGAATTTTTTTAGCAAACAAATTCAAACTCGAGTCGATCAGGCAGTTAGACTTGAACTCACGTTTATGGAATAATGAACGTGTCAGCGAGAGATGAGTGACAAAAAAAGCCTTTCAAAAGATCTCTGAATTTCTTCATGACACGAAAATAATTAAATGCGGAAGTCGCTTATTAGGAAAACAATAAGGTACCAACTTGAAAGTGATTAAGACTGGCAAAGTATTTTAAGTTCAATTCTAGCGAAATAATTACTTTCGATTTGCAAACAGAGAAGTATTCATAGTTGTGAGGCAATTTTAATACAAGGAACGCGAAAGCTCGATCGCTCGCTCAATCGATCGCTTTCCTATAATGTTGTCATTTCTACGTTTAAATATCATTTAATTTGACAAAGAGAATCGAGAATTTAAAAGCGGTTCAAGTACAATAAAAACAAAAGGTTCGTCAGGCCTTTGTTTTCCGACACGCCCCCTGTGGATGTCGGTCTTTCTAACCAGTTCCTTTATTCTTTTATCCTTTTTTGAACGGTGTTTACGTACCACAAATGAAATCTTTTTCTTGAAGGTCCACCCACAGCATATTTATGCTAAGTTTCTTTATTTGGAGGTGCTTAACCTAATGGACTGCAACCAAACAAGAAAAGACTGAAGATTAGGTTTTCAATTCGCTTATTGACTCTATAGAACGTATGCAAATATGGTACCTGTAAACCGGCTTCACGAGAGCAGAAAACAGTGTACAAATTCATGTACATTCTTGTGATTACGTTGAAAATGGTTTTAAGTTTTATATACTGTGCTGCCTTATGTCTCATCCAATCGCGGAACGAAGCCAAATCAGCATCGTTGTTTATGCCATGTTGAGTTTACGTATGCCAGTTGGATACCAAGGTCCTCATGACATATTTCACCTCCGTATGTAGACCTTTGCCACTGATTATAACCCAAAGTGGTGAAAGAACGCAGTGAAATATTAGTGCGTTTCACTGCAACTGTAAGCCTTTACGGAAAGGCAACATAGACTGCTAAACTGTTTTAAAGCATGAAACGATATGAAGTATTTCGCAGCAGAGACCCCCAAGTGTCATTTTGGCTTCAAAAAAATGGTTTTCAAAATCAGCGATCGGCGAACAAGGACGAAGAAACGAGAGGTAAAGAACCACGGAAACGTATAGAGAAAATGAAAAAGGCTACACGGACAAAAGAAGTAAGATTTGAATCTATGCAGGTTACAATCAGGCCGAACAGCGACGGGAAAATTTTGGGATTGAGAAGCAATAAGATGGAAACCGGTAGAGACAAAGAGCGCTTGAAAAAGAAAGACAAGGCTCTGGCGACTGTGCCATCTCAAGACTTAACAGAACGTGATAGTTATGAAATGAATGAACCCACAAAAAACTCATACAGGCTTGGAAATGGGATCAGAAGTTTTTCAAGCCCTCTAAAGGTGGGGAAATTAGATGAACAAGTAACCGGTAAAGCCGGTCTGCACAGTATTACACGAAGAAATTCTCTACTCTCCTTGTCTTCTGAAAGACCGTCTTACATCCCAGTGCTAATTCGCAATAATAACACACGGCTTCGAAAGTACAGTTTCTCTGAAAATTGCACGACAACAAATACACAACAAGCAGGTAAGAGAGAAGTTCGAGCATCAGAGAGAGACAACCCCAGCGAAGAGGCCATGTTTAAATCGAACAACACTAAATTGGAATTAGGGAATGTGTCGTTACAACAGACAACGCATATTATCAATCCACGAAGAGTTACTAGGGGAAAATCAATTTTACACGTCGAGACAATTCGCGGAGCAAATAAATACAATGAGAAACGAACAGATGACCAGTTGAGAAAAGAAATTAAAACTTGTTCAAACCCTCAGAGAACTACTGATATTAATGGAAATCATATTTCTATAAATCAGAGACGAACAATAACTGGTTCATATTCAGACGGCAGCGATGAGGATATCGGTTTTAAACTTAACGAGGAAGACTCTCTGCAGAGCTACAGTTTTGAAATGCAACAAAAGGCAGTGACGCATAATTATCCATCGAGTATGTACAGTGCAAGAGGAAACCTACTATCGTGGCTTGGAGAGGTAAACAAAAACAACCCTCAGCTTTGGAGTTAGTTGTCATGTAAATCCTAGTATGATTTTTATAGTAAATATTAAAAAAAGTGGTTATTCAAGACAAGTTTGCTTGATTTGCATGGACTCGAAGTTGATCTATCAAATAACTCTCTCGTGGCAAATGTCGACTCAGAGTGAAAACTGTTTTAAAGCACATTTTGGGCTGTTATGCTAATGAAGTGTCAAAAACTCATTAAAAAGTGCTTTTTCAACAAAGTCATAGATTAAAAATTGCTTTTACACCCTGATTGCTTTTTAATGTTGAAATTTTTGAACAATTTTGAGAGATCGACTTTCCAGCATTAAAAGTCGAGCCTCCTGTAATCCGAACTCCCTTACCTGTATATCATTAATTTCATCTACTCGACAGTGACAAAAAGAAATTGTTCGCTTCAGAGTTTTTTAAATAACCAGACTTCGTCTTTACAGGGTCAATTTCGAATAACAATTACCATCTTCTCTTTGTGTGCCTTCTGGATACGTAAAAAAAAAAAAAAAAAAGGACGGAAAGAAAAATAGCTTTTTAAACTAAACTGAAGCCCTTCAGCGGAGTCAGTTTTGTTGATCCCACTCGATTTAATTTAAAGCAGATTTCTTAGCAAAACTAGCGTGGCGTAATTTGGTTGTCATTACTTTTTCTTTCGTTGTAGTTCACTTTTGCTGTAGTTTACTGCAATGAATTTGTAATTGCTACCAAATTACGCCGAGTTGGTTTTGCCACGCAATCTTCCATAGGCCGAAATAAGGCCGAGAAGTATTTTATATTTGCATAAGAGTTGTTGATGATTTTTTACCCGCATCCTCTCGACATATCTACACACATCTCACTTTTCTTTACCCTTTATCTCCTGAAAGTGATCTGACCAATACAGAATTTCTCCTCACAATATCAATACAATATCAAGCAAACAGGTGATGAGAATAAGAAGAAATATCAATCAAGAGATTAGTTGATCCAATACCAAGTTCTCTCAAATAACTTCGTAAGAATTGTGTGGTAGACAGTATGGAGAATTACTAATGAGATCTTCGGAGTGAAAGGGTTGAGCTTGGAATTTCCAAGTCAGTGAATGAGATGCAGAACAAGCTACGGTTTTTGCGTAAGTTAGTGGAAGGGGTCACGCGTGAGACACGCGAGGGAATATTGAAGGAGCGCGAAAGTTCTAAGAGTCTTAATGTCATTTGACTGCCGGGCAATCACCCGTTTCCTGCGCCCCCCGCGTTTTCCCCGCACTCACTTTACAATTACGTCTGCACTACTGAAAAGGAGAAAAGAAAACAAATCACGCCTGTCCGCAGACTGTTACTGATATGAATCACACTAAGCGTGGAGGTATGCTGTTGTAAGAGCATGGAAACGAAATTTTTAGTCTGAGTCTCGTTTATTCAATTTCCTCGTTCCGGTTTTCCCTTATCAGTGCCAGACCTCTTTCAAACCAGGCCAGTATAAATGAAAGTATGCGATCATTATCAAGATAGAATCGCGCTTCCTGTTCTCTTTTCTGAGTGCAAAAAAATTTTGCACTGAAGTTCAAAACCAACTTGAAGGCGTCACATTGATCCTTCCCACAGGAGGTGGGCATCGTTTCCTTTGTGTTTTGCAATAAAGCGCGCTTAGCGCTTGCCTTGCTCTTCCTTCCGCTTTATTGGAGTGAAAGATAAAAGAAGAATGCGCTATATTTTTCCTCAAGTGCTGTAGGCTTTCACTCCTGGACAAGAGGGCTACCCTCTAGAGCCCTCTCACCCCCTCCTTGAGAATTCGCAGGTCACACCAAAGGAAAAAAATATCACTGCACGGCTACGACCATTTTAAGGACTCTTGTCCAAATTTTATTTGCTAGGCAGACTCACATCAGATGACTGAACACCAGCCAGCTACTGTAGGCCGGCTAACAGTTTCACCTTAAAATATCACTTATCACAATGACCGCTTTTTGAAGGCTTAATTTTTTTGTACAAGCATGAGAAATTTAGTATTAAATTTCGTTTTTTTGTCCTTTGTATCCGATGTGCAGGGCATTCAAAAGCCGAAGCGATTACAACCAAAACTGTAATCTGCGGAGTTAAAATTCTTTGCACCCTCTGAAATAAGAATAATTTTGCATTCTGTTTACAACAACAGTACTGTAAAAGTTTGCTTCCGTTATAATTATCAAACGATTGATTTTCTTTTCGGTAAGGGAAATGGAAGAAATACTATGTATAATATTTTAGGGACTGAGGTTTAAAAGTAATAAATCTTTTGTGCGCTGAGGAAAAGGGAAAGATTAGAAAGGAAGGTAGGTAGAGAGAATGAAAGAAAGAAAGGGAAAGTTAGTGAGGTTTGGGAGAAGATCTGCGGATTAGTCCCCTCTTTCTTCTTCATCTTCCTCCTCCTCCTCCTCCTCTTCTTCTTCTTCTTCATCTTCTTCATCGTCATCCATTTTCTTCACAAAATCATCTGATAAAAAAGAGATAACAACTGATAAGGTCTAACGTAAAGCAATGTTCAATCACGGGTCAAAAATGATCCATCTGCATTAGATGTTTTGGCTCTTCTTTGCTCAAGAAAACTTGCGCCACTGTTCTCAACCAATCCATTACGAAACCGGAATCAACTTCGACCTCGCTTTGCAGTTAATTGTTTCTCCTTTTGATTTCGATTGGGTCCTAGTGGATCCTCTGTTCTTACTTGCTCTTGTTTACAAATTTGGTTTCGACTGAAATATACAATAATCGGAACAAAAACAACATTTACCACAGGAATAGTTGGTATATCAACATGGCTTCCCTTTCACTGTTTTGGTACAACACAATGGCTACTGTGATTTCATCTGAAAATTCTCACTTTCTTAGCATTCAATTTGCCTGATCTAGATGCGTCTTTCTTATTAAATATGAAGGGTATTTTTGACTGAACCACTTTTGACAGCCAGTTCTAACTGATCAGAAGCAAGCCAAGAAAGTGAAAGTAGAGGATGTGACTCACCAATAATGTCCCTTACATTCGCCCATCCTCTCTTTGGTATTGTAATTGAGTTCCGATAGTTGGCTGTTACCTACAAAACATTCAGAAACTTATAGTTTCCTCACCATGAAACATTGATAAGTCACTTTTTCAGCTTTGTTTCCTTTTCTTTTGTTTTTATGTCAATTCACTCTTCGCAGTGCATAGTAAACCTTGGCCTTCTTTAACTGAATACCAATAGAACTTTTGAAGAAAATGCAGCTGGGCTGGGTCAATCACGAGAAATAGTGAAGTGAAATGCAAGGGTGAGGTAAAATACTTCACTGAACATGATGCAAACGGTACATTTTTTAAGTGGAATAAATGTACAATTCCCAAAATTGCTTTCTGAGGTTGGCCTTCTTGACATCCTTTGAATTCTCAAGTGTTGAGTTGACAATGAAAAGAAATCTCCCAAAATAAGATCAATTCAGAATGTGCAACAAAGCTTGAAAACATGTTTCACGGTCTAAAAAAAAAGAGAGACCAACCCAAAGAAATAGGGATGAATAAAAATTTTCCATCTCAGTAAAAGAAAAAAAAGGTACTGGTTCATTACAGCCAGAACTTATCTCAGTTTCATGAGCATAACCCTTTAACCTGTGAGGGTGAATAGCATCTAATTTCTCACTCACCAGAGACCACAGACCAACCAGTGCTCAACCCCAAACCTATCAAGTGCAAGTGTGTTGAACTTACCAGAGGGCAAGTGACTCTTATTAAGTAAGATGCCTGCTTATTGAACAGATAATCTATGCTTGAAAAACTCACCTCAGAAATCCTCAAGTACACTCCTCTTGGGTTGCTACCAACATCAAAATAGAAGCGTTTTTGCTCCACACGCTGCTCACGAGAGGCAGGTAGATCGCTGGATACTTCCTCTGAAAGAAAAAGCAAAGTGAAAAAATCAACAGGCTTTGCCAACAAGTGGGAATTTTCAGGACAGAATTCTTATGACCTGCTTACATATGGTAATTCTCCCTTGAAGCTAGGGACATTTCCTTGGGAAAAACATCAGAGAAATTCCATAGGGTGCACCTTAAGTTGAGAAGTTGATCTAATCACATGATCTGTTTAATGGTGATAATCTTAAACGGGGGGGGGGAAAGAGAGAAAAGGAAAAACAGAATTATTTTATAACCCTCCCCTCCCCAAAAGTGACCAAAACTGGATTTCTCACTACAATACCAAAATGTCTTTTCAAGCCAGAAGGTAAGGAGGAGTAATAAAACATCAACCAGGAGACATTCTTGATCTCAAATATTTGATCCAAGTTTAAAAGAAATGTTAGCAAACACTGATGAAAATGGATATTTTAATCTTGAGAGTGACAGCGTTAAAAAGGGGTCAGGGTAGGAGAGCCTCAGCAGTACAACCCTACAAAGACTCCTTCCCTTCCCCCACAAGCACTATGGTAAAAGAAAAACAGAAGGCATCTATGAGAGGGAAGGAAAATGGAAACCCAAACAAGAATTGCACAGCATGTGATTTTTGCACTGTTTTGGAGGAATCATTAATCTGGCCTTAAACATCTTTTTCAAATTCACAAACCTTCTTCAGAGCCGTACTCCTCCAGTACCTCTGAAAGGGCATTTCTTATGTCCACAATGCCTTGAGCTGGAACAGCTATGTTTGTGCGACCTCCACGGCCAAATGTCCCAGTTTGGTTGATCTGAAAAAGAAAATGATTTATGCAAAGAATGGTTATGGTACCATAAAACTGAATCACCACTCTTCTGTTTGTACATGTTATATAGACTGAGAAGTGTTATTAGGTTAGTCCCCTTTGGTTAACATGAAGCACCATGTTTCTTCATAAAACCTTCTGATGAAAAGAGTTCTGCACACTGCATTGCCTGTATGTAACTGTACAGTAACACAGAGAAATGAACACCTTTTTAGGAGAAAAAAATTACAACTAACACTAACAAAAATGGCCTTTACTGAAATTAAGTCAATATTTTGTACTTCAAATAGGAAGGAACAATGAGGTCCCGGAAAAGAGGTCTGTCTCTATGACATCACTGTGCACATTCCAAATGCTGGTTAATGAACTATCAATCAACCAGCAAAAAAAACTATTGACCATAATTAACCATGCAAAGAAATAAACCTTGAGTTCCATCACAATGTAGGTAAGCATTAGTGATTAGAACAGTATCAGCCTGCTCTGCAGATATCTCTTGCTAAATGTCCATTGCCTGAGTTATTCCCATGCTTCTCTACAAAATTCTCTTAAAACAACATTACCGAAAGAAAACCTTGGTGCCCTTTCTAACTGTCGAGTAGTATTGCACACTAATGGTGAAATCCTAATACGAGTATCAAAGGTCTGTGAAAAATGTCAAGGAATACATTACAGTCACAATTTTTTCCTCAAAATAAAGTATCATGTGATTTAAGAGAGGATGTTGCACTACATGAATACCTATGAAACAACTTAATCATTTAGAAGAAATTGGAAAGAATTAAAAGCAAGTTCCAACACAGACCTTGAGGAACTTTCCTCTGTTGTTTTCTTTAAGGTCCAGATAATACATTCTGTTATTTGGACCTCTGATACTTTCACTACAAAATACAACCAAAAAATGTAATGTCTGATTAATGAAGCTGATTATGAAAATCACTTGGTTCTAGAAAATATTGAAACCCTTCAAGGCACTGGTGACTATCTTAATTTAATTCTCATGGCCCAAGACACACTTCAGGCAGCAGATTGCTGCAAAACATCACTGTTAGAAGTGCTTTGCATGAGCTGCTTCCAAAACAAACTACTATCACTAATTTTGAATAGTCTGAATTTCTGACATGTTGAGATTAAAAATATTCTGTCAAAAAATTTTCACAATACACTTAATTTTCCATGTCAAACAAAGCAAAATACAGTAGTGGCTTGGTCCAAGCAGTTTTTCACACAGACCTGCAGCCCATTGTGTGTCCTGAATATAATATTCCAGACAAAAGTGGAATAATCAAAGGGGTTCAGAGAGAGGGAGTTCAAGGAATTCACAGAGCTTGGCAAACAAAAATGTGGTTATTGAAAAACACATTCTGGAGCAATAATGAAACTATTTGAGTGGCAAAAGCTATTCACACAGAATAATGATATAAAATAAATGCAATTTAACAGAGTTAACAACAAAGAGCATCAGTGTTCTGTGATAGTCAGAGGTTTTTTGCACATGTGCACATGTCAGAATTTCATGTGCTGTTTGTTTGAGGTGTTAGTGTGCTCTGAGTGTAAACTTGCAGTGTTGTGTAGAGTATCAGCTCGTCATCCCAGCAGTTTTCCCCACCCCTTCCCTCCCTCTTCCCACTGTTTATTCAGTGTGACGGGTGCCATAGGCTCTTAGCTGGGTTGCCAGGATTTGACAGCCATAGGAGAAGTCTTCATCTAGGAGCTGGCTGCTGCCAATAGTGGAAGCTCCTTTGTGTTTCAGGCACCCTAGACTAAGTGAAGCAGTTGTTAACCACTCCTTCTACATGTACCTCATCAAATTGCCAGATTCCTCTGATTCCTCATCACGTTTTGGTGCTGAAATCAAGATAACAGAAGAAAAGTGAAATAAAAATAGATAAAATTTAAAAAGAAAAGAAAAGTGATAAGCCCCGCAAATAAATTCTTCCAGTCCAGAACAAACTAATCAATACTTTGAAAATCTTCTCACCAAATTTTGTCATGCAAAAATAAGTTCGACAATTGCCATAAGGATACTTTCAATCTTTATTTCACAGTCCAAGGAAAAGTCATTTGCAAAAAGACATCCCTTACCCTGAGCAAGAAAATTTGCAAAGGACGTCAGCTTGGTACAGAAATCCCGCGCCACACCCATAGTGAATATCACCTTGCTCTTACCAGAGCGGTTGACAGAAACCTATCAAAATATAAGATGTAAGGGATATGCAGGCCTTGGTACTCGTATACATTAACCTGAACATACATTATGCTACCAAAAGTAACATAATTGAAATAATATGTTGCTTTGAGTGCTTGTTTGTAGTTTTTTTTTTTACTTCTTACATTCACCATTTTGTGAACAGGAAGCTGGGGATGAAATGTCATTGGCAGGCTGGGTTTCTCAATGCACACAAAGCACCTTCTTTAGGGTGCCACCTTTATGCTACCTTACTTGAAATTTCAGCCAGTAGCTTAATTTCTTAGCAATCAATCCCATCCTTTGTCACCATGTTCCTGGAATACTTACTATTCCACCCCTAATTTAATTCATCAACTGCTTTTTTCTTAACAGGACTTTTGAACATAGCAGAGACTTTTAAAAATGGAAAAACTAACTTAATGTTTTCAAGCATAGGAGCCAACAATAAGCTACAGCATTTACATGGGAAAGATGACAATACTTTTTACACAAACTTTAATATGTGCATGGGCATTTAAAGCCTCGTAATTTTTACTATAAATATCTGGTTAAGAATTGAAAAGGTGCCAATACAATTCAGTAAAATTCCAATTTTACGGTTGCTTGTCACAATCAGAGGACAAATTGGTGTCAAAAACATTCAAAGCCAAGAAAGTAACAGGAACATAATAGAGAAAATAACCTAAATAGAAAACAAGCAACAAAAAATGATAAAGGTATCATTTAAACATACTTTAGGTATGCATAGCATACAAGAGTTATTTTTTGGCTGGGTAGGTCAAAATGAGACACTTCCCAATGTTTTCACAACTTTCAAAAGAACAAAAATATTGCATTACTTCACTTCAAGAGAAAGAGAAAAAACAATCTAAACCCACACAGGTATTATCTGGTCTATTGTCTCTGTTTTTAAACTATTTCTGCGCAAAAATAAAATGCATCAGTGCCACGCTTACTGTAGTCTCCTTTGCAGCCAATGTTTGGTCTCGTCTCACAAAACCCTCTGAAGAGTTATTGCACGACATGACCAAATAACGATTATGAAAGAGACTATGCTTACAGCCATTCCTCCAGCAGAAACAAAATCAAAATTATTTGTCTCTAGTTAATCGCCTCAAAATTATAATTCCATGTAATTTCATTGCAAAAAGCTGACTGAAACTGATGTATCTCCAATAGACCCTAACCAAAGATACATTGTAGCCTCATATAATGGTAGATACACTGAGCAAGAGAAAAGGATAATATTTCAAATAGGGCTCCTTGATTAATAATAATTATATAATAATAATAATAATGACTTTATTGGATAACACAATTACTGGTAGAACCCGTAGTTCTCATTGTAGTTGTTGCCTATCTGGACTTTGCCCTCTGCGTGAAATACATGATCACATGCAGGTTGTTTAAAAGGAATTAACATGCTATTGGTTTAATCCCAAGGTAGCTAAAAGCAAATTTATTTGTAGAAAAAGTCAAAACATGGAAAAATGCATGGGAAATTCTCTATCAGCAGTATAAAGTTTCATGCGAATTTTTTTCAGTGGAGTTGGATAGTGTGGTTAGAATACCTGATAAAATGCAGGTTGTTTACAAGGAAATGGCATGTGATGGAGCAAAGTCTAATTTAGCTAAATGGAATTTGATTGGTGCAATACCATTCAAGCACTTGAAAAATTGCCTAATGTTCATGTGGTACAATGATTAGGTATGTTCTGATTGGACTTTGGACATTGTTTTCATAGTACGTGATGGAATGTCAGTTGTTTGGCATGTGTGTTGTAGGAAAAGGAGCAGGAAAAAATGTTAAAAAAAAAAAAAACCCCAAATGCTGTGACTGGTGCATGATATCAAAATTCTGTGACATCATTGCTGTGAGATACATACCCTAATGCAGCAATCTGATTGGTGCAAGATACATAACCTAATGCGGTGATCTGATTGGTGCGAGCAACATACCACTCTACAAGCTAATATAACTTTTTCTTTGATAAAAAAAAAAACTAAAAAAGACTGAAGTTACCAAGACACCAATATATCTGGACTCCAAGTATTAATGACCTCTGTTACAATAATATTTACAGTGTGTGGGCAGTGACCAACCAGTAAATTAAAGACTGGAGATTTATCCAGCAACTACATGTATACACAATTCCCTGAATAAAACTCAATGACCTGAATTACATGTACCTTTTTCATGTACATATAGACACACTATACTCCTGCTAAAACAGTTCATAAAAAACTCTGTCAGGGGAAAGCATCCTTTCAATTTCTAGTGACATTTTGATATAATTATTTCTATTTTTGTCCTTACAAGTATGAGTAAGCATCATGTAGCTTTATGTTCTTGATCTATACAGTCTGATAGATAATTATCATGACAATACTTATTTTACAGATCCAACTTTTCCTTCAAAACAATGCTCTAACCCCAGCAGCTTTGCACAGTTGTCATGTATTTTCCTGTATCAAAAACTCTCAACATATCCCTCAAACATGGTTTTCATAAGGCACAGAAATTTATTCTTCACATCAAGTGCCAAAGATTTGATAAATATGCACTATTAGTCACCTAGAATTGAAGACATACACACATGCGATAGTTTAGACAATTGTTATTGTCTTAATCAGTATCACCCCGCTCAGATCACTAGCACACAACACCTGAGAAAATGCATACACATACATAGCCCCAGTTCTATAACTTAAGTACCTTCAAGACAAAAAATTCAATTTTGTTTTTCATTGAAACCAATGTACAAGGGAAGTTCAATGAGTTTACAATTAAGGCAAGAGGGCTCACTCAGAGGAAAAAAAAAAGGAACAATTTAGCATGGAAAATTTAAATATCTTCTAATATGCCACAAGTTAAAGGTAAAGCTATGCAATAAATTTGACCACACAAGCTTGTGGCAGATTAAATGTCTAAAACAATTCCTTCAGGTGTTTCAATATACTAGTCATATTGTAAACACTCATGAATAATTTAATACATAATCCTTTATGGTTCTTTTCCTTTGTTCTTTTACCTTAAGTTCCAGACAATCCATAACACAGACTTGAATATCTTAGCAATGATGATTATGTGAAAGCTATCTAGATGAGTGCGAAACTTTGACAAATTACAATTGACTGATTACATTTGATTTGACTGAGCCTAACCTATCAGAAAATAAGGCAATTCCTTTCATCTGATTATTCGAACGGAAAAATGAGCAATGGACGTAAACCTCTAACATAATATTCATATCAGTTTCGCTATGCAGTGAAGGCATTACACAACTGTTTACCAGAATCTGGATTTTTATTTTCTGTAAAATGCCATTTTATCTCTGTAGATAAATCGATTTTGGCCTTCTTTCCAACAGGCAAACACTAAAATCAAAACTTCAGACGACAATACAAAAAAAAAATGAAATCGTAGCATGTCAAATTATAAAAGCGTGCAAATTGTACGAGCTAATATTTTGTCGTAACATAACTTGTTGATGATCGACCAACGAAGACATCTTCAATCAAAGTAAACAGTTATTGTGGATGACGGCAAGAGAACATATTTCACTCCTGGTTTGTACCAAAATACGACAACCCTAAGAATTCAGGAAAATCACAATAGCAAAAAAATTTACATAATTAGTTCCTGAAAACGTTTTGTCAGCCGGCAAGATTTTATGCATGAAAAAACATATCTAAATCAAAACAGTCAACCTGATTTTCTTACTTTATTTTCGTGCTTTTTATTTCAGAAAAAGATAGTTCAAAAGAACTTGCTGATTTGGTTCTTGAAGTGGACAAATAAAAACGTGGAAATGCTAACTACAATAGCAGAACATGCTAGCGGCCTGCCAATACAGCTGAATAATTGATAATCGGTGATTTTTATCGTAATATCAAAACACTGTCTTTCTTTTCGAGAATAAAATATTTCCTGCACTTGAAGACTGGATACAAAAGTTTTTGTTCCGAACAGAAATTAAGTGCGAATGCAAGAAACAGCAAATCTTCATAGCACGAGTAACAAATAGCAGTACATTTTGTCTGCATACCTTATTTATAACTCTACAGGAAGTCCCGGCCATTTAAATTCAACTCGACCAAAAAAAATTGTCCGCGAATTCGCAAGACTGCGGACGGATTCGAAAATTATCAACTCATGACAGCCTTACTTAAGCGAACGCTTAATAATTGCATGTAAGGTGTTCTAAAAACCGAGAGAGTGGTAGAGACACCCTGCTAGGTTTGGGCTTTTTTCTCTCGCGGATATTTTACTCTCCACCGCTTCACACCTTTCCGTTGCGCCAATCCAGTTGTAATAAATAAATGCAGAGACAGCCAAAGACAGCCCACTCAAACTATCACGTTAGCTTGTTTACGGTTTTCCCGAGAAGAGGACATTACCTAGTTAAAACCCGCGGCTCGGTAAAGCTTCAGCGAAGGTGCAAATGTCTTCCTTCGCTGCCGGCTAGAGGATTTTATTGTTTCACGACTAACCTCTGCAATTTTGATGAACTTGCCACGACGATTTTGCTTCACATCCACGTAAAAACGTTTAGATTGGATTTTCAGCGACTTGCTGAAAAGTTCAGTGTCGCCTGGCGGAAGAAAAACTCAATGTCAGAAACATTTGGTGAAAAAAATAAGCGGCACAAAGGGGAAGACTTAGCGACCGGAGGTTGAAGGGCCTTCGAAAGCTGTCAGGATATGCATCTTAAAAACAATTTTTTTCTCCGTCTCTTCGCGACCGCTCCAGGCTGAACCCCCTAAAAAATACGATACAAATATGAGTGGCTTCGTAAATATTTTTTTACCTCGACCATCTTGTCCTTCATCCGCATATTCCCCTCCGTTCGCTCCCTCACTAGCAGCCATTCTTCCTTCTCCTACATCAGCCTCGGTGTTCCCGTGCTCGGCACCAGCCATGTTGAGTGCGCACGCACCCAGACCCCCCGCACTATTTATTTAAAAGAACGACATATCCTTATTTGGAAGTGGTCCCTGGAACTTGGGTCAAAGGGGACAATGAGGACAATGGAGAGCGGAGAAAACCCCTGCTCACAACAATTAAATGCAAAAAAACTTTCCAAAAGATCAATTTGGCGTTATTTAACAAGAAGAATGAAGAAACATTCATATTTGGATATTAGGACAGTAATGTATTTATTAATGAAAATCTCGCCGCATTTCTTCACTGCTAACGCATTTAATTATCTTGAAACAATGCTAACAAACCTGCATAGTTTTCATCTTTCAAATTTACAATAGTCGACAGTATACACAGAAATATCTTGATCTTTCAGCACAGACTTAGAGATTGGAAAGATTAAATAATGCTACCATACCAAACCTTGTCGCCTCTTTTCGTGATTTTATGCGTCTTGGTTGGCGCGTTTCTCGAAATTAATTTCTCATAGGTAAAAGTCGCGAGGTAAAACCCAACTCTCTTGCTCTTCAGGAGTGCTCTTCAGCAGTTTAGAGGAGAGCAGTTGTTTGCTGATTGAATTTGAATATTAAGGTATAAGCAGCCCCTCTGGTTCAGACAGACGTCACTTTGGGCAAGTGCAATACCTCTCCCAATTTTCCTTTACCTTTTTTCTATCGTATGGGTTTGGTCTGTTTCACCACATCAGTATGTTTCTTTTTTACTCCTTTCCTACGCATTTTTCGTTCAGTCGTATTTACAATAGCGAAAACAATTTTGTCCTAGCGTGAGAGACTCGTGGCAGACAAAAACTGACGTGAAACTCATCCCTAAGTCATGAGAGCAGAGCTGTATAATCTTTGAGCACCACCTATGAAATCATTGTGTCAAGAAGCCCTTGTCTGGGTGATAAAATGGAGAGTAAGGAAAAATTATACAATCGAGAAGGGCAAGATCTCCTTGTGTCTCTCTCAAGCTCCACTGACCAGTCCGATATTTCACCTTTCCTTAATTGTTTTACACATGATCCTTGCGACGGGGTAGCCTATTTATAAGTTACCCTTTGCTGATATTTACATTGTGCCGTTGTCCAGTATCCCCTGAAGCATGGTCCAATCTTTTTTAGGCTGGCACGTCTCACGATGGTATGCACGCTCGGCATAAGTAGGGTATACTGATTCTCTAGAAGAACGGAAAATTACCATTTTTTGATAGTGTTTCTATGAAGAAATTTTGTCGCCAAAAATGAAACATTCCCGAAACGTACGGGTTTTGGAGAAATTATTATCTAGGCTGGTTTCCAAAACTTTCCTTCGACAGACGGTGATTCGGTTATCAACGGGCGGTCTTTTTCACACGTATTACGCGCGTTATTGGCGAGCACCGAAACTTACCTAGGCGACTTTAGCCTGCAGAGCAGGCGTAATGGTGGCAGACGAGTGACCGGGCGAGTGCTCTGAATTAACTTGGTAAGAACTGTAGCAGCCATCTTTAATTTTTACAACAGTGGAGGACTGGGGAGAGAAAGAAATCTGTACCAAGGGGGTGAGTGACAGTCAAAAAGAAGGAGTTGGGAGAGGTGGGGCAATGAATATTTCGCCACCTTATCGTCTTGTCCCACCCCTTCCCCCTCCATTCATTCTACCTCCAAATCAAACATGGTCATTGTAATAAGCGATTGCGAACTTCGTAACGTTAACTTGCCCCCATAAGATGCCTACGTTCTCTACCCTGATAGAGAACGATCTTGGGATCGAGGCTGAAAGAAACTCCATCTTGTGGGGAAGTGTGGGTAATTTAGGCAAGATGGCGGAAGGATACAGTAGCTCTGCTACTCAAACAGAGATTTTAGCCCAGTTTCAGGTTGCAATGATCGTTGTATTCCTTTGTCTGGTGAAAATGTAGGGAATACTTATTGTCTTTTCTCCTTGCAGGATATAACGGGTTATGACGATATTGAAAAGTGTAGAATTGTTCTCGAACAACACAACTGGGATATCGAGGTGAATAACTTTACGGTTCATGAACCTATTTTATTTCTGTTTTACCTTTAGCTACACCTATTTTGACTAAAAGAAAAAATATTGATATCTAATGTTTTGTGATTTCTTTTTCCTAAATTAGTTACAATTTACGTATATTGCAGTTAAACATTACTAGTTCGTTTGAATGGAAAGTGAAAATGAGAACTAAATGTAATATGTACATGCATTTCTTTTTAGCCAACGTTAAGCTTAACTATAGCTTATTTATTTATTTATCAATTTTGGGGAAGATTGCCACTGGGAATAACGATCTAAACAATCGTCGGCTAATTGAATATGTGATAGCGTATTGCAACATTTCTGTTGCCTCGTTTTTGTTTCCTCACCTTGATCAGCAATCGAGAAATGTTAAATGAAGAAAACATGACAAATTTTTAGGCAGATTACATGTTTTCTTCACGAAATACAGTTATTTGGTTTTTGAAAAGATGGAAACTGTTATCTACTGGATAAACGTTTATTATTTGTATGTTTTTGAAAGAGTTTCCATTCACCAGTTAATCAGTGTTGGATGAAGCAGTTGATTCATAAAGTATTATTCAGGCATTTCTCTTACAAAAAGTATCTAATTACTTTGCCTTGGGTAAAACCAGGGTGTTTTCCTCACATAACAATAGAACAATAACTTGTTACAGTGTAAATTTAGATTTTAAGATGCAGGAGAGAAGCATTTGTAGGAGATTTGACTCTTGTAATTGTTTTAAAGTTCAAAGTTCAAAGTTCAACTTTGCCTTAGGAGGTTTTGTCTGAGATTATAATTTAATTAATGTCACAAGTATTAAAGTATTTTTGGTGAAACACCAGATCAAAGCATGTTTAAGTCGAGGAAAGAGTTTCATTCATTATTTAGTTTTGTTAGTAAATTTTTGCTTTACTTAACAGACAGCAGTACAGGATACATTGAATGAGGCAGAAGGTTCTCAACCAGTGTTTCACCCACTGGAGAATACATTTGAAGCTAGTGATGAAGATGATGTGGATAATATGGCAAATGGAATTGCAGCAATACAAAACCAGATCTCCACAACTACAACAGCCACAACAACAACAGCAGCTACAGGAACAACAACAACAACAGTGGCTCAGAGGCAAAATCAGGTTAGTTGTATCCTGTATCATGCTGTCCATCATCCTTCTTTATGGTGTAACATCCAGGGTTTTAAAAGTAAGCTGGCAACAGGCACATTTCATAGTCTACTCTCAAGGGCCAGTTATTCTGAATATTTGTGGCTCAATTTTCTGTGTGGAAACATCAGATTGTGCCACCTTTTTTGTATCACAAAATGGTTATTAGAAACTATTTTGACAATCCTGAACACTTATTAAACAGTTCCTATGTCAAGAGTATTATGACAGATTTGAGTTTGATATTTATGCAATTACTGCTTGTATCACAAAATGGTTACTCACAAACTTTTTGACAACCCTGAACACTTATTAAACATTTCCCTGGCAAAGAGTGTTATGACAGATTTGAGTTTGATATTTATGCAATTACTGCTTTGTATCACAAAATGGTCACTTAAAAATTTTTTTGACAACCCTAAACCCTTATTAAACAGTCTCCATGCCGAGAGTGTAGTGACAGATTTGAGTTTGATATTTATGCAATTGCTGTAGTTAAAGATCACATCTTTTGCTTTCAGAATGCTAATTTCAGCAAGTAAGTGTAATTCTATAATCCTGGAATGGCTTGATTGAAAAGGTTACCAAATGATCACTCTGTTCCTTTTGAGGGTTAACAATTAATGGCAACTGAGTACTTATCAACAACAGTTTAAAGAAACACCTGGTAGAAAGTTAACCCTTGAATTCCCATGAGTGACCAAGACAGAATTTCTCCTTACAATATCAATACAATATCAAGAAGACAAGTGATGAGATTAAAGAAAAATATCAATCAGGGGATTGTAAGTTGATCCAAAACCAATTTCTCAAATTTAACATCACAAGAACTGTATGGTGGACAGTAAGGAGAATTACTAATGAGATCTTGGGAGTCAAAGGGTTTGCTGAAGTTAGAGTCTTATGCATGTCTGCTCAAGGTTTCACTGTCTCCTTTTCCTACATGTTTAGCATTGTATTTTTTAATGAAATTTAAGTAAATGGTATGGTAATATTTTGTCAATTTCCATTTATTTCTTAGGGATGGCTTGTTTGGTTCTTGTCTCTTCCACTACTTCCTTTCAGATTTGGTACCAGTATTTTCAGAGATCTTTTCGGATTTATTGGTAAGCTCTACAGCAATTTGATAGCTCATGAAACATATTCCAATGTTTAACCTTCACATACTCTTTTGTAACTTTGTCATATGTGTCACTATACTATTTCACTACTTGATGATGTAGGTAAATCTGTAAGAATCTACACACACTTTGTTTCCTCTCTTCAATCCATACCTACCTTGTTGCATGAGTTTTTGGCGGTCAACCTACTCCTTTAAAACGCCTAATACAGCTTCAAAGGGGAGCTGTGACAACAAGTACCAGAACTAGTCATGATACCAAACCAATATTGTTGTTGATAAGAAGTTTAGTTCCAACTGATAATTTAAAATACACTGTAGATAGTACAATCTTATGATCAACCTTTCATTGACCCTGTTTACAAAAGTGCATTAAATTGCAGTTTCTACATGTACAAGTATGTTTATAACAAAATTGACTAGTGTTTTTCAAATCTGTTTCTTTCCAGTGAGACTTGTATGGCCCAGAGCATTTGAAGGTATATCGATCTTTCCATTGATGTTGATAGTTAGTACAGCCAGTCAATATATCAATTTTCAATTTATTGTCGAAAGCTATCAGGATTGCCTTCAGTTGGTTTTGCCTCACTTTGTTCTACAATTGATGTAGAAAACTTGTGCCACATTAAAAACCAATCAGGTGCAAAGCTTAATCCAATGTTTGACTTTGTCATTAGCATATTCACGTAACATTTAAAAGTATTATACACCAATGTGGTGGTGAATAGTGATGGGTATTAAATGAGCCTCAAAGCACTGACAGAGGTAAATACCTGTATCCACCACTTTCACTGGCACTTGGGTGAATACTTGTTTTAGTATTTAGCACACAGAAACCAAAATGTTTGTTTATTTCTGTTACTGAACAAAAAAATGGTTGGAATATGAACACTTTACATGCGATTTTGTCTCTTCTGCTTCTCGGAGGTGAATGCAATCATGTAGTATCAGCTAATCACTTCCAGACTTGCTATTCAGTGCAGGCATGCAGCATAAAGCACTATTCACCTGTGTGTGGTATATACTAAATTCAGATATTTTGTGACCTGTACATTATTTTACTGGAACAATAAGCAAAATGTTTGTTCATGGTATTTCCTTATCAGGTGAATGAAAACTTTTTCATTTGGTTTCTAACAAATGTGATATTTCTGGCCTGTCTTTTCATGCACCAGCAATTCTCTTGGCATATCTCAGTAGATGTGTGTAGTGGATAAAATAGAATGATTGATTATAATTTTACATTCATATAATTCCCAGGTAGTATGATCTTGTCCAACCTGTTCACTATTGCTCTGTTCTCTGTCTTCACCATTTGAATTCACTTTGGTGAACAGCAATTAAACTGGAACATCAATTTTTTCAGTCCCATTTATTTCATGTTCCCTTGACCTTATTTGGTGAATGATATCATAGTGGAATTGATGACTTGTATATTTTTGATATCCTTTTTTTTTCTTTTTTTTTTTTTTTTCAGCTGAAACTACCCCATTAGAGGATGTTCTTAAGTTCAAAACAGAATTTGAAGCAGAGTATGGAACAGTGCATCCAACATTTTATCAAGGAAGTTACAGTCAGGTACACAGAAAATTTAAAATATTTAAATAGTGTCAGTGTTGAACAACATTTTCTTGGCTAGGCGACCTTAGTCAACAAAGGTTTGCCTTAATGAACTACTATTTAAAATATCCTTCATATCCTTAAACAGAACCATTCATACCATATTATAACATAGCTAGTAAATTTGTCTAATCAAATTCAATTGCATGAGCATGCGTCATATTCCTATTGTGCATGGACATGGCATCAACAGACAAATCCCTTGAGAAAAAAATTTTCCATCAGGTTGAAAATGTTATAAATCAATTGGTTCATACATCAGCTGTGCGTTCATCAAGATATGAAGCACTTGGGAAGTTTGGAGAGCACTCAAGAAGCTAGAGTTGCTCTCGGCTACACCTTGAGCAACTCTTGCACATCTTTTGTGCTCTCCAAACTTCTCACATGCTTCATATCTTGATGAATGCACGCTGACGTATGAACCAATTGTTAATTTTAGGGTTCAATATCATGCAAGGCTTTTCACTCAACTTTCTTCAAAGTCGTTACGAGGTAACGGAAATGGTTGCCAGAGGTAAATGATGATGCTAGAAAAAAAACACTTTATGCAACATTACATGACCTACTAAACTGCTGACAACATCACTTGAATTTCATCAAGGTTGCCATGACAATGTGTACGTAAACCAAAAATGTACAGGATAATTGTGCAAATCTAATATTGCCATAAATCGGTATGCACTCAGCCTGTTTGGCCAAAATGATTAATATGCATCTTTCAAAAGGGCATGGAGGGGGCCTATATGTTGACTGATAAGAGGGTGGTTTATTCAAAAGAGGTGATAATTTCAGGGGAGGCACTAGTTTCAAGATTTTTGGTACACTCAGGGATGCAGAAAAGCACTATGAACAAAGTTTTTTGACTAAAAACATTTCAATTTGACCCTCTTCAAGGCTCAATGCAAAACCTTTCAATGGTTTTATGGGAATTCCTGCATTTGACTATTAGGAAATTACATCCCACGCATGTGTTGTACTGAAAAGTGGTTAATTTTCTGCAGGCATTGAATGATGCAAAGAGAGAGTTACGCTTTCTTCTAGTTTATCTGCATAGCTCAGAACATCAGGACACTGATAAATTTTGTAGGTAGGTCTATCTACATTTGCGTGCTAGAGGATACAGTTCCTAATTTAAACTGCAGTGGACATGTAGAGTAGATTGATATGTACATGCACATGTCCATGTGTCTTTGATTGTTTGTGCAAAATGAGCTTTACACAATGTATGCTGATGGATGTGCTAGCCCCACTTCACTGCCCACTGTTTATAGAAAAAATGCTTTATTTGTGAATACCAACTTGATTTTATTCTTTCACTTGTTTCTCTAAAGGTCAACTATGACAAATGATGGATTTAGGGAATACGTGAATGGAAACATGTTATTCTGGGGAGCAAATGTGAGATCTCAAGAAGGTAACAGAGGTAGGTGATCAGTGTTGTGTTTCATAGAAGAAAGGAAGGCAGATGGGTAATTTTCCAATGTCTCCTTAGCGTATCTGCTTCAGATTTTTTGGTGATGTACAGTGTTTCTTCCATATTGTTTTACATCAGTACATTTGCACTGTTGTGTACCTGGAGGTAGTGTGCTTGGGTATCAAGGATGCTAGACTAGCAAAATGTTGGTCCGGGTTCCCCCCTCAGTAATTAGCCCCTTTCTCTTTTCTACCCACCCCCGTTTCTAAGAGATTGGAAGGCAAGGATTCTGACAGCAACAAACCCTTACTGATAATGTAAAGTGGGATGAAAAAAAAAAGAAAAAAACCAAACTGACTCAATCAGTGCCCATGAAAAATTGCATGCAGTTTATACTGCTCACAGCACCTGTTTTAGCAAATCATTGTGTATTACCTTGATCTGTAGGCTATCAGTCAACGGAGACTGGTAAAAAAGGCAAATGAATATCCTCAGTCGATTTTGAAAAGATTTTCAAATTTCATATCAATACTTCGGCAGACGTAATATTTGTAATGCTTAATGAAATGATGAGTGAATATGTTTTGTTTTCCGTTTTTTTGTGCTACAGTCTCACGTGCCCTTCGTGAAACCACTTACCCTTTTCTGGCCCTGATTTGTCTCAGAGATAACAGAATGAACGTTGTTGGGCGAATGGAAGGTAAGCTGTCTCTTCGCCTCGCCAACCCCTAGCCCACCCTAGTGATCTACTTCTCAAATAGATTCCATGTTGCCGTGCGTCTGTTCAGAACTGGATCACAGATTACGTCAAAATGTGATAAGAAACAAAATAAGTGGCTAAGCTACAGGTAAGACAGTTGTTGCCATCACGAGAACCTCACACGCCAAACACGGGCTGTCTCGTGAAAAAGAAAATTGCTAAGCGTGTATGTTATACATGGGTTGAAAATGGCATTACACCAAAAGAAACTTTAATTTAGGTGATAATGTCACCATTACTCGAGTAAAGCGCGAACTGTATCTCTGATATGTGTGACTATTCGCCTCTTTTTCTTCACAGGGCTGATGAATGTTGATGGGTATGTGTCACTGCTAGCTCGTTTGATAGAAGACAATGAACCAGCTTTGGTTGCAGCACGAGTTGACAGGTTTGTTACTCAGTGTATTACACAGCTGACCACTTTTTCAGGCGCTTTAGATTATCGATGCGGACGGTGCAGTGTGTGGCAAATACAATGCGCGTGAGGTTGCCGCGATCCGTGCGCGAGGATCGCTTGATTCCCGCAGGAGCATGCATGTACGTTCTCGCTTCCTCTCTAGTTTCCAAGTATTCACAAATTTCACCATTTTTTTTCTCGTCTTTTTCTTCAGTTGTTGATTGTTTGAAAATTATCGAGAGAGTAGCGACTACGTGTGACAAAGTGGGGCGCGATAATTTGTGAAGGAGAGCGAGGAGGTTTTCATTCATTGGCTGAGGGTTGTCGCTCGGAGTCCAGCGCGAACTTCGAGCATTCCGTGCCGTGAATATTATACAAAACTTTTATTAATCCAGAATCTAGTGTGTTCCCGTCCCTCCATCGGATTCACATTTATTGGTACGTTTTAAGTGATGTAAATGTTCTGTAATATACATGTGGTGTTTCGTCAACAGACAAGAACGCAGTCATGCTCAACAACTACGCGATGAACAAGACGAAGCTTACTATGAATCCGTCAGAGCTGACCAGGAGAAAGTAAGACGACTTTTACTGAAGTTTTGATCTCTTTACAATAACAAGCGTTTTATATCCTTTCTTGTTATATGAGTGTCAAATTATTAATTTGTTTTGTTTGACTTATATGGTTTTATTACTTTTAATTACGATCAGACCCTTCCATTTTCAGGGGAACGCAATAACGTAGAAATGCCAGAGTTGGTGAACGCTCTTACTCGCGTTCCTCCGGAAAAAGGAACGCCTGATCACTGATTATTTTTGTATAAGAGAAGTTAGTTTAAGCTATTCTGCGGCTTCATTCACGAACAAACTTTAACTGCTCTTGTTTTTGATATTCTTAGCCGTTGTGTGCGGAACAAATCTAGCGATGTTCTTAGGCAGGTTAAACTGACACGAGAGAGCAATTCTTATTTGAATGTTATACGTAACTAATATCACATTGATTTTGGCTTTGTGAAACTATGATATGAGATTGATCCAGAGATCTGACGTTCCCCACCCCAACCAAAACTGGCCGAACTTATCGCGCTTACGGTCCCGTGAATTTTTGCGCGCTTGATACTCGTGCTTCTTTGGTTTTGGTAGAAAGGTATTCAAATTTTCTGAAAAGACAAATTCATGACTGTAAACTGCATGTTGACAGGAAAGAAAAAAGCGAGAAGAGGAGGACAAAAAAAAACAAGAAGAAGAGAATAAACGGAAGAAAGAAGAAGCACGACAAAACAGAGCAGAGGTTTGGAATATCTTTTACTTTATCTGGGCTCAGACAAGTAGCTTATAATCCATATAAAGCTGGGTTTCTAACCTGAAAATAGTTCCAGTGTCAGGGTTTTCTTTAAGGTTTTAATTAGCCGGAGCTTTTTTAAAGGTAGACGGTTGTGGGTCGCGAAATCCAATATGGCGGACAAAACGTCATATCGTTCGTACTTTCCTGCCACCGCAGCAAGATTTGTCAGAAAGACAGTCCCCATCAGGAAGTTTTTAAACTAACCTTGAGTCGGAAGTTTTTTTTTTATGTTTTCAGAAAAGACAGGCAGTGCAAATTTATATTTTTATCGAGCCCAAGTTTAGACCTGATAAACATCATCTCTGTACGGGCTCTCGAAGCAATGAAAGTAGCCGGCGAAACCTTGCATAGAAGCCGGCGTACTTCGCCGGCTGCCGGCTCTTATCTACAACCCTGTAGTGTATGTGTTTCTCCTAATGTCCTAGGCCTTGTCTCCGTTTTTCCTCCCGTTTCCTACGACAGGTCTTGACCAATTTTAGATGCAACCTACCGGATAAAAAAGTGAAGAACAATGAACTTGTGCGATTATCATCATAGCTTTTGTTCTAGCGTGTATAATAGCTTTGTCCCTGTCCTTTCAGCCACGCGGTAGCTATCACAATTTTGAATTAGGTCACTTTCATCTGATCTGTAAATTGAAAATGAAATAAAGCCAGGATCATCTCAAGTGAGGTAGCAATTGTAGAAAAGAACCTTGAAAAAATTATCAACGGGAATCAATTTTGAGAGCGAGGGAATTAGGGTTCTTCTCTCCCGTAGGGGAATCTGATAAAATTTGTTATGAAATAAATCTCATTTAGAGACCTGCGGATTTAAATCAAATGAAGAAATTGATTGCGGTCATGTAAGAGTTATTTAGGTCTTATAAAATCAGGGTCCAAACTCCCCAAACGGACACGTCCCGTCGGTGTGCACCGTTCAAAAGCATACACTACATTAGGAAATCCATTTTCACTCCTATCTTAAAGCATTTATAACCTTAAAGATGAACTAATAACTAATTTTTCCCATAAAGTCCATAGCACGAGAACGCGTCGATAGAAAACTGAAGGTTCCCGAAGAACCGGAAAGTTCGCATCCCGATGCCATCCGCGTGTTAATGAAATTGTCCAACGGTAAACGACTGGAGAGGAGATTTTTGAAGTCGCATCCCTTGCAGGTAGGACACGATCTAATAGCATTCTACCGTCGTAACTACATTAGTCTAATATCTGGATAGTATTCGCATATCGGAACTGTGGAAATCAACATGGGTGTCCGCATGCTTTCGTGGATACTTGGTTTGTTAAGAGGGGGGGGGGAGTAGTTTCTTGTCCCATCCAAGTGGAGACAAAATACTTTTAGGCGCTTCATGCTTCAGAAACTGGGATGGGCTCTTACCACTAAGTAACAATTAACATAACCTTCCTTGGTCAGGGGTGTAACGAGAAGGGAAGGTTGCCCCTAAACCCTGCCTGCCTTCCTCCCTCCTTTTACGTCAGTACCGTACCGATTCAAGTTAGCGAAATCGCGCGAATTCGAAGAATCTGCATAGCATCCATGTTGTCTAGATCTGGATACTTCATTTGGTGCATGAATAGGCACCCGCTATTTACATGGAGGAGCAGTGGTATGGGCCAATCTTCGTGAGGTGCACGGAAATTCGTAGTTACATTTCCCTTTAAAAACCTTACCCTTACCCTCTCCCCCTTAAGTGGAACTCGCTGATTGCTTAACTTAATAAGTTGCTAAAGAAACACGTCATGTTTTCATCATTTTTCTTTAGGCCTTGTACGATTTTGTATTTTGCGATGAAGAGTCCCCGGCAGAATTCGTCCTGGTGTCAAATTTTCCACGTAAAGTGTATGCGCTCGACTCGTCAAGCGAGAATCAAACATTGGAAGATGCTGGCATCGAAACAAATGCAACGCTGTTTGTGCAAAATGTAGAAGATGAAAGCGATAGTGATTAAAAAAAGTGTTGCTTGGAAGAAGATATTGCCGTTCTGGTTTGGAAGTTATTTTAACTATCTCCAGTGTGTGGGACAATTGAATATCTAGAACGCAAGAGGAGGCATTGATTTAAAATGGTTAAAGAGAACGAGAATAAAAAAGAAAACCAGATTTACTGCACAAGACACAAGACCGGTACCACACGACAATGCGCCCAGAAATAAGATATTCTACCGACTAGGTCGCTTAAACATTTCAAGGACAGGGAGTACCTCACGGAAATAGTATGCCCACAGCGAATGGAGTCCCACGGAACTGGAGTAATTGGGTACTGTACTTGATTTATTTGCGTTCTGTTTACTTTTGACATCTATTTGAATTGCATTTTGAGGGGAATTTTAACGAGAATAGAGCTAGCTTTTATGGTCTTAGATTCACATGAGTTTGCTTTGAAGCAAGTGGCTATGACATTGGTTTGACTATATTTTGAAATGAAACGCGTTGAAATTTTTTTTGTTTCATTTTGTAATGTTTCCTGCAATTTGAGTCGCGACAAGATTATGACTCAGTTTCCAAGAAGCATTGCCTTGTACGAGCTCAATCTATCTAGGCTCTTCGTTTTAACGTTAAGTAAATTAAAGGAAATATTGACTGAATCTATGAAAATAAAGACATGCATTCGAAAAGGAGGATACTTGTTGAATTGTCAAGTGTAAACATCCCTGGCAAAAAGGTGTCAATAGCGTTTTACTTTTACAGCTTCAGTTCAGTCCATTCCAAGCGGTTTGTGGTGTGATCAAAAACGTTTAGCTATCAACTAAGGTGTGTTTAACGGAATGAATTCCCCTCTTATCCACGTTCCTCACTGAGTCTTCAAATTACGAAAGGGATTACAACCCTTGGTATACGAGTAAGAGTACTGAAGTAATTAACGGAGTTGAGTGTCCTTAATATCAAAACAGCTACATTCATATCTGCTATTCACGTACTCTTATGAAGTAGACAAAATTTATAGTTTTTATATCAAAATCTCATTCAGACGGGTGCCATCTTTAAAATATTCCCAATTAAAACGAAATATAGCGAACAAAAAGTCAAAAACAGAATTAAGCCCTTGTCAAAACCTTTTATTAACTACATTACAAAAGTCTAATAATTAATGCAACGGACATCGTTGCGCTGAGATGTAATGTATCCATTGAAACATTAAGCTATCAACAATTAAGTAATTTTGCTTCAAGTATTCGAAAATCCTAAACCAATTTAAGTTAGGTTTCATTTGCAGCTAGTCCTTTTTTTTCTTTTTAATAATTATATGAAATCCTTTTTAGCCAAGTCCTGTTGAAAGAAAAAAGGGAACAGAAGCGTTAAATAGTCAGTGCTTTCTCTATTTTAATAAAGAAAAAATAGAGCTTATCATAAAAGGAGGTCAACTACCGTCTCTAGGAGGCGGGAAAAGTCCCACTCATTGTAGCAAGATTTCATATTCATCAATTCTTTACTGTTTCTGGCTCGTGAGCAGGCCGTCATTACTAGTACCGCAGTAGGATGCACGCTTCTCCGCCTGCGGGAAGATTTGAGACGAGGTGGGGAGAGCTTTTCCAGGGGTCTGACGCTTATCATTTCCAGACCTTGCAGTCCTTTCACCAGTCCTTTCAAACGCTAGTGCTAAAGCGCTGATAATAAAGGCCAGTCCAAGCTAGACTAGGCTAGACTAGATGATTATTCCTGGGATACCCTGAGGTTCAGGCAGACCTAACCCATCTTAGGATCCCCGTTCTTTTTTCTCGCTTTCTTAGTTCTTGCATCTTTTTCAAACCTTCATCTTGAGGGGCCATACGCTAGACCGTGCGGCCTTTTCGGCCTTCTACGCGCCCTTATTCCCCTCTAGGGATTATCATTCTTTTTAAGACAATGATTTTCAACACGAAAATCCCATTTATTGATTGGCGACCAATCAAGACGGTTAGATAGCACAGTCAACATTCCTACTCTGACAGATTATATAACTTACATTGTTGGGTTCGATTTCGTAAGTGGCGTGGAATCCTTTTCCTGAAATGGTCACGTCAGTATGGAAGTAAATGTTGATTTCATTACCGTCCTCTTCCTTATAAGGAATTACCACATCTGGCTTACGTAGATATCCGCTGAGAAGTTTAACCGTCCGTTCTCCTACATCAATTTTCAAGGTATCGAATCTGTAGGTAAAGTTGACAGATTGAACTGTATAGTGCTTTAACATCAAATTGCGAAACTGTAATGGTTTGTTTACCTATATTACTTTTTAGCCCCAGTCCACCCCCTCTCTTTGCTGATCGAGATTGTGGGTTAAATCTCCCATATGAATGCTCTAGTCAAAATGCAATTTATGAACGGGGTTCGAATTTTGGGAAATATATTCCACATACCACCAAGAATATCCCCGAGTCACTCCGGGCTTTGGGAAGGAACATCCCTGAACTAAACTTTAGTAAATAATTCTCACTCGACCAACGAGAAGGAAATGAACGTCAACTCACGCATGTTCTGTTTGAAATCTGTCAAACTGGATTCTAAGTCTTTCGCCAGATTTAATCGTTACAGTCCAGAAACAGTCAGTGTTGTCAGGGTAGTTTCCTGGAAAGTTCGGCGACTCAAAGTGTCCCTTTCTCTCCTTCAGCTGGCCTCCACAACGCGACCCTAACAAATAAAGGAGATATCAGAAAAAGTAAACGAAACCTTTTTTAAGAATATAAGATGACTATGCATGTTTTTCTTTCTTCAATTTCAACGGCTGTTTGGGCCCAAAGCAGAACTAACCGAATAAAAGCCGTGTTCCACCATCTTCCTACAGTAAAAGCTATACTTCTTCATATCACAACGCTTCAAACATCACTCAGCCAAGTAGAGTATGAGGACAAGGCATTGTCATCATTTCACCTACCAGTGGTGATCTTAAAAGTGGCCTTAAATCCTTTGTGGGCTATGAGGGCATCAGAGCGAAAAAGAATGGCAACGATTTCGTTATTGCCATAAACTGTAGTTTGATAGTTGGCATCTTTGTGTCCACGGATTGTGTACAGTTCTTTGTTCCCCTGTAAAATTTCCAAATAGTCAAAGCTGAAACAAAGAAAGAGAGTATCACAGAGGTTCTTATAGGACACCTCTCCGAAATGGTGGAACAAAATTGATACCCCTTAATATCACATTTCATAGAAAATTTATTAGTCATCCCAAATAGATACCGCTTTCATGTAGAAATCTTGCAAAGAATTCGTTCTTGTACGCCCGTAGAAACATCAAAATATTTGGAGAATTTTCAGATTCACCTCTACGGTAAGGAACCCCGTAGACACTTGAAATTTTCAATATCTGCTGATTAAACAATGAATTTTCTTGTGTGGACGTACTTTTTCACCTGTGGAATTTCCCGCCGAAAAAAACGAAGGGGTAAGCTTCGTCAGTCTATCAGTTTTTTCTTATTTTACAAAAGATGAGTGTCGCTTTTTATTATTTCACGAAGGGAGAGTGTCGATTCACGTTTCTTTGATTCCATGGTTCGTTTGATCCTTGCCGCATTATTTCATCATTCGTCAAGGAATGCTCTCACTCAAAAGTTAGATAGGTGCACACACAAAAACCCCGTTCAATCCCTCTCAGTAGTAATAAATGTGTATTCTTGCGATAGACAAACCAAGTCCATCCCCAAAGACCTGCAAATCGTCATTTGTTTCATACATACTGAGATTCACACTGTAAAGTACTATCGTTCGTGTCTTATTAGGACGAACGATGTATTTTAAAAGTCGTTCTCTTCCAATCAATCTCGAAAAAATCTCAATATGTATGAAATATAAACATCATACTATTGAAAGTGCTTGAACGATTTTAATTTACTCGTTGCAGTGCATCTTAAAACTCACTCGTTCGCTACGATCACACGTTCGAATTTTTGATGTATCGCAACTCGTGAATAACATTCGTTCGCGCGAACTTTTTATGTAATTTTCTCTATGTACTCACTGCTCTTCTGTATCAAAATACTCATAAGTGATACGCAGTTTAAAGCCCTTCCTGACATATATCCTCCATACACAGTTTGCATTGTTTGGATAGTATTCCCCATCGAATACAGGTGAAGAGAAACCTCCTTGGTCTCCAGAAAGGACGCCGCCACAACCTCAAGAAAAACGAGAACAAAATTTAAGATGACTTCACTTATACATATAAAGAACCCTAATCGAAACCATTTGTTCGAAACGTAATTATTCCAGGATTAAAAGTTCATCTTGTCCTTCATTCTCATGAAATAGAGCGAATTTTTTAATATTTATTTTTGTGGTTTCATTTAGAAACCTTTAGTTATCTAAGGCGTACTATGATCTAGTTCTCAAAGGTCTCTCCGTCTCACCAACACGATTAATTTGGCTATACATCCTTTACTAACGGAGTGATAGACCGAACTTGCGATCCTATCTTTCGATTAATATATCTTTTGAGTTTACCCCGTTACGAAAATAACTTAGATAATCTACTCGTTACATCACGATACATCTCGTTAAGTAAAACACACTGAACAGGTTAATCGTTAATCGTTCGTAACGACTGAACTGATAACCATAACATAAATGATAGTTGATGAACCAACCAGGAATAAATTATCGCTATGTGTACTGCTAACCTTGTAGAAGAGGTCAGTGAAAGGGGAACCATACGACCCACGAAAAAAGAGGGGTTAAAATACAATAAAAGCTCAATGAAATAGTCTTTCACACCTCCTTCAGTAGCCCCTTCCTCTGTAACTCCCTCTCTACTGGCAGCCGGATCTGTAATACCTCCTTCAGTTGCCCCTGCCTCCGTTCCACCTTCTTCTGTGACCTCTGCCTCAGTAGCGCCATCCCCACTTGCTGCCTCCGTAACTACTTCTTTAGCAGTCCCTGCCTCCGTGGCGCCTTCTCTACTAGTTACCACCTCCGAAACGATTTCCGCGGTAGTCTTCACCTCTGTAGCGCCTTCTCCACCAGCTGCTTTCTCTGTAACACCTTCTTTTGTGGTCTCTGCCTCCGTGGCGCCTTCTCCGCTAACCTCCATCTCCGTAACGATTTCCTCGGTTGTCTTCACCTCTGTAGCGCCTTCTCCACCAGCCACCAACTCCGTGGTACCTTCTTCAGTGGTACCTGCCTCTGTACCGCCCTCTCCACTGGTAGCCGGCTCTGTCACACCTCCTTCGATGGCCCCTGCCTCCGTTCCACCTTCTTCTGTGGCCTCTGCCTCTGTAGCACCATCCCCACTTGCTGCTTCTATAAGTACTTCTTTAGCAGTCCCTGCTTCCGTGGCGCCTTCTCCACTAGCTACCACCTCCGTAACGGTTTCCTCGGTAGTCTTTGCTTCTGTGGCACCTTCTCCCATGGCTTCTTGCTTTGTAACACTTTCTTTAAGGGCCTCTAACTCCGTGGCGCCTTCTCCACTAACTTCCACCTCCGTAACGATTTCCTCGGTTGTCGTCGCATCTGTGGTGCCTTCTCCACTAGTAGCCCCCTCCGTCATGCCTTTCCTTCTTACCGCTCCCGTAGTCTCTTCTTCAGTAGCCCCTGTCTCAGTAACGCCCTCTCCACTTTCTGGAACCTCCAATGTACCTTGCCCACTCTCTGCAGCCTCTTTCTTAGTGGCTCCTGCCTCTGTAGTGCCTTCTCCACTAGCCGCTTGCTCTGTAACACCTTCATCAGTGGCTCCTGCCTCCGTAAAGCCTTCTCCACTAGCAGCCACTTCCGTCACGCCCTCTCCACTCGCCACTTCCGTAGCCCCTTCTTCAGTAGTCCCTGGCTCCGTAACGCCATCTCCACTTTCTGGCACCCCCACACTACCTTGTCTATTTTCCGCAACCTCTTTCTCAGTGGTTCCTGCCTCTGTAATGCCTTCTCCACTAGCCACTTGCTCTGTAACACCTTCATCAGTGGTCCCTACCTCCGTAACGCCTTCTCCACTAGCAACCGCTTCCGTCACGCCCTCTCCAATCACCGCTTCCGTAGCCCCTTCTTCGGTAGCCCCTGGCTCCGTAGCGCCATCCCCACTTTCTGGCACCTCCACAGTACCTTGCCTATTTTCTGCAGCCTCTTTCTCGGTGGCACCTGCCTCTGTAGCGCCTTGTCCACTAGCTACTTGCTCTGTAACACCTTCATCAGTGGCTCCTGCCTCCGTAACGCCCTCTCCACTCGCCGCTTCCGTAGCTTGCCTATTTTCTGCAGCCTCTTTCTCAGTGGCTTCTGCCTCTGTAGCGCCTTCTCCACTAGCCACATGCTCTGTAACACCTTCATCAGTGGTCCCTACCTCCGTAACGCCTTCTCCACTAGCAGCCGCTTCTGTCACACCCTCTCCAATCACCGCTTCCGTAGCCTCTTCTTCGGTAGCCCCTGGCTCCGTAGCGCCATCTCCACTTTCTGGCACCTCCACAGTACCTTGCCTATTTTCTGTAGCCTCTTTCTCAGTGGCTCCTGCCTCTGTGGCGCCTTGTCCACTAGCCACTTGCTCTGTAACACCTTCATCAGTGGCTCCTGCCTCCGTAACGCCCTCTCCACTCGCCACTTCCGTAGCCCCTTCTTCAGTAGCCCCTGGCTTCGTAGCGCCCTTTCCACCTCCTGGCATCTCCACAGTGCCTTGCCCACTTTCTGCAGCCTCTTTCTCAGTGGCTTCTGCCTCTGTAGCGCCTTCTCCACTAGCCACTTGCTCTGTTACACCTTCATCAGTGGCTCCTGCCTCCGTAACGCCCTCTCCACTCGCCACTTCCGTAGCCCCTTCTTCAGTAGCCCCTGGCTTCGTAGCGCCCTTTCCACCTCCTGGCATCTCCACAGTGCCTTGCCCACTTTCTGCAGCCTCTTTCTCAGTGGCTTCTGCCTCTGTAGCGCCTTCTCCACTAGCCACTTGCTCTGTAACACCTTCATCAGTGGCTCCTGCCTCCGTAACGCCCATTCCACTCGCCGCTTCCGTAGCCCCTTCTTCAGTAGCCCCTGGCTCCGTAGCGCCCTTTCCACCTCCTGGCATCTCCACAGTACCTTGCCCACTTTCTGTGGCCTCTTTGTCAGTGGCTTCTGTCTCTGTAGCGCCTTCTCCACTAGCCACTTGCTCTGTAACACCTTCATCAGTGGCTCCTGTCTCCGTAACCCCTTCTCCAATCGCAGCCCTCTGCGTCACGCCTTCTCCAATCGCCGTTTCCGTAGCCGCTTCTTCAGTGGCCACTGGCTCAGTAGCCCCATCTCCACTTCCTGGCACCTCCACAGTACCTTCCTTACTTTCTTCAGTGACCTCTGCCTCCGTGGCACCCTCTCCACTCACTGCTTCCTCAGTTACGCTTTCTTCAGCGCGCTTTGTCTCTATGCTACCTTCATCTCTGGCCGCCCCCTCCGTAACACGTTGTTGGAGGAGCGGTTCGGTGCGTTTTTCTGTGAAAAATGGTTATATTTTTGTCATTTTCTTTTAGTTTTGAAAGGAGTTGTACAAACAGATTTGAAATTTGAATCTTTTTATTTTTTGCAAGAGATTGGCCGTAGGATCCTAATGCATCGCTGACCGTTTTAAGAGCATTTTACACTTTATTCCCTTTCAACGAATAAGCAACATGGCCCTTTTGTAAACGGTTTTGGAATCAGTGGTAAATGTAAGTCTTGCCCACTCAAAGAGTGGGCAAGACGAAGACAAAGTGGACTTCATTCTATCAGGAAATGAACGTGATAATAACTTTACAAGCTCGATGCATGAACTATTTCGTTTACTTACTCCCTTACTTTCACTCAAGTTTTATTTCAATACTGAGAAGATACAAATTCATTCAGGTAATAATCGTCCATTACTCGTATTGCAACTCTATGGTCGTTGTGTGAAATAACTCAGTCTTGGCATTCGCTGATAACTGCTCAATAAATGAACAATACACTCAAGATGACATTATTCCACGTTCTTTTCACCAGTCTACGTATCATTGTGTTGATTTTTACAAGAATCAATTACTTATTGGTCGCCGAGTGAAAAGGTTAAGAAGGGATTTAAACATCTTGGTCATTAACCCATAAATTCATACGAAATACCTCTTATCTGATAAATCAATCGGTCAATATCTTCATCCATAGGTCTATACCAGTCATTATTGGCCTCGTTACAATTGCCATTGAGGGCGTCACACGGATCTGTCCTTAGCGAATCCTGGTGTAGCTTTTCCAATCGTTTCTTTATGAGTTCATCTAAAATAGAACAAGTGGTTGATTACCGAAACAGAACCGGCTTATTTTTTAAAGAAATGGTGAGAAAAGTCTTCTATAATTCCTTTAATGTCACTACGAGATACGAGTGACTATAATTTATCATGTTTTGAAAGATGGATAGCATCGATTCGTTGGAGCCGTAGCTTTCTTTATGATAACTAAATTGTAATTAATTATGAAATTTTGGAACGTTAAATGTTAGACTTCAAAACTTTTCTTTAATTTTGTACTTTTATTTTCACCTGTATCGAAGACATTTTCTTGACGTAAGGGAAACTGTGCATTTGACGAAGTAACTGCTGCAAACAAAACTAACTGGAAGAAAGGAAGATAAAAGAAGGAATTTACTATACTGCTTCAAGTAGCGTAGACTTGAATTGCTCATAAAATATTCAGTAAATCTGTAGGCAGTGATAATTCATTAGAAGTAGATAAATATATATCGATCTATACTTGTTAACCAAGATCTGTTTCTGTTGTGGCCTCAACCAAATATATTGTGTGTTTATGGTAAGCTTAAGTGACAGAAAACCTTTGAAATTATTGATCCTTTTCAATCCCAGTCTCCCTCCAATCATTATCCGTTAGTCACGCATGACATGACATCTACGCCAAGAATAAAACCTAAACACTATTGTTCGTCAAGACAGGATAAACAACAAGACGCAAAGACAGAAGAATACTTATGAGAGCATGTGACTCCAACCAATTGTTGGAGTCACATGCACAAGCTCGCCGACACATTTTAAACTGACAACAACCTCTGAAGTCTCTGAAGTCTCAACATCGATCGAGCATACTTCCTATGAAATTATTGTGGTCCGGAATTACAAGAAAAAGCTCTTTATTATGCGCGGTTCATAAAAACTAATTTTTTTCCTCTTTCAATGTACGTAAGCATGTCGACGGCGATATCATAAGTGTGGGAGGGATGTTATTGGCACAAATTCGTGGCAATTTATAGTCATTGGTCGATGCGGCCAAAAATCGGCGAAGTGACCTTTAAAATGCTCTCTGGCAGTAAATTTGTTTTGTGGATTTTCGCGCTACTATGAAAACATTTCTTCATGAAATAGCTATTTAATATTCTCTTAATTTCCTCTTAGGTTTCATTTGTAAGCATTTTAACCACGGGTGCCAAGTTCACTCCTTATTTCACCTTTTTTGTTTAAAGGTCATGTTTTAATAACTATATTCGATTGTTTTCATTTTTTCCGCTTTCGTATAAGGAAAAAATACTAAACAGCCCACTAATAACTTAGGTAACCTGTAGCAAAATCCAAGAGCAGTAATCTCTCTTGGCCAAAATACTCCTCGCTTTAATTTGATTAATTCCTTAGCGTAACTGTTTGTCACAAGAGATTGACCGAAGCTGGTGCAATGATTAAACTCAAAGCATACAATTTTAACAGAGTAGTTTAATAATATTCGTTTCGTACCAATTAGTTTTCCTAGTCGTCTGCACCTGATAACAATCCAATTCATGTTGTGGGCTATATAGTTAATAAGTATGTAACCAAAAATTAATGCTTGTTTTTCTCTTCAATGTCTCCACAAACATTTTTCTTGACAGTATTCTTATTTTTACTTTTTCCCTGTTAATCTTAGCCGTAGGGTACTTTCTTTGTGACTTAAGTATCTCTAAGGAATTGAATACTTTTCGTTCCGCTCTGTCTAATTTTCCGTTTACTAAGTTGCTTTTGCTATTTAAAAAAAAACTTTTCTGGAAAGGTTTACGACGCATTTTTCTTTACTCTCCCTAAAGAGTGTTCACTTTATCTTAAAAGGAAAGTTGCTATTCAATTGATACTTTCGGAAATATCGAAACAGACACTTGGAGCTCGAATGAGTGTTAGGCATGCCTTTGATTCATACACCTCTATGTGTGCGGCATGTGCGGGGGCTTTCAAAGTATTTTCTACATAAAATAGAACATCAGTAAGTCTGGCTCTGACAATTAAGTACTCCATTAGCAAATTTACCTCGAAAGATCTAAACAAAATTGTCATTTTAGTAATCCAATTGATGAAGAATGTATATTATTACAGAGTAAGTGGTCTGGGTCCCGAAAGGGAAAAAGGAAAACCATAACATAGAACTTTACTCCCTCCTGGCTGTCAGTGTAATATATCCAACATTCTGGCATTATCGAAACGCACAGTTTACCACAAGGTTTGCTTCTAAACTCATTAAAACAAGATGCCGGGAAGCAACTTCTACATCAAATGAGCTAAAAGACTGATCGTTTATTTGTTGAGGAGACTGGATTTTTTCGCTGAATTAAAATACTCTCCTCCGCTCACCCAAGTATAAATTTTTTGTTAAAGAGGTTTATTAGTGTTTTAAAGAATGTTGTGATAAAAAACTTTCTTGGTGAGATTCGAGACCAAATTTTTGCTTCGGCTTTAATAACACTGGAATTGAGATCAAGAGATAATATATGTGATCAGCCATTTTTGCCGAACATTTTACTGAGTTACTCACCACACGAAGCGTAAGCCAGCTTGCCATGGAGTGCTTTTGAATGTGCCAAAGATAATATGATGAGCTTCGCTTAAAAGTCTCTGGGCCTACTTAAGACTTGCCATCTTGCCACGATTCTTCTATAACAGCATCACTCGTGAGCTAGGCACGACCAATAACGAGTAATTTATTCCTTGTCATTCGTAATGGACTGTGCGCTACAATGAACTTTTAAAGCTAATTTGAAATGCGGAAATTGTTTGATAAAATTTAAATGAGTCAAAAGATTAGTAAATTCAGCCACATGTGATGAGTTTTGGAGACTGAAGCAGACTGAGGTAAGCTTGAAGATTTATGGGCGCATTATTTTGTCCGATAAGCTACCTACTTGCTTCGCCCCCTCCGATGAGTTAGCCTATAACTAGGTTGGTTGAGAATGTTCGAGCCTGCATCACCAGAGTTGCTACTAATTATGCAAACGTCACCATTTGAGATAATAATATGTTGAGAGAAAGAAATTGCTCCAATTTAACGAACAACTCTGTAGCGAGTGAGTGATGTGGCATGAAAAACATGACCACTTCAATACATCCTTCGCCATCAAGTTTTTTAGCAGCAAAATCATGAATGAAAAAGTTATCGTGCCATTTGCGATAAGAGTTGGAGTCACGGCGGGATGTCAGTAGCCTGTGTTGACCAAATGTGAGGCCTGACTCGCAAATTCATTCTTAGTTATCAAAAGCTCTATTGTAGAGCTCCCAGCCAGCTATTTAGCCTGTTCCAGACTATTAGTTTGTAAGACGAAGCGCAATAGTAAACGGCGCTATACAGTAGGGGACGAGTAAAAGAAACGAGAGAAGCTTGAGTCGAGTCGCGTTATGACGCCATTCCTTACGCAACTCGACCCAAACCTCCCCCGTTTTTCCCTCTGCCGCTTCAATCGCCACTTACTATATCGCGTGGATTTCGCGTTTTTTCTCTTGCTGAACTCCTGGAACAGGTTACCAGCTTTCTAAAGTCGAACTAAATCCTCATCTCCCTACAATTTCAGTCTGCTCTATCATCGCGCTCCGTTTACTACCTGAACCTTTAGTACGGACTAGAAGTGGCTCTTCCTCTACCCTCCAGGTCAAATTAGAAGTAAACGTATTGACTGTTGTCAACGGCGGAAAAACCGAAATAAAACAGCAGAGCAACGAAGAAAATCTACAAAAGACTCAACCCCACCTGGTACTCTTACCAAACTAGGCGAAGGCCACCTATTGAGCTGGATCACTTCACATAATTACCTTACCCGCGCCGCCGTTTAACCCATTACACCTTTAAATCAGTATGAATCCTCTCCCTACTGTTCTCTATACATGTCTGAAGGATCTGACAAGGAGAATTTGTTCAACAATCAAGAGCTTCTTTAGTTGATGATCATTTCCTTTATTCTTGTGACCCTCAGGGTTAACAGGTGATTCAGGGGTGATATGATAAGGAGAAGTTACATTTTGGATGCTGGTCACTCTTAGGAGTGAAAGGGTGAATAACAACAAACAACTGAAATTTCACATCTGACCCAGTATCACGCGGGTGGGAGAAAACTAAATAAGAAGTATGCCAGTCGACACAAAAGTTTATTGCCAAAGTTTTGTTTCATATTTCGTCGACCTCGTCCTCGACCTCTTCGTCTTTATCCTGTTTAAAAAAAGAGAAAAAAAGACCAGTTCCATTGGGAATGGAAAAGAAAGTTCAAGTTCCTTGTCCACCCATTTACCCTATAAATTTATATTTGTGAACAAGTGAATCAGACAGGGAAGAGTTTCAATAATGTGTACTCATTGACTGGGTGGAAGATCGGATGGGAAAATGTGTGGCTCGCTATGCTAGGTACGTACGACATGACTGGGGGCAAAATGTTTTTCCGTCCGGCCGGGTGTCTGAAACACGGTGGCCATATGGAAAATGCGCGGAACTCCACGAATAGAGGTCCTTGTTGGACACTTGCAGGCCGTGTAACGTCAGTGGAAAAACACTGGGTGATGGATAGCGAAGGAGTGACATCCTATCTAGGGGGGGGAGTGGTAATACTCCCAGTCGCTTCATGGTTTGGAAATCAGGATAAGCTCCGATTGCATGGGTTACTTGGTTCGAGTACAGAACTTCTTTTTTCTACCCGACTCTACCCAATTAATAGGCATTTAACTTTATGACGTCCGCTTTTTCTCGTTACTTTTTTCTTCTCTCAGCTAGAAGGAACGAACGCTGAGCCTCGCAACACTTTAGAGCCCTGTTAGTGCATTCGCTTCCATTGGCCTCCCCCTTAAGTTTGTTTTGTGATAATGTTTTTCAACAATGAACACTCAGGGCCATACGGGTCATGTGATAACTTGACTTATTGTTACAGTTTTACAATTAAAGCTAAACCTCAGAAAAAAACAAAAAACAAGCAAACAAACAAACAAAAAAACAATAACAGGGTGGACGAAATCCAAAGGGTAAGGGTAAATTAAAATGAAAGAAGGATCGTTAGGTATGAAGAATATGAAGCAAGCCGTGAGGCAGGTCCTTTAATAAGTTTGCAGTTATTTTGAGGGCTTGGAATGATCAAATTTAACTTAATTATACATGTCAATTAGCCCCCCCTCATCAAGTTAAGTTATTTTTGATTAACAATACGCCTTTCGTCTGTAACTGTCTCTCTTGGAACACGCTGTGCTGGTCAAAATTTTTTCGGTTTTGATAAACAATTGTTACCTTTATTTTGTTATTTTCTTTACCTTTTCTTCCTTTCTTTCCTTTTCCTTTCTTTCCTTTTCCTTTCTTTCCTTTCTTTCCTTTCTTTCCTTTCTTTCCTTTCTTTCCTTTTTTTCCTTTCTCTGTTGATGTGAAGAAAATAAAGATATCAATACAAGAATGAGTAAGCGTGACAGCACCCTTGGTCTCTGATTAAAAAAAGTCAGGTTTAGCTGTGAAATACTACGGTTTTTGCACAAAAGGTGTTGCCGGAAATTACGAGGCAATGGGAATATTTTTTCCGAATTCTTTAACCCCGCGCCACAAGTTTGTTTCCACATTGACTTGCAGTAATTTCAACTGGTTTTAATTTGAGGGAGGTCACGATTATAGAATGAAACACAGTGATTTGTTTTTCACAGAAACTCGCCACCCACTTGAAAAGAAGGCCCCGCGTTATGGTTGCAAAATTCACTAACTTTTAGGTTTCTTAACAGGTGGTTTAGGTTTAGGTTTAGGTTTAGGTACGGGCTTCTCCGTGGGTGGGGCGACTGTAACAGGTTTCTCAGTCGGTGGGGCGTTAGTCTCAGGCTTTTTAGGTGGTCCGCATGTTATGATAATGATAGGTTCCTCCGTTGTTGGTTCCTCAGTCGCGGGATCTGCGGAAAAAAATGAAAGAGAAAAAAAGCAGATCGACTTTACCGATAAATGTTACCCCACATCTCAGAGTACAGCCCCTGAGAGTTGTAATAGCTAGGGGGCTTGCTTTCGGGCGGTCAGAACCCAGTTGTGCTATACGAGTCATACATAGCTACGCAAGCCAGTGACTCGCGATGTTTTAGAAGTGTATAATTTTTGATAAAGCTGATGACAAAAAAGTTAAAGTTTGAATCCTGTGTTTTCTATGTGGACGCAAGGTGTTGAAATCGCAAAGAGGTGCTTGTGTGCCACTTGTTGTTCATTCTTATAATAGTCGAGCCGACAGAGATTGTGGGCTAAATTTTGATATCTGTTTTGTTACGGTACTTACTCCTCTCTTATAATACTTGATACTCCCTGACGGCAAGGGCAGAAAAAAATTGCTTTGATGTTTGCTTACACTTGTCAATACAGAGCAGCAAGAGAGTATAGGTAATGGGTAACCTTTGGAGGATATATGCTTCTCTTCCTTTAAGTTTAGGATTACCATTTTCATCTTGAATGTTGTCAACTCCGCTCGCTTCTGGATCCATCTGATTGATTTCAGGACCGAGGTCGTCTATGCTGCCCCGCTCGTCCATATTGTCAATTTCACCCACTTCTGGATCCATCTGATTGATTTCAGGACTGGGTTCGTTTTTGCTGCCTCGCTCGTCCATATTGTTAATTCCACTCACTTCTGGATCCATCTGATTGATTTCAGGACTGGGTTCGTCTTTGCTGCCTCGCTCGTCCATATTGTCAATTTCGCCCATTTCTGCGTTCATCTGATTAATTTCAGGACTGGGTTCGTCTTGGCTGCCTCGCTCGTCCATATCGTCAATTCCACTCATTTCTGCGTCCATCTTATTGATTTCATCCACTTTTAGATCCATCTGATTGATTTCAGGACTGGGTTCGTCTTTGCTTCCCTGCTCGTCCATATCGTCAATTCCACTCATTTCTGTTTCCATCTTATTGATTTCAGGACCGGATTCGTCTTGGCCGCCCCACTTTTCTAAATTGTCCAGCTCTGAGAGAGGTTGATCTTGGATGCTGCTTCCATACACAATATCATGGTCGTACATTGGATTCCGAGCAGAACCTGGTCTGGCAGTTATCAAATTAACTGCGACGAAGAACGCCAGCTGTAATATTAGAGGAAGGGCAAACTTAGTTCGCTGCTGAAGGAGCGCAGAAAGAAGCAAGCGAGCAAGGCAAAGTCAGTTAGGTACAATATCATGGAAAAAACTGTATTGAAAAGAACGATGCGAAATGTTTAGTCGTTTTTTTTAAAAGAAAATCACCCCTCGACTGAGTGAAAACATATAGGAGAATTCATCTTATTTGGAACCGGAATTATTAGACTGTGGGGTGGACGATGAGGGGTAGGCCAGAAGGATATGCAGGTATAGTTACTGAAAGGGGAATTATATCATATAAGCCAACCATTTCCTTGAACAGCCAGCAAATTGAACTACAGATAAAGCGGCCTGGGTGGCCTGTAACAGTTGGCCAGATTACTCGGCAATTGGACACCCTTGCACAGCAATGCAGGGAGTCATGCAGGATGACCTTGGAGAAGACCACCCGGCTGGTAGCCTGCGAGAAGGTTACTATAAGCTTCGTGGAAGTAGGGGCAAAGCGGCGAGAAAGAAGAACGGAAATTAACGTTAATTTAGAGCCTGTTTGTAAGCTACCCACTAAAATGTTTGCTTGTATATGTTTTTATCACAGGTGTCTTAAAAAAGGGGACAATTTTCGTTAAAATGATCATAACTCACCAGCAGTAGTATTTTCCCTGGTGGCATGTCAAGGGCGCAATTTGTGGACTTGTTCACCAAAATTTGTTTCTACTAAAATGGTGGTAACAATAATTATATTAACAATTATAATACTGATAATAGAGCTAATGATAATTACGATAACAATTTTAATAATAGTAACAATAATGTGAAATTATGGAATCATTTCTTATTTTTAAAACTGACTTTGTGCATGATATAAAATTGTAAGTCATGCTATCAGTCCACGAGCTGAATTCGTTTGGCAGTACCATACCAGCGAACAAAAAGTTATCAAGCATTTCTCACAATTCAACAGAATTTTCTTAAAGGTATCTTAAACTCTTCTTAAATGATACGTTTAAATTAACCAAAAAGAAATGTTCATTCTTGTCCAAGGTATTTCTAATTCACAAAATATTAAAGCCGTAAAGTTACAACTAAGTCAAACAGTGAAAGTCAATAGGCGAGAGAGCTAAGCTTTACTTCTAGCATTCGGTTTAACCATCAATGTTTTATATTCATTTTTATGCAGCGTGAAGTTGGGAGGAAACGCTTCCTGCTACATTCTTGGCATCCACTTAGGCGGTAACGAAATATCAACTCGCTTGATAAATAATCAAACATATGATACAAAAGATAATTCAATTTTGAGCAAAGAAACGCTTCACGACCTTGGAAATTATTAACAACAAAATGTCGAAGCCGAAGTTCGTACGCGAGTGGTGGGTGATTGACTCAGTGTCCGAACTTTCGCGGTTTTTTTACATCAAAAGTCACGTGACTTTACACGTGAAAAGGTGAATAACTGAAAAGTGCCGCTTAAACAAATTTCTGGTAAAATAACATCATGAAGTGAGCAATATATCAGATGAGTTTGATTTGGTTTCTTAAAAAGCCAGGGCTGTCTCAGAATTTTGCATAATTTTCGATTAATCCACATAATTGCACATCAGGCAAATTACATTTGATTTGACTCTCTTGGCTGCATCGTATTCCCCTGTGATCAACAACCTGCTGACACATTGCGGTTCTATTGAGCGATATAACATATAGAAATTTACTTTGAGCTTTTTCCGGAAACAAGACCAAAACCTTGAAATTTCCCTACGCGTTTACGCCCATCACGATGACACAAAGATCCTTGCAAAACCAACCTCAACCAATTCTAAGATTTGTTTCGAAGGGGTCTTATCGCAGATCTTCACGTAAATCTGCTGTAAACATATACACAGTCGCAAAATTTTTGTCTAACCAACTACACACGCCGAACATTTTCTTCCAGGAGATTTCTTGGCGGCTTTTAACATCAAATTCGAATAATGGTTACCGTCGTTTAACTCGTGACGCTTGATTGGATACTGATTTAACTCCTCGTTTGATCAACGAATCTCCTAATAAAATAAAACAACAAAAACAAAACAAAACCAAACAAACAAAAAAAACGACAAAACAATTAAACAAGGGACAATCTGTCGGGAGTCTATTTTGTGTTTAGCATTTGGTTTCATCATCGTCGTTTTGAACAACTTTACTCCTGAGGAAAACTTCATGATGCATAGTGTTCACATTATTGTTTACAGAAGCTGCTAATTGTTTCTATTCACTGCTCACCACGAATTAAGGCCTTCACAAACAATCCACAACTTTTCTTTTGTATTGAAATCTAAGCTTTCAGACGAACTGAAAATCGATGCTGAACAATAATGTTTGCACTTCTTATTCTTAGATCCAACAGACACCATGCATTCTTCAATGTATGAAATTTGCACTTAGCATATTTCCATCACGCTTCCTTGGACACGTGAGTTATCAGAGTGGAAAAGTTTGATTTGCTTTCTCATATAGGTGAAGAAAGCCACTTTAAAATTAAGTTTGAAGGTGTAAAATATTGGCACAAGTAAAACAATTTTAGCAAGAAACAGAATGTCAAAGTGACGACGTGCATATACGTTCGGAAATTATGAGCGTGTACTCCACAAACCGCGGTCCCAACAATGGGCTTCCCTTCGGTTAAAAGGCGGATTTTGGAATGTCACAGCACGGAATATATTTAAATTTGAGTACATTCACCAAACTTATAACTTCAGAAAAAAACTAAGGAAAAATAATGAAGTGATTTCTAGTGAATAGAAAACTGGACTTAAAATGTACGAATTGGGGATCTACCAACAGAGAAGTCTTATATGAAGATTATCCGAGAGTTGACATCAATGCGTGAACGAGTCAATATAATTGAATATTGAAGATCTAAAAGCAACTCATTCATCCAAAGAAAGTTCAGAAATTAATTTTCTATTTTCTGCTTAATTATGTCGAAAGATAACTTGTTTACTAAAGGTTAATTTTCCAGAATTAGAACGAAACATTCTCTTTCACTTTTGGCTTACGTAGGACAAAATAATTTGGCTTTCTTTATATTGAAGTTATAGATATTTTCTTAAAGGTTAGTTGGTCAGTACTTTAGTGGTAAAACGCCTTCAGCATGAAACGTTGCCTTCCTAACTGAGTTATTTGAAGGCGTCTGAAATAATATAGTTAACATCAGTCCTGACTTTGTATCAAGGAATTGTTCAAGAATAAGTTGATTTAAGCGAAAAGAGCATGGTGAGGTTTACGTATGAAATATAAAAAAAAAAACACACTTCACCTTTCAGGACCTTGCTTCGCTTCGTGACCACAATGGACGAATGCAAATTATTTTAGGAGAGATTCTTTTCCCTGTACAATTACAAAGGGTGGACAAGATTCATGCATTTAATTGGAGGTCCCTGGAGAAATAATGAATGATTGGCAACTTTCATCAGGGGACTCTGACCTTTCCTCCAATTTCACAACACCCCCCTCCCACGTTACGTCGCAGAAGTCATCGCAGTTGCAACATATAAGTGATTTGGCAAAATATTAAGTTTCCTAATCTTTACAAAAATTGCTTCATCAGAATCATGCTTGGAGAAATTATGCCGTGTTTTTTCTCTTGGACAGCTATGTTTAAATACATTGTCAAAAAGTGATTACTGACCCACTGAACCCTGTTAAGGGGTGCTGTTGCCTGTAGAAAAGAACTAAATAGAGTAATTTTGGGAAGATGAAGTCACCTGAGAAGAGGCCCAGCCTCAGTCCAAACCTCCCCCAAAACCTTAACTCTTATAAATAGTGTATGCCTTTTGTAATCGAATAAATAACCTATGTGTTATATGAATTGTTATTAAACAGCCTCTATTTGATACAAAAAATTTCATTTTTGGTGCTTTTGCGCCAATTTTCGCGACAAAACGCAAACGGTAGTGAAGGAGAATGTGCTTGTGGAGGGAGGGCTAAAGTACCCCCAACCTCCTGGTCGTTTTGCAAGAGACGATGGCTCATTCATAATGATTCGTGGGACAATTAAAAAATGAGTTTGGCCAGTCATTTATCATTTCGCCAGTGACTGTCTATCAATTAACAGCACTGACGTAAATGAAAGGATACAATAGGTTTCATCAAAAATGGAATTTAAATTTCAGGGCTTTGTTTACATGACTGAGTTGCTTTTCAATATTCAATAAACTGTTCACGCTTTGATTTCAAAAAAGGATAGCAGCCTTCGTGGATTAATCAACATGTCGAACCTCGTATAGTATGTATAGCCAGGTATTTATACAAAGTAAATCATATTTATAGTAGGTGAAATTTATGTACTTATCTTTTGAGGTTTGGTGTATATCCTCTGTAAAAGGTCAAAGCCTTGCGTGTCGCGATATTCAAATGCCGCAATTTGCCCTTAGGAAAGAACAATTTTTTCAAGTGTGTGACGGTACCCGCTCATAGCTTCACGTTCTCCCCGACTTCTTGTTTACTTCAAGTAGTCATTTGAACTCTTATACTTTTAATTTGAAAGAAGCTAGATCTATTCAAGATTATTTGGTTTTATCCACTCCTTCTTCAGATATGTCTTTTATTTTGCTTCATAAATTTAAGGTTATTTTATTCTGTGACTTGGAGATCGGTTGATCAAGCGATGCGTAAGATGTATGATAAAGCGTCATGAGTAAAACCGCAATGACCACTATTCGTATTTTATGTTAAAAACCGCCAAGAAATCAGCATGAAGCAGATTTTCATTGACGTAAATGTTATGACAAAATATTCCATTGACTTTTTAGCGACGAAAAGTGTGAAGAGGGGGAGGGGGGGGGGAGACTGTGTGTTTGGAGGGAGGACCAGAGCCCACTTTTTAGTTTGCCGTAATGAACTACAACAGCTTTAATCTGCAATGAAATGTAAATGACGAACAAAAATAATTAAAATGTTGATGAAAATGTAAATGCCCCAATAACGTAGAATAAATTGCTGTTCTTATTTGACAAATCCCACATAACATGTTACACTACATTGGGAAGAATGATTGAATTATGGGACCCCACCTCGGCCACCGTCTATAACACATCTTATTATATAAATCTGCTTTTATCTCTCGAGCGTTCGTCCTAAAAAAATATTCTCCGAGTTTTCGTGAACAAACGGATTTAATGTTGCTCTGCGTCTGTTCAGTAATAGCTCACACATTACAAAAAAATGTGGTAAGAACAAAAAGTGGCACACGAAGACGCAGCCGAGTGCATCTCTGATGTCCTTGCAAAAATTTGAACTACTCTTGATCTATTACTGTACTTACCCACAACAACATGGAATCCTTTTTATTTTGATAAATGTTGTTGTACCCTTAAAAGTTTGAAAGAAACTCTCACTTCGGGGTATGCGGCCACTTAAGATCGTTCCCAGCCGCAAGGCATTTAGCCACAGCGTAAAAGTTACACAACCAGTGTTAAATTAAATATATACCAATGAGGCTCTTTGGGACTCCTTTCAGATAAATTTGCAATACACCGACGGTGGCCTTTCCCGGCCTTGATATGCACAACTATTTTGATATCTATGAACGCTGATAAAATTAACAAATAGATTCCAAGTTGCCGTGCGTCTGTTCAGTAATAGATCACAGATGACGTCAAAATGTGGTAAGGACAAAAAAGTGGCACACGAGGCTCAGCCGAGTGTGTCACTGATGTTCTTACCACATTTTGACGTCCTCTGTGATCTATTACTGAACAGACGCACGGCAACTTGGAATCTATTTGTTTTATATAATAAAAAAATACAAAAAAGTTTTATTGATGATGTCATCGATACGTCTGTCCTCCAATAGATCATGAGTGAGAACCAATCAGAATGCGTGCATAACTGAGCTTATTATATACACAAAGATAGAACGCATTTCACAATTGTGCATTTTTAATACCAAGAATAACTACGGAAACGAAAAGCCATGTGCAGATTATCTAGTGATATACGAACGATGGCGGTATAAGGCTATCTACTAGTTACAATCATTGAGTCTTCCTGACAAAATGTGCTTACTAACTGCATGTATATAATGTCTAAAACAAGCTGATGGAAAAATAGTACATTGAAGAGAGTCCAATACGATACTAATAAGATCGCAAAACCAGCAGTTTCACATCATACTCGTTTGAAACGAAAATCAACTATTGACCAAAATGATAATAAACAGAAGCGAAAACTTGATGTTAGGGCAGGACATTCCCTTGGTTCGTCAAAGTCTTTTCACTAACGGCCTCTTCTTCCTCCTGCCGAGGAAAGATAAAAATAATGCAAAAATAAAAGTTTTGTGCTTGATGATTAAGAAGTCAATGCAATTTAATGATTGGAATGGAGGGCTTCTCTCTCTTACTTGATATTGACTCGTTTTTTGAAACTTGTACAAGGACAGGGGGGTGGGGTAGAAAACCAGAGGGGGAAGGTAATTCTAATTAACAGCTTTTGCTTCTTACCTTTTCTAAATATTTTCCATTTAATTATGTGTCCTCTCCCGTTGTTTTTTCCTTTGCTTCCAATGTTTTTTAATATTACTGAAATGAGAAACCAAATTTTAGCCTTTCTGCCATGACCTTTGCACTGAGCTTCTATAGACTTACTTGGTTTGCGGTGATTGGATAATATTAAGTGCATAACCATGGATTACCATAATGTAAACTTTGTTACTAGCCAGGATTTTTTGATTCGAATCAGGAGATATTGGCCCCTAGTAGCCTAAGTATGTACCTTACTAAGTTTTGTTAGAAAGCCTTTGTTTTGAAGCAAACTGCTCCTACCTCTGCCTTTTTCATTTTAAGTAAATAATCAGAGTAAATCATTTAATACACAATGAGTACTGTATCATGCTTCATACCTTTGTGGAGTTCTTCTAATAGTTTCCATTTACATCTTCCACCCACTGTTAAATAAGGGAATCGGGATTCAGGTAAAATAAATTTATCTTAAAGGGTTAATCATAGTAGAGACATACTCAATCTTAGAAAGGCAAGAGCTTACTAAGGGTTTTCCCTGGACTCCGTCTCCAATTCCACTTGCCAAGAGTTACTATGGGCTAACTAAGTTTGTTGTAACTAAATGATTTGAATGATTTTATTTAGTAACGTTAAATTTCTAGTCACGTATGCATGGAGTCATTGTAGCCTGAGCCAATAGGCGAGGATTAAAATGACTTGAGAAGGGTCCAAAATATATCTATGCCTCATAAAAGAAACTGTTACTATTAGTATTGTAAACTGTTACTATTACTTCGAAAGGAAATGAGAAAATGGAATTTGAAAAAAATGACAACAAAACAGTCTAAAAAACCATGCGAGTATTTATACGTTGAATGGCTCTATTTTCCCTCGAGGCCTTTACATTATCGAGTAAAGCTGGATTGAAAATCCGAAATCTTGCCATCTGAGTTCTCAAAAATTGTAGAAAGCGCGATAGGAAAGTCCGAATTAAAAGCCTAATTGCTTTTTAGCTCTTAGGATTGTTTGATTCTCACTTTTCATTGGTTTGTTTCATAAAATATAATTTAGCAGGTCAAATTCTCCATTTGAGCCCACAAAGGGCGGCACAATGCCTATTGCAACAAAGACATTCCTCAAGGGCCATTTTGAGTTCTAAGAAAATGACTCGTGCCTTTGCCCTTTGGGTTTCAAGCAAAGTAAATACATGCACGTAGAATTTCAACGAGGGCCACAGGTTCATTGGCTTTTTGGTTATTGCGTACTGCCCTCTTTAAAGAAAGAGTTTACTTACTTACTTACGTATGAAACAGCACTTATTGTATCTTTGTTCTTACCTCGTATCCAATTTTTTCCTCTGCATATGAGTTTTTTGCCTGTCGTTAAATTTGAATAAGAAACCGATAAATATTACACTCATCTTCAAATTTGTCTTTGTCCTGAAAGTTAATCATACTAGACACTTTGCACTTTACAGGAGTTTGCATTAAGCTTAGTTGTTGCTAATTGAATTAGTAACTAAACTTTCTCCCATCTCGATTTTGCGAGTCCTGGAAAGAAACAGTACAGGACTCAGTAATTTTTTTGAGACCTTGCTATGTTTTGTTGGAGTCTTTCAGAGCCCTTTTCATTGTTAAGTAAATAGCACTTACGTCTGCATTTTCCTTTCTTTCCTCTTCGTCTTCCTTCTTTTGAAAAAGAAAATGATTTAGAACATATAGATATTTATTTCATACATATTAAGATTTACACATAAAAAAAGCCTACGTAAAATTCTCACGAAATACACAACCAAATAATCAGAAAAGTGAACGACTGAGAAAATACATCGTTTGTTCAGTATCAGAGATACGAACGATAGTACTTCACAGTGGAGGGCAACAAGCGCACAGCTTTTTGTTTAAAAAACGGAAGAAGAAGTGCTAAGATTTGCTCCCCCTGAAGGAAAAATTCATGACTTCATACATGACCAAGAAAACAAAAACAGGAGAGGCAGGACCGAAATGAACGTAAGCCTGCTAAAAAGCTTTCTTCAGTGGAAGGTAGAGCTCAGAAACGTTGAAGGAATGCCTCCTGTTCTACTCAATGAATTGCTGAGCGAGTTTGTACTCACTGTCAGAACCAAAGATGGAAATGACTACGAGTCTACATCTCTGCGAGGGTTGATTTTGCCACCTTTGAACGATATCTCAAACGAAAAACTAACAAGCTTGAATAATCAACGATGTAGCGTTTGAGAAAACTCGCAGGTTTGTAAATCCGAGGTTGTCTTATTTTTTGGCAAGTGTTTATACTTCTTATTTCCAGGCATCTGCAAATTCGGATGCCATTTGTCCATTGAATTTTAACTTCATTTGTCTCTCTTTTGATAGGAAAGACTCTTCGTCGGCAAATTAGTGAGGAAGCAAATAAAATAGGAAAAAATAGTTGTCAATAGAGACTGAATATCGCCCCACGCTGCGCATTTGGCAGTGTTTATAATAAAATTTGCTCTTACACTTTAACGGCCTCCTATATTTGAAGTGTGTCAGTCAGTAAGAAAACAAAATCTCAGTATGTATGAAATAAAAACATCTTTCACGCGATTTGTCCGACTCTTCTTCTCTGGGATGCTTTTTTACTCGAGAGATTTCTTAGATTGGTGTTAATGCGCTGTTAGCTTGGAGGGAGACTATGTTCTTAACGTAAACAAAAAATATTCCCTATTAGTTACCGGTACGAAAAGAGAAAAGAGGTGCTTTTCAAAGAAATGGTTGTTTCAGTTTTAAGTGAATTCAACACATTTACTGGACAACAATCCTTTGACAACTTAAGGTAAAGAATATTCCATACATAATTGGATTCCTTGAAATTAAAACAAAAATTGAAAGGGGAATTTAAATACACTCACTCCTGCATTTTTTTTTTTGCTGCTCCTCCTCTTCCTCTCCTTCTTCCTCTTCTTCTTCTTTTTCTTCCTCAGCTGATGCTTCTTGTTCTGCCTCTTCTTCTTCTTCTTCTTCTTCTTCTTCAGCTGATGCTTCTTCTTCTTCCTCTTCTTCTTCTTCCTCTTCTTCTTCTTCTTCTTCTCCTTCTTCTTCTTTTTCTTCTCCTTCTCCTGATGCTTCTTCTTTTTCTTCTTCCTCAGCTGATGCTTCTTGTTCTTCCTCTTCCACTTCTTCTTCAGCCGATGCTTCTTCTTCTTCTCCTTCTTCTTCTTCTTCTTCTCCTTCTTCTTCTTTTTCCGCTTCTTCTTCTTCTTTAGCTGAACCTTCTACTTCTTCAGTTGATGCTTCTTTTTCAGCTAATGATTCCTCTTCTTCAGCTGATGCTCCTTCTTTTTCCTCAGCTGATGCCTCTTCTTCTTCTTCTTCAGCTGATCCTTCAACTACTTCAGTTGGTGTTTCTTCTTTAGCTGATCCTTCTACTACTTCAGTTGGTGCTTCTCCTTCAGCTGACCCTTCTACTTCTTCAGTTGGTGCTTCTTCTTCAGCTGATCCTTCTACTTCTTCAGTTGGTGCTTCTTCTTCAGCTGATCCTTCTACTTCTTCAGTTGGTGCTTCTCCTTCAGCTGATCCTTCTACTACTTCAGTTGGTGCTTCTCCTTCAGCTGATCCTTCTACTTCTTCAGTTGGTGCTTCTTCTTCAGCTGATCCTTCTACTACTTCAGTTGGTGCTTCTTCTTCAGCTGATCCTTCTACTTCTTCAGTTGGTGCTTCTTCTTCAGCTGACCCTTCTACTACTTCAGTTGGTGCTTCTCCTTCAGCTGATCCTTCTACTACTTCAGTTGGTGCTTCTCCTTCAGCTGATCCTTCTACTTCTTCAGTTGGTGCTTCTTCTTCAGCTGACCCTTCTACTTCTTGAATTGGTGCTTCTTCTTCAGCTGATCCTTCTACTACTTCAGTTGGTGCTTCTTCTTCAGCTGATCCTTCTACTTCTTCAGTTGGTGCTTCTTCTTCAGCTGATCCTTCTACTTCTTCAGTTGGTGCTTCTTCTTCAGCTGATCCTTCTACTACTTCAGTTGGTGCTTCTCCTTCAGCTGATCCTTCTACTACTTCAGTTGGTGCTTCTCCTTCAGCTGATCCTTCTACTTCTTCAGTTGGTGCTTCTTCTTCAGCTGACCCTTCTACTTCTTTAGTTGGTGCTTCTTCTTCAGGTGACGCTTCTTCTTCTTCTTCAGCTGATCCTTCTTCTTCAGCTGATGCTTCTTCTTTTTCCACAGCTGATGCCTCTCCTTCTTCTTCTTCTTCAGCTGATCCTTCTACTTCTCCAGTTGGTGCTTCTTCTCCAGCTGACGCTTCTTCTTCTCCTTCAGCTGGCCTTTCTTCTTCAGCTGATGCTTCTTCTTTTTCCACAGCTGATGCCTCTTCTTCTTCTTCAGCTGATCCTTCTACTACTTCAGTTGGTGCTTCTTCTTTAGCTGATCCTTCTACTTCTTCAGTTGGTGCTTCTTCTTCTTCAGCTGATCCTTCTACTTCTTCAGTTGGTGCTTCTTCTTTAGCTGATCCTTCTACTTCTTCAGTTGGTGCTTCTTCTTTAGCTGATCCTTCTTCTTCTTCAGTTGGTGCTTCTTCTTCAGCTGATCCTTCTACTTCTTCAGTTGGTGCTTCTTCTTTAGCTGATCCTTCTACTTCTTCAGTTGGTGCTCCTTCTTCAGCTGACGCTTCTTCTTCTCCTTCAGCTGATCCTTCTTCTTCAGCTGATGCTTCTTCTTTTTCCACAGCTGATGCCTCTTCTTTTTCTTCAGCTGATCCTTCTACTTCTTCAGTTGGTGCTTCTTCTTTAGCTGATCCTTCTACCTCTTCAGTTGGTGCTTCTTCTTCAGCTGACGCTTCTTCTTCTTCTTCAGCTGATGCTTCTACTTTTTCCTCAGCTGATACCTCCTCTTCCTCTTCAGCTGATCCTTCTACTTCTTCAGTTGGTGCTTCTTCTTCAGCTGATCCTTTTACTTCTTCAGTTGGTGCTTCTTCTTCAGCTGACGCTTCTCCTTCTTCTTCAGCTGATGCTTCTTCTTTTTCCTCAGCTGATGCCTCTTCTTCTTCTTCTTCAGCTGATCCTTCTACTTCTTCAGTTGGTGCTTCTTCTTCAGTTGACGCTTCTTCTTCTCCTTCAGCTGATCCCTCTTCTTCAGCTGATGCTTCTTCTTTTTCCACAGCTGATGTCTCTTCTTCTTCTTCAGCTGATCCTTCTACTTCTTCAGTTGGTGCTTCTTCTTCAGCTGATCCTTCTACTTCTTCAGTTGGTGCTTCTTCTTCAGCTGACGCTTCTTCTTCTTCTTCTTCAGCTGACGCTTCTTCTTCTCCTTCTTCCTCTTCCTCTTCTTGTTGCCCTAATAATAGTTTCATTATTTCTGAGTGAGTGGCTTTGCGCATTTTGATCGCCCTGTTGAAGCTTGTTTCTCTATCACTTGGCCCCTTTGTAGTAAAACGATTGAGGGTAAAAAACTAATGGGGGAAGAGGAGTTGTCAGTTCTTATGAAGCCCTACATTTTCGTTCTCTCTGACCATTTTCCCCTACTCTTGTCATTGAAGAGCTTTTAGATATCTTTCATAACTTTTAAGTGAAAAGCAATTATTCTACCATATTTCCTACCTTCTTTGAGTTCTATTATCAATATTCCTTTGACTATAAACGTTTTGCTTTCTGTTGAATAAGGGAAAAATGAGTTAGGAAATGTAAATATATCTTACAACCAGCTTCAAGTTCGCATTTGTCCGTACAAACATATGTAATCATGGTAGACACCGGTTCTATCTCATAATAACAATTGTGCGCTAGAGGGTTTCCCATGAATAAGGATTCAGTGCTTCTTGACAGGAATTTGTTTGGACAAAATCAATTTGTATTTATTATTAGTAAACCATTTAACAACTATTCACTGAAGTGGAGGTTGCTAGTTGTGAATATTTACCAAGCCGTGAGTGACGCGTTATATATCTTATGCTAGTCGCTGATTCTGAGGTAAATAGTTGTTTTATTATAATAGTGAAACGGTGAAATAACATAGCACTAAATGGTGATTTTAGCGCATTTAGTCCCGCACGATTTGCTTGGAGATGAATAGCAAAGGATATTCGGAGTTTGAGTAACCAATCAGAGCGCGCTTTCAACGTTATCCACTGTTTCAGTATATACTAATGAGCAACCATTCCATGAGCACGCTTTCGATGTAGGTTAGCTGTAACCAATCTCGAATATAACAATTGTTTCATTAATGATGAAACAATCACAATTACAATTGCAACGATGCTGTGGGAGCTTATTTACTATGCTTTAAATATCATAAACTATTTTCAGTTATGACGATGGGAAGTCAACGTCCGTCCGACCGCCGAAACATTAGAACTTGGATCGCGTGAAATTTACATCACATTACAATCGAAGCTGGATGAAAATTCACGTAACCTTTTAGGGCCTTTTTCAATTCAATTAAACAGACCCATCTTTGCCAATTTTTGATCTTGAGCAAATAACAATTTCAATTAAACAGCAATTAATTTGCCTTAGTTCTAACCTTTTTTGATCTTGATAATCAACCTTTCGCCTTTTCTTCCTTTGGCTGCTGTAGAAGTAGGGAATAGTGCTTTAGAATGTATCCTAATGGCCATATTTAATGCTGCATTTCTTTAGACAAGGAGGTTAGTCAGAGTAGTGTCTTGCTTTATCTTTGAAACACAAGAGTGTGCTAAAAAGATTCTTTGAATCAGTATCCGATGTTTCTTGACAGAAGTTTGCACAGACTTCTTAGAAAGAAGTTATTAAAAAATTTTACCGTAGTAACTTTGGTTTGTCAGAACATAACCTTTTTAGGGATCCACACCACCATCTCGCAGCTTTTATAACTTGGTAAAGGCGAGACCGGGGTTTTTTCAATTAAAAGGATATTTGTTGCTGTTTTTAATTCTTTTTTTATCTTTTATTTACTAATTTCGGGCTGAATCAGGAAAAATTTAGTAAGCCAAATAACAACAGAATAAGGTCGAGTTACAGCCATCTAAATATTCCCTAGTAACGGCCTGAAAAGATGTATTGGTGAGGGCCTTAGATTTCCTTAATATTTCGGGTCAAGTGAGGAAATATGGACTCTTAAAAACTTCAGATGGACCTTTATCAGAAAAGATATAAAAGGCCCTTTGTAATCTTAAGTAAAGTGCACCTACCTTCCCTTTTCTCGATTTTAGTTTAAAAAATCTAATAAAATTATTGAGCACGCAATGATTAATGTATCTTAGATCTTACCTTCTTTCAATATATTTTTGAGCAATTTTCCCAACACTCCTGTTGAAATAGGAAAACCGTGATTTAGAAATGGTAGATATATCTTACAGCTATCGTGAAGTCTGTGTCTGTTTACTCAAAGAAGGTTAAATATGATAAATACATGATTTAGCTAAGAAGCCCCAGTCTAAGTTTGAATTTAATTTAATTAGTGCTTATGGATAAGTTGCATGACTATGGGTTGCCATGAAGAAACTTGCTTTATAGCGGCATAAAGGGAAATATTAACACTCTTTCGTTATTGTATTGAACTCATTTTAATTCAATAGTCTACTGACCCCACAATGGGGTCAATAGGTCTTCCTCTTCAGGATTCTTCCCTACAGCCCCTATCTGGTAGCTAAAAGTTGATATGAAGGAGAATGATATCATACGCTATTGACTTTTTTTCTTGGATTTCACGCTGGGGGCAGTGGTATCTTAGATGGATGTCAATGCGTTGCCAGTCCAGAGTCAGACCTTGAACTCTCTCTCCCTCTCTTTTAAAATATCGAGGTCTGCCATTAGTTGTTGGGACGGAGAAAGAAAAGAGATGCTCCCTTTTACAAATTTGAACACTATCCCAGACGACCCTATTTTGACTACTGCAATGAAGAAAACGTGAAATAAAATTGTCATCGTAAAAATGAAAACAAGAATAATTATTACGATTAAATTTTACTCACTTTTGCTTTCTTTGTGTTCTTCTCCTACTTCCGCCTCTTCTCCTTGTTCCTCATCTTCTTCTTCCTCTTCGTCTTCCTCTTCATCGTTTACTTCTGCTGGAATTGCTGCCGTTTCTTCTTCTTCTCCTTGTTCTTCTTTAGTAGCGTCATCTGGCAAAGAACTAACGGGATTATCCTTTAAAACCAAAGATGCTGCCTGAATGTAATCTAGAAATAAAGAGAACTCGTCGTCAAATGCCACAAGACTTGGCACAACTTTCAAGCAGGTGGCAATATCACAGGGCTGTTTATCTTTATACTTCATTGGAACTCCTTTCATATCATTTTTTCGAGAATAGATAAATTTGAGTCTTCTATCGAATTCTTCTCATAATCAGAAAAGAGTGACGTGATAATGAATTTACTCCTGTATGCCTAAATACAAGTTTACCATTTTTCTGCCTGTTAAGCCAGTCCCATTCTTGATCCAACTGATACAGTTCTTTATAAGCTTGGCCTTGATCTTTCACTTTTTTTAATTCAGGGAGATTTTGATGAGGTCGACTTTGGTCTCTCATCGACGGTATTTCCTGAGATTTTAGATTAGGTTGCTCTTGGTCTCTCATCATTTCGAGTTCACGAAGTTTTTGATCAAGTCCGTCTTGGTCTCTAATCATCTCAAATTTATGGAGTTTTTGATGAGGTCGGTCATGGTCTGTCATCACTTCAAGTTCACGAAGCTTTTGATCAGGTCTGTCTTGGTCTCTCACCGTTTTAAATTCATGGAGTTTTGAATCAGGTCGACCTTGGTCTCTCATCGACGGTAATTCGAAGGGTTTTTGATCAGCTCCGTCCTGGTCCCTCTTCCTTTGGAATTCGTGGAGTTTTTGATCAGCTCGGTCCTGGTCCCTCTCCCATTGGTGCCTATATAGATGCTCGCTATTGATTCTTTTATGAAGTGAATCTAAAAAGTTAAAGTTCAGCTTTTTTTACTAGAGTAAATGAGTCTTTGACAAAAGCTTTTAAAATGGTCAAGATTTTGAAAGCCCCACATTTGCATAATTTAAAACATAAATAAATAACCAGAAAAATGGTTATACAATTGTATAAGTAAATAAGAAGTTAGATCAATAAACGAAGTAAAAACGAAAAACCATATGAATACCGACGTAGTTAAAATAAAAAAAACCTTTATAGAGGTAAAATCATTGATCGAATCCTTACTTTAAACGAAGGCAGATTAGAAATTTCAATTATTTTTGTTTGCCACAAAAAGAACGATTAGATCAAGGCGATAAAGTAAGATTACTTAAAGTGACTAGAATTGGTTTCTTTTTTTCTTAACACCAATCATTTGATGGGTTTCCACCTCACTTTTAATGTTTGCGTACTTGTATACAAACATTAAAAGTGACCATTTGAGGAGGTCATGAGCTGTATGTAAAGAGGTCATTATAATCCTTGTAGACAGATAAATATAACTGAGCTAATTACAGTTGAACGTTAAAAATGAGGGGACTCCAAAATCTTCTTTGAGGGCTTGTAAAAGCTTAAGTTACAGACTTTTCAAAGATGGTAACTTTGGGAATTTTTGTATATCTGCACAAGGGAGCCAAATATTTTTCGACCGGCCCTTCCACTCAGTCAGTAAGGACATATCGTTTTACGAATAAGAATTCTGTAGGATTATTAGGACTGTTATCTCTCCTTTTACATTGCTTATTGGCCCCTAAACACATGTAAACAACAGCCTCTATTTGGCGCGAGAATATGCACGGATATTTGTCCGCAAACATTTTTTCTTACGAGATTCAAAAAGTTTTCCGAGAGCTTAGCGCGCGGGTAAAATGTTAACACCTTACTGTTTGCCACGTGGGATGTTTACTCTTCAGTGTTCTCTGGTACAACTTTTTTGAAAAGATAAACGTTTCCTGTCCTCTTTAACAATGGCTAAACCGGCACTCTCTCATCTTGAATAAAATTTTAACGAACGCTTTTATCGTAGTAGATATAGGGTTTTAAAATAAGGGAATATCACTTGGGTTGTATCTTCGGATATATTCCAGTTTTAGCTGGGGTGTATTCGATCACTTGATGAGTTTAGACCAATCAAGTGGAGGCAAAAATATCTCATGGATCATAAAAAGTGATATTCCCCTAGCGAGCACACTGAAACATCAGAATCCTTGGTACCTTCTTTTCGTAATTGGTGTCTACCACCATAATCCTCCGAGCGCCGCTGAGATCTTGGTCTTGCGTTTGATAAATCAATTACGGCAATGCAGGCCACCTGAAGTGTAAAATGAAGCACAACCATCAGCTTTTTAGTCAAAAAAGCAGTCGGCCAATTGAAAGCTAAACCAATTAGCCTTTACGCCTCCTGCATCTTGGCTGACGCGAAAATTATTCACAAGTTTTCCATCAATGAAGAAGAGGAAGACTTACCAAAGGTATTAAAGTCCAGGATGCCATTCTACTTCTAAATTACAAGCAGCGTACGCAGCATTAGTGTGGACTACGGAAAATGGACGCTAAAAAAAGGGTGAAAATGTTTCATAAGTATAATGCCTCCTTTACAAAACGAGAAATCATCTAGTCTCATCACTTGGTTTGGTCTAGAGGCTCCCTTTACCTAACCTTGTATAAAACTACTGAGGCGTGAAGATAAAGTTGCCGGTTCTAAATTTGTGTTTATCAGTGATCAATATATGTGCGTAGACAAAACAAATTACCCTCTCTCAGCTTTATTGCATACGTCTGGCTTTTAGAGTTCTAGAACTTAAGTGTTCTGTTTACGCTCAACGAAATCTTTTGATAGCATGATTTTTTAAATTCTTTGTTTGACCTAGCCGTTTGTTTTTGTGCCCTGTTATCGAGATAACTTCCACAACACCTGCACGAAACACGCACGCACGACTACCTCATTTCTTCTCTGTTTGAATTCAAAACTGGTTTTTAAAGTCTTGTATGAGACTTCAATCAAACTACGTATTCCACTGGTTTGTTAATACGCCATATAGAACTATGTCTCCACATAATAATTCCTTGAAATCAGGATTTCCATCGCAATTAAAACAGAAGAAAGTGTTATGCTTGGTTTCGCATTTTGCGTGCGAAGAGCCATGTACTTATATTTCGGCAAATGACAATTACAGTTTTTATTCATGGCGACGTAGCTTTTTTTTTTTTTTTTAATTGACACTAGTTGCAGAATACTTGGGCTTACAACGTCTTAATTTATGCAGTATGTTGTGGAATTAGTTTCCAGTTGCCTCCAGGGCATTAATTCTCTCCACAAAAACCAAGGAAAGTGGCATAATGTTTCTCACTTTTGTTACAAAGACTTACATGGTTCACCGAAAAAAAGAAAAACCTTAATACTGACTGATTGTTATGTTATATCGGAGCTTTTTAAATGTGCTTTGCCTAAATTTGCTGGCCAGCATTGGAAATTTTTATGTTAGGATAGACCGAGGATGGTTCCAGAGAAACAATTTCAATTGTTACGCACTCCTGTATTGTTCTATTCAGTTACGGCATTGATGCATCCCTATTTTAACAAGCCTGGGATATTTTGTGGTTTTCTAGACCACGGGTCCTGTATTGTTATTAAAATACCGGAAGATGTTCCAGAAAGCACAAAATCCTACAAGGATATACGACGATGGTAATTTGGCCTTTGTAGAACACATCAATAACAAGACACATGTCTGAGTGTACTTAGACACTCGCGATGGTAAAATCAAAGCTTAGTCTTACTAAGATTTGTACACTTATTTCACATCTCAATGTCATATGCCGTATAAAAAAGGAAAGAGAGAAGCTTTTGAAATAGAGACATGAGTGTAATGGTATCGCATTCAAAAAGTCTGTTCACATCCTCCCACTCAATTCTTGCAACCCACATATGAGCAGTGAAGCATAAGCTGTGAAACTTCGTGGTTATCACTCAGAACTCCCTTAGAAGAGCGCCTGAGTAAAAATTGAGCTTACCTAAAGCGTGTAATTAAAACCCTTATAACTACGTATATAACACTCACTCTTACCCACCGCCTGAAATTGGAATAGTTGTAAAGTCACACAGTGAAAGCTCGATAGTATGCTTTATACAGTTCATAGTTAAAATGTTGGGGCAAAAATAGAGACTACCGATAAGCAAGACTCTAACAGTTAGCTAGGATTTTAAAAGGAAAAGAGAGTTGTTTGTTTTTTCGCCCGAAACAATACTAAAAATTACACATTAACTTAGTAACGTCTGCTTTATGAGTGCCTCCATGATAGAATGTGTTTGTTTTTTGCTCTAAAAATCGCTAGTTGGTCCAAAGGGTCTCCGTTGGGAAGTCATTTTAAAATTTCCTTTCCTTTGTACCAACAGTTTTACTGAGTATCACTGTTTGTTAAAGAATATGCTTATTATGGTGAAAGGAGCATACTTTCGTATTCATATGAAGATATAAAATGTGTAATTATTTACCTTTCAGGTCCGAACGCTGCTTTGTGGCCACTAAGACAGCAAGGTATGGATGAATGCAAATTATTTTATCGGGGATTCTTCTATAAGGAATGTCGCAATGGGTGCATTAATTATTCATATCAATAACTTGCTGTCACTTAAGAAATAATGAACAATTAGCTAATCTTATTGGCTAGATCTCTTGCGAATCATGCTCAATAGACTATCGTCTCTTGCTAAAGAGACAAGAGGGTTCTAGCCCGCCATCCAAAGTCACAGCTCCTCGCAAAAGTGGCAAGTTAACTTGTTTCCTAATATATTCACAAACTATTTCACGGATCTGACTCACGGGACCCAGTTGAGAAATCAAAGAGCTTCTGTGGCTTATCGATCTTGTAGAAAAGAATTACGTAAAGGATGTTCTGGGACCATCAAGAAATGGTAAGCACTCGGCTTGATGCAAAATGAACTCCCCCAGCCTACACTTGCTTCAAAACCCAGAATCTTATGAATAACTCACGCATCATTTAATCCTTTAAATAACCCATGCGTTATGTGAAATTGCTGCAGTTACGATTATTTTCGCGACGTAACCAGGGAGGGGACAGAGGGGGGAGGAACTGTGCAACTGGAGGAAGGACTAGAGCCCCCTGTCTCTTTCGCAAGAGGCGATGGCTCATAAGGCGTAACTTAATACTGACTGATTGTAATCCCTCTTTCGGGGGATACCTAAGAAGGGGTATCTTTTATGAGGATGTTCAGTCAGTGAAAGAGCAGCAATGTGTGCGTTGATATGATTTATTACTAGTCGTCGGTCGGCTGAGCGTTAATTGACAGTTTTCAATGGGGCGTGCGTGCGTGTTTTTAGTGATTTGTCAAAGAATGGTGTTAAAACACCGAAACCATATTATGCCATCTTAAGGCTCGTCATTTAACTAATGCCAATATCAATGTTATTCTTCAATTCGGGTTTTGAAGAACTTTTATGTCCAAGTTTTTTTAGAGTGCATTTTAACCCCAAGACATAGACAGTTAACCCATCCGTGCTGGGTACGTATTACTGATGATAATGTTCAGAGTGCAATTTCGATCTTCGTCTAGCTGTTGATAAATTGAGTCTGAGTCATGGCTTAATTAACATTATTCAAAATCTGTCTGTGAAAGAATCGAGGAGGACTTAACACAGATATTATAGTCGAGGATACAATTCCATTTGTGAATTATGGGCAGATTATACAACTGTTGTCAAGACAGCGGTAAATGGAGGTTAGAATGAAGGAAAGATGTTTCAAAAGGATAATATCTGCTTAATCACCCGAGAGTACATTAAATCGCAACATGTCTAAACTAGTGAGGCGTTAAGACAACTGTGCTAAATATTACTCTTCCAAGGCATGATGTTGTGTTAAAATTGCCTTCATTGTAGACTAATGGCCCTTACAGTTCAATGAGCAAAAATTCTAGGACTCGACTGTTTTGTTCAATTGTTATATACGCACTACAGAATCATCCTACAACGTAATTTATTACATTCTTTAATTGACTAACCCAGCCGTTTGTTTTTGTGCCCTATTCTCGTGATAACTTCAATAACGCTCATAGACATGCATCGAACACGTACGCACAGCTACTTTATTTCTTCTCTGTTTCAACCAAAAATGGTTTTTAGCGACCTCGGTGAGACCTTGATTGAGATACGTATGTCGCTGGCTTATTAATACACGGTACAAATGCGTTCGCATGTTATTTCCTTCCATCAGGATTTCCATCCCTATTAATTCATTACAGTGTATTTTGTTATGCTTAGTTACACATCATGCGTGCGAGAATGTTCTGTACGTAAATTTCAGAAGTTTTTTTTTTATTTTAACTATATCTGTTTCTTTTTGTGACGATATAACTGTCTTTTCATTTAAAACTTCAGGGAGAGTGCAGAGTTTAAGATATCAATTGGTACATGATGTGAAACACTTAAGAGCTGACAACGTTTATTAGCTTTAATTTCAATTGTCCCAGGGCATTTAATTCTTTACGAAGGCTGAGGAGTGGTATAATTCTCCTTACTTTTACTACAAAGACTCGCAAATCATACCTGTGAAAAGAAAAACTTCATTACTCATGTTTTTTTAAAATTTGCTAGCCCGCCCTGTGAATCTCGATGTCGGGAGAGACTAGAGACTATTCTGGATGAACTATTTCAAGTGTTGCGAAATCCTGCATTGCTTTATTACGTGCGCTTTGTGGAGTTCGTGATTGCATATTTTTGCAGAAACAATGGAAAATTCGGGTAAGCAGGACTCTGGCAATTAGGATTTTTAAAGGAAAAGTGAAACATTATTTTCATTCGCTCGAAACTATACTAAAAGCTTTAAATCAAGTTTGCAATGTCTGCATGACGAGTGCTTCCACGATAAAATGTGAATCTTTCTTGTTCTAAAACTTGTTGATCAGTTTCATTCAACTTGCGTAACGGTTTTTTTGCAGAATCCACTCCGTTGGCAAATCATGATGTTTTAATAATGGTCTACCCTTTTAGCTTTAGTCCCTACCTATTATCATTATCAATGTGTACACAAGAACTAAGCCGATTTTAGCAAAAGGAGCATACTGTGGTATTTATATAACAAATAGAGAAGCCTTGACTGTGCTCTGTTCTGTTATAAAGCAGTTAGGAAGCGGCTAGAGCACGAAAGAAGTGTAGGGAGAAACACGAGGCGTAGTCGAGTGTTTCTTCCCACTTCTTGAGTGCTCTAGCCGCTTCCTAATTGCTTTATAACAGAACAGAGCACAGTCAAGGCTTCTCTGTTTGTTTTATAATAAAGAATCCGTTAAATTACCCAAGCATTACTTTCAATTTTCAAAACAAACTTTATTTCCAAAGAGAACAACAATGTCGTCAGCGTGCTCTATACTCTCATAGAACACGCTACAATAAGCCAATCAGAATCTTTGTTAGAATGGTAAAACTAATCTGATTGGTTGAACAAGACAAGAGCTGTCAATATGTCAAGCCATCAAAAGCGATCACGTAGAATCTCAAAGCGAAACGAGCTACTCTTACAGTGAATTCGAATGCGAACTGAATGTAATTTCCACGTCCAAAATCAGCATCTTTAGTAACATGATCAATGAAATCCGGCCGAATCGTGGCCCATGAAAACCTGGATGTTATTAACTTGACAATTTGAAAACAAACTGCTTAAAGCTTGTGGCTGATACTTGACAAACTGCCGCGCTGTGTTGTTCTGTGAATGAACAACGGTCGAATTTACAACAGCGAGAGGATTTCCTGAACTGGTGACTGCATTAGGGGAATTGGGCTGCCGTGGTCCACCACTCATTACACCAGAGAAGATATCTGAACAAGCCCTTAGCTGTTCACTCGATGGGCGAGTGTTGTAACTCTTGAGGCTTGCCTCACTGCGATGATCAGAGATCGCCATTATGTGCCGCGATGGAACTTGCGCGTCGGACCACAGCGTGATTGCAGTCGCTCTGACACTATGATTTGTGTAGATTCTTGAAAGAGACGCCAGTTTGGAAATTTCTTTCATCATTCCGTCAAGTTTGTTGACCCCCAGCGGTTTGTTTTCATACCAAACGTCATCTTCAGGTTTCACGGCTCGTTTTGGGTACTGAAAGAATGCTTCGCAGTTAGGATTTAACTTCTGGATATAGTTCTTGAGGCAGTTAAGGCCATCAAAAAGTGGATCCTCCGATGTTGAATACATCCTGGCCTCCTTTTCTACACTGGAGATGTCTTCAATCCCTCCTGGATGGTTCTTAGTAGCCTCGTCATGGGTCATTGAAGCGTATTCCCGTCCATTATCGTCAAACAAGAACTGGAAGCTTTGCTTCGTCAATTGTCGTTGACCTTCGCGTCCTCGACGACACCAGTACAAGCTGATGTTAAGCCAGACATTTCGTAGAAGACCCCAAGGACTGTCTCCCCGGATTGCATTTGACGACTTCAACTTTTGAAGGTATGCTGCTGGGATGGGAGGTTTGTGTTTTGTGTTTTCATTGTTCTCGCGTTTGTTTAACTTTATCATACTCTGCAGGAGTTTGTTTGATGATTGGAATTCGGTCCTTTTGGTGATTGAAATTCCTCTATCAAATGGTGGGTTGTTGAGATATCTTTCGATCGCATTTCGCAATCCAAGGAGGGACGATCTTGAATATAATGCATCACCTCTTGTTCTTGCTTCTGCGTAAAAGTAGCGGAGGTTTTTGTCAAGCTCTTTCTTGCTCATTTCGTGGAGGTTCTTGGAAAGTCTTTTTCCAGTACACCAAGCTATTAAAAGAAAACGGCATAAACTGGCATGAATTATGAAAAATTATTTTTATTTGTGTTTTAGTTTACGTTTTTGAGAAAAATATGTTGTTGTTGGTTGTAAACGTGTGTGCACCAGCTAATTCATCCACTTATTTTAATCGTTTTTGCGAAAAATTTTAGCAAATAGCGCACACCTTTTTCGAGGTGTTCATATTGTATTTATTATATTTTTACAATAAAAAACTCACCTTCAAAAACTCGGAGTGCCCATTAAATGGATTCTTTGGTTTTCTTTGTTTCTGCCTTTGTTATTATGTCATCAATTGCATCACTTGACATGTTTTTAAATCTTTGCTTGTTAATGTTGTCGCGTCGCTCACTGTTTTCATAACTAACTTCGTCGGAAACCTCACTTTCACATAACGGGTAGGTCCCACTATTATTGATAATATCCTCTAAATCTATCGACGCTAATAGCTCGTTTTCCCTTTCGTTTTCTAGGTCGTAGAGGACGTCTGGCTCGAAAAGAAACCCGAGTGAATAATTAGGGAATTGGTCCGCCATGTTACGAATTGGCAGATGGCGTGACAGCTTTAGCTCAGTTCTATGCTTTATACTCTCATAGAGCACGCTCTTTCAACCAATGTCAGCGCGCGTTATATCCGAACTTTATTATAAATGAAGATATATTAGATGTTTTTACCTTTTAGGTTCTTGCGTTACTTTGTAGCAAGACAACAAGCTATAGGCGAATACAAGTTATTTCATCGGGGATTTCCCTTCTAGGACCGTCACAATGGTTGATATTATGCATGCAAATCATTTGCTTTTTCTAGAGAAACAATGGATATTTAGCCAATCTTAATGCAATTGCAACACATTAGTGATTTGGCAAAGTATTCATTCCTCTCAACTCTTCACAAAGAGCTTCAACTGAATCGCGCGTGGCCATATTGTCTTTCTCGGAATGTTGGTTTTTTAGAAACTGACCATATATGCATTGTCAAGAGGGATTTACTTATTCTGTAACTCACTGGACCCGGTTAAGGTGTCAAAGAGGTCTTGCTGCTTCTAACAAAGAACCATGTAAATGAAATTTTGGGACATCTAAGAAGGGGTATGCACTCGCTTATACAATCAGCCCCTGCATTAATAAGGCTCCGATGGGTTTTCATGCCGGAGGAGATTCATACCACACCATTCATTTGCATAAAGTCAGACGCAGAAACTGTCAAAAGATAAATGTAGTTGTTACATCATCGGTAATTATTGATGTAGAGATGTTTCTAGATGGGTTCTGTTTTCTCCTCCACTCGAGCTCGCTCTAAAACTATCATTGCCAATTTAAAAAAAACATAATCACCGAATGAAACACTGTAAAGACAGTATTTCTTGAGCGACGATGACGAGCTTTTTACTCCTCCATCGGAAATCTTTTACATTGAGTAGCCGTTTGAAGGCTCTTTGAAGTTTTAATAACAACAATTCATAAGTTGGCTCTGAAGATAACGGTTTGGCCGTTTCAATTTTAAGATCATTTCGTTTTATCCACTCCTCCTTTCAGATATATCTTTTAATTGACTTCATAAATCTACGATTATTTTGTTATATTACTTGGAGATCAGTTGATCAAGCGATGCGAAAAATGTCCAATAAGACGATGCGAAAGTGATGCATAAAATGTCTAATTAAGCGTCAGGAGTAAAACCGCAGTGACCACTATTCGCATACCATGTTGAAAGCCGCCAAGAAATCAGCATGAAGCAGATGTTCAATATAGTACATGGTATGACAAAATATTCCGTTAATTTTTGCGACGAAAAGGGTAGAGCTTATTATTTTACTTTATTTTTATCTTTCCACCGTTCGTCCCGAAAAAGTATTCTCCGAGTTCTCGTTAACAAACAGATTCTATTTTGCCATGGGTCTGTTCAGCTCAGTTATGCACGCATTCTGATTGATTCTCACTTATGATCTATTGGAGGATAGACGTATAGATGACGTCATCATTAAAACTTTTTTAATTCTTTATTATATAATGTTTACCACTTTTTTGTTCTCACCACATTTTGACGTCCTCTGTGATCTATTATTGAACAGACGCACGGCAACTTGGAATCTATTTGTTAAATAGATCACAGATGACGTCATAATGGCGGTAAGAACAGAAAGTGGCACACGAGGCGCAGCCAATTTAGTCACTGATATTCTTGCACAACTTTGAACTACTCTTCGATCTATTACTGTAAAGACCCACAACAACATGGAATATAATTTTTTATGATAAAAAAGCCAAATGTTGTTGCTGCAGACCCACGCAATACGGAATCTAGGCTGCCAGGCATTTAACCGTAGCGTAAAAGTTACACAGCCATCGTTAATTATGTACCAATGAGGCTTTCTGGAAGTCCTTTCAGATAAATTTGCAACACAAAGACAATGGCCTTTCCCAGCCTTGATATGAACGATGAAAAAAAAAAAAAAAAAAAAACAAAGACTCAACGCATTTTACAATTGAACATTTTTAATATCAAGAATAACTACGGAAATTAAAAGCCCTTACCAACAAAAATTAAGTTATACATAAACAAGTAAATACGAGTATTTATAACTGCGATAAATTTACACGATAAAGAATGCGAGATTGATTTAAAGAAATACTTTAACACGGATAGAGTCGGATTGCACGTTCGGAGTTGGCTTTTAGTTCTCTGATGAATAGGATCTCGTGCACCAGGCAATCGAATTTATTTTTACATTTCTTTAGAACATCGAAGGGCCTCATTGGGTCTTCAGGGACCTGGCTATGTTTGTCCTGGAATTGTTTATATAGAGAAAATAACCGTTGTTTACGTACGTTTAAGTGTCCGCGCGAATAGCCCACATAACCTGCATCACACAAGTCACATTGAAAACGATAAACAGCCAGTTGTTGGTTTACTGTCTGTGGCTTTTTCTTTCCTACTTTTAGGTCTTGGTTGACTTTACGGCTAAAGAACACGGGTTGAACAGTTGTCTGTACTTTTAGGCTGAGGTCCTTGAGTTGTTTCTTGACCTCAGCTTTAAAGTAAAAACAACTGTGAGATGTTATTCCTCAGAGAACTAAAACCAAATTTGTACGTGCAATCCCACTCAATCCGTGTTAAAGCTATTCTGTAATGTAATCTCGCATTCTTTATCATGTAAATTTATTGCAGTTTTTAGTGCTCGCAGAATCAATTATCCTAATATTTACTTGACAATGGTGTCATGACGATTTCGAAACGTCGGTTCATATCGCTAATTTTTACGTGTTTATGTATTAATTATAAGCTACGAGCAGATTATCTGGTGATATACTGATGCTTCCTCTTATTCAGCTGATGCTTCGTCTTCTTCCTCAGTTGACGCTTCGTCTTCTTCCTCAATTGACGCTTCGTCTTCTTCCTCAGCTGACGCTTCGTCTTCTTCCTCAATTGACGCTTCGTCTTCTTCCTCAGCTGACGCTTCGTCTTCTTCCTCAATTGACGCTTCGTCTTCTTCCTCAATTGACGCTTCGTCTTCTTCCTCAGCTGACGCTTCGTCTTCTTCCTCAATTGACGCTTCGTCTTCTTCCTCAATTGATGCTTCGTCTTCTTCCTCAGCTGATACCTCATCTTCTTCTTCTCCCTTTTCTTGTTGCCCTAATAATAGTGTCATTACAGCTGAGTAGCTAAACACATTTTTATGGCTTGATTGAAAGCTTTTTTTCTCTATTACTTGCCCCCCCTTTTAATTTTAAAGGGTTGAGTGTAAAAAAACTATTGCGGAAGAGGAAATGGGAAGTGCTCATGAAGCCTTGCATTTTCGCTCTCTTTGACCATTTTCCCACCGGCTTATCATTAAAGTGCTTTCCTATATCTTTCATAATTACTACTGAAAAAGTTTTGATCGGCATGAAAAGAGAAAAGAGTGCTGTCTCAGTAAAAAGCTTTTTAACTTTTAATGAAGTCAATCCTCCTGATGGACGACATCATCTTGCTCAATACGATGACAAAAAGCTTAAATACAATTTTAGCTGTTCAAATCAAAACTGAAATTGAAACTAAACTCAAACTGGACTCACTCTTTTCCTTTTCCTCTTCTTCGCCAGATCCTTTTACTGCTCCTTCATCTTCTGCTTCTTTCAATCCAGTGTAGTCTGCTACTTCTTCCATACGTGAGTCCTCGTCTACTCCTTTTTCCATTTCGGGGTCTCCTAATTCCTCTTCGTCTTGTTGTTGTTCTTCTTCTTTGAGATCATCCTGTGAAGCCGAATGTGCTGGCTGAATATGATCTAGAAACCAAGATAGTCTATCGTCAGGATTGAAATATGATTTGGACCTCGCTTCAGGCGGGTAGTTAAACTAAAGACCTGTTTTGCATTGGAAATCCTCTCATATCATTTTGGTAAAAATTAAAAGAGTTGAGTCTTCTGTCGAATTCCTTTCACAATTAGGAGGAAGTTTCGTGATAATGAATCTACTCCTGTATGCCTAGATAAATGTTTACCATTTTGCTGTCTTGTAAGCGAGTCCAACTCGAGTTCTAACTGAGAGAGCTCATGATAAAGTCGGGCTTGGTCCCTCTCGAATTCACGAAGTTTTTGATCAGGTCGGCCTTGGTCGCTCATCCTTTGGTATTCCTTGTGATTCTCACTGTCGATCCGCCCATTATGTGGGCCTAAAAAATAAAAACTCAGTTTAATTCAGTTTGGCAGCTATGACTTTTGCATTAAGAATCAACTCTTAATTTGGCCATGTCATTATTCAATGTTATTTTTCCAATTCGGGTTTTGAATAATTCTTTATGACCTGTACTCTTTAAAGAGCAGTTTAGTCCTAAGACACAGCAACAGATTATGAAATGTTTATTAGTGAATCCATTGTATTTTGTTTCTCGAGGTTTACATACCATATGGTTTTGCGGTTGTTAAATCAAATACAGCAAAGAACACCACCTTGAATAGAAAATGAAGAACACGCTTTGTAAAATTCACGGAAAGAGTTAATGAATAGTCTAACTGATTTTTAAAGATTCATTTATTTTGCAAACAAACCTTGCATGTAGCCAGAAACGCTATAAATGGTTACGCGTAATGACCTATTGAACCCATGAAGCCGCGGCCACATGAATAAAAAAAATAAGCCAACCTTGCGTTCTTGATCAAAATGATATTTTCCAACATATTTCCATAAAATAGGAGGAAGACTTACCACAGATATTACAGTCCAGGATGTCATTTCGAGAAGTTCACGCAACTATAGACTTGACTACGGAAAAAGAAGATATCATGTTATTATGATTAAATCTAGTGAGGCGTTAAAACAAGGGTGTCAGACTGAATTTTTGGTTTAACAATGATTAATGAAGGTGTGTAGACATAGATATCACACTTGCAAGGCATAATGCTCAATAAGATTAACGAGTACACATTCGAAGACTTAGGTATTTTGTTCAATCTTTGTTCACGCACAAAAGAATCATGTAATAAAATGGTTTATTACATCTTTGTTTGTCCTAGCCGTAATCAATTACACGCAACGAGTGCTCACGCACAATTTCTTTCTTCATGCGTTATCAATCAAGAAAAATGAGTAGAGATTCTAGAACTTGAGTGTTTTGGTCAATTCTTGTTCACTCACGAAAGAAGCACGTGATAAAATGGATAAATACAGTCTACATCTTTGTTTATCCTAGCCGGCTGTTTTCTTGGTTAGTTTTCTTGAATAATTCCACAATACTCAAGCGAACGCAATGAGTAATCACGCACAATTTCTTCATTTTTGTCTGTGTCAATCCAAATAATTATTTCAGTGTCTTGGCTGAGGCACTGATAAAGATAAGTTTTCCTCCGGGTTGGTAACACTCCGAACAGACAAATCAGCATGATGTTTCCTTGTTAAGCATCACGAAATCAATGTGATGTTTGGAATTCATCCATATTTCAGAAAATAATCCCCTTAGGATATGTGCATATGTTTCTTTAATATTTAAGTTTTTTTCGAGTTAAGTTTTTAGAAGCTTGCAGAATACTTGGAAGCGCTGACATATGTAAAATGCAGTGCCGATTAGCTTTCAATTGCCTTGAAGAAAATCTTTCTCCCTAAAAAAAGGCAAGGAATATTGATTCATATATTTCTTCTAGAACAACAGCTTGAAGAATCTGTGGATAGAAATAAAACTACACCAGAGCTTTCTAAACGTGTTTTGCGCATATCTGCTAAGCAGCCTGATGAATTTCGTTGCTGGGATCATCGGATGGAACGTAGTTGATTCGATCTAGAGAAATCATTTCAAGTATTGTGAACTCTCGCGTCCAAATTCCATATACTTCTAAAAATTCTCATGTGCCATGATAAACTTATCTTTTTTTAGCGCATATTCTTTTAACGAATAACAATGACACAGATGATTTCATGGTGAGTTGGATTTGAATGGAATTTAAATCTTCAACTCCATAAAAGAGTAAACCGGTCACTGATTTTATGGAGCCTTAAGGCGTAGTTATTGCATCGTAAACATTTGGCTGTGGTCCTTAAAAATATGTCCTATCCCTGATTATTCTCTTTGAATTCTAGATTCTACATTTTCCTGTTTGGTGTTGTTATGATCGAAATCTACTTTTAAAGGTCCTCATTTATTCTAATGACAAAGGTCAGAAGCGCACAAAAAAGTCAAAATTTGGTGACGTACGTTGCTCCTTGTCTAACAACTGTTTCCTAGACGCAACCTTCGCACTTTATAAATTAGCTATTACCATGGTTCAAACAGTTGATTTCCTTTGCATGAAATACCAGCTGTTGGTTTTTAAATGTTCATGAAATCCTTCTTCACACTCATTGCCGGTGATTTGAGCGTAATACATGTGAAATCAATGATGCAGAAGGCATTTAAATTACGCAAACGTTTAATGAAACACGATTTAGTTGCTTAACTTGATTAACTTTAAGACTGGAAAAAACGATTTCGCGTAATTTTGCAGTTGGTCAAACTGATCGATTTCGTGGACAATTTGATCAAATCTAGCGACGAAAACCGTGCAGCTTAGGACATTGTTCTGTTATTCAAAACAATCACGCTACTATGTTCCTAGCAGTCCGTCGCCGCCGTCGCCGCGAGTCAAAAGATGTTTTAAAATACATTATTTCAGTTATAATCGCAAGAGCTCAAATAAGCTCCAGCGATATAGAGCTCATATGTCACTTACCTCCCCTGATGTCGAGCAACAAGTTGAGTAACAAGGCAGTGAATGATTGAATCGTGATTGAATTATTTTTAAAGATACCCCCTTATTCCGGCTTGATCTGATTTGATTGGCTGCGGTTTTAGAAATAATGTTATTGTTAGATAACAGCTATTATTAACTTCTGCTTACTACACGTGCTATGATTGGTCAATCAAGCAAGCCGGAGAATCTAAACCTGCCTTTACCGCCAGGCTATCAATTGAGTTATTGCCGATTTCTCCTATAAATTTGACTGGTTTTTTTTTTTTTACCTCAAAATGTGTTTGAAACTCGATTACAAGTATATTAACGTTTTCAAGTTGACTCTTTTTGCTCTCCATGTGTTTCATACATATGATATCTTATAACCCTGTTCTTCTCGGTCTTTACTGTAGGCTACGAATTCGACTTAATTGTAATTTATTCCCGTAGCACTTGTACTTGCTCATAGGTCGAAGGGAAAAAGCTCGTTCCGTGTAACTCTTAGAACGAATCGCGAACTTGGTTTGTATGGGGTATTTATCAAAAGAAAATGTGGTTGACCGCTCGGCCAATTGTAACAGGCGAATGAATCATCGCTTGAATAAATTTATCCGTCACAAAATTTCCCATAGTCTTTCAAATTGACCAAAACAACAGACCTGATTCTTGCAACAGGAAGGGGATTTAATTCAAGAGGGAAAGGGGAGCTGTGGGTGGGAGAGCCTTTGCTTTCAAGGAACCGGAAAGCTAGACGACCCTCCGTAGCATTTAGAAGATAAATTTTGAGGTCTTACAGAACGAAATGCTGATCAACTTATAAAAGGTCATTTATTGCTGCATAACACATCTGTCTGAAGCTAATTCATTATTCCTCACAGTCATCCAGCTGGAATCTTCAGTTCGATTCTGACTGTGGTCTACTTGGAGAGTCTTTGGTGCAGGTTATCAGTTTAATACAAGATTGGATTCACAAACGAGTTGGTAAAGAACAGCAACTCACAAATGTATCTTAAGCGCAATAGGGCTTCGTCAGATAATATGCGAGTCATTTGTTCCTCCAAGAAAGCGAAAAGTACATACGAAGTCCATACACAGAGAGCGACTAGTGTGATAACACAGAGTGTTATAGCGAGGTTTCGTTCTTTTCCAGATTGTCCACGGTAATCATGACGAGGTTGCTCACCACATCAGATTGTTACAAATATTCCGCAGTGGCTACAACACAGAATCAAAAGCAAATAGAAGCACCTGACGCCGCGAAGAACCAAATGTTTAGCCCTAATAGGTCATATTATATGAAAAAAATAGTGAACAAAGTAAAGATAAGCGACGCGACCCAAATGCTTGTGGCCCAAATTTTTTAAAACAATCCAGACATGGACCTATGCCCCACTGGATTTCTGGTAGCGTGCATTCTCTCTACAGATGTTGAGGCCAAAATCCTAGCGAGTTACTACAGAACGTTAAGTTTATTCCATATGCAGAAATTAATTTAACAGGAGTTTTTTTTATTCACATCCCAAGGGTCATACGAATTTCCACGAAGGAGGACTGATGCTGGTATCACAAGTGCGATAGGTTGGTGAGTAGATATGTACTATGCTGACGGACTTGGCGGTCTGGACTGAAGATGATAATAGCGAACATGTTAAGGGGAATGACAACAGCTGCCTCAACGAAGAACAGTGTGTACCACGCATAACCACCTTATTCACGATTGGATTACCATTTTAAATATAGCGGCAAATTGTAGATTTTCAGTTTAATCTAAAGTCTTAAGTCAGAATTAAAGCTTGCTAAGTTGAAGAGCCAGTATTTCGAAAATTTGCTGGATGACCTACACTCATTTTTTGTGTAAAAATATAATTTATTATTACGCTTTTGTTAAGATGATTTTATTAATAATAAAAAGATATCTTTCTACTACTTGTAACAGCATTTCCTTAACTAACTCAACTTCTTATGGAAAGCTTTTTCAAAACTTAATGAGATTTTAGAAATTTTACAACAATACAAGGTCCCCATCTTTGTTTTTCGAGCCTCCTTAAGTGAACCCAACATTGCTAATTTTAAAAACCAAGTAAGTAGGCGCAGATAAGTACAGGGATCATAACCACTCATTATAACTGTACTGAAGGGAGAATCTCTGAAATGATTTGCGTTCGTCCATAAACCGTCTGTTTTCGTGCCCTGGTCTCGTAATTACTTCAAAAGGAAGACAATGAACACAATTTTTATTACAGAAGAAATCTGCAAACAGCGCCTCAAAAGTTCGGCATAGTACATGCTAGATTGAGTTAGTAGGTGAGCTAGTAAGTTAGTTAGCTTCTTGCTTGTTTCTCTCACTTGTGGGAAACTTAATGTTGTAAGTCGCGTGACGAGTAGCAAAACCAGTTTGCACCAGTTGAAGCTTTTGTAAGTTTTGCTTGAAAATACCCCCAAGACCGTAATAAAACTGTGCTCATTACCGTGTA